TGCCTATGTATCCTATCTGCAAGATGACTGGTCTGAATGGCTACCGCTGGCTGAGTTTGCTGCCAATTCTGCCCGCTCTGAGACTACCCATGTTTCCCCGTTCTTCGCAAATTATGGATTCCACCCACAAATGGGATTTGAACCTGTTCTGCCTACCAGCCGCCCCACCAGAGATGCTGAAGAGTTCGCCCGTTGAATGGAATTAATCACTGAGTTTGTCTGTGCTGAGATCACATCTGCCCAGGCTCGCCATGAGGAACAAGCTAACCGGAAGAGACGGCCTGCCTATCATTATCAAGTTGGCCAGTACGTATGGCTGGATTCCTGCAATATCTGAACCCTACGGCCCCAGAAGAAGCTTGATTGGAAGAATCTAGGACCACTCCGCATTGTTGAGATTATCGGCTCGCATGCTTATAAGCTCGACCTGCCCGCCAGCATGAGAATACATCCTGTGTTCAATGTTAGCCTGCTCCGCCCTGCTGCTGGAAACCCTGTTCCTGGTCAAAGACAAGAACCACCACCACCTGTTGAAGTTGATGGACTTGAAGAATGGCAGGTTGAAGACATCCTGGACTCCCGCTGGGAAAGAAGGGGTCGTGGAGGGCCTCGCCTGAAATATACGGTCAAGTGGACTGGTTACAATGATCTCACTGAAGAACCAGCTGCATACCTGGAGCATGCCCGAGAGATTATTGCCAACTATCATCGCCGCTATCCCCATAAGCCTGGGCCTAGCCTCGACGGAGCTCGGCCTTGAGGGGGGGAGTACTGTCACGGTGCCAGCCCGTGATCTATGCACGTGACTAGGCACGTGACCCACAGAGATATCTGTCTGCGCCAACGCCGATTCTGCTGCAGCTCTTCGAGCTGCGTCTTGTCTATGAACCTGTAGATAGCCTGACCGTAGCTTACCCTGTTCGTCAATTCCTAATATATATCGCTACCTGACCCTGCACCCTGACACCCGATCATCTCCACACACAAACCCATCTTGCCTCACACTGCCACACAAAGAAAATCTCAGTAGTCTTGCAATCCATCGAACAGCACCCCGAATCCACAAAACACTACTTCTTATTAGGTGTGCACTGCTCCTAAGCCGGCTTCGTGCATTGAAATCGATCCCTCGGGTCTTGCTGCCAGCCAAAGCCGCCAAACACGCCTTGAATATCCGTGCTGTTATTCTTACACTCGAGCCCCCTTTTACAGTCCGAGTCGCGCCCACAAGGAGCCCCCTCATCTTGTCCAGTGCCGGAAGTCTCCGGATCCAAGCATGCCCTCTGGCCGTCTCCAAGATACGCCGCTTGCCGACAGATAAGGCCGTCATTGCACTCGCGGGCACTTGAGCAGCGCGCGTTGTAGTAGCCGGTGCCCGGGGTGCATTTGCCATTTGTGCATTTATCAGAGCGGCATTGTTTATCTTGCTCGCAATTCTTGTTATCGTAGAGGTTGGCGTCGATGCATCTGTTGTTGTGGCTGCAGACGTATCCTCCGCAGTCTTCGGTGGTTTTGCACTGGTTGGTGGCGCAGCGTTCGTTATTGCAGTAGAAGGACTTGCAGATGTCTCTGGTGTTGCAGTATGCGCCGTTGTCCAGGCGCTGTCCTGAAATTGGAAAGTCGAATTGCCGTGCAGAAAGGGCAGGGTTGGTCTCTGAGTTCACGTTTGTGCCGCTGTGGTCGACGGATGGAAGTGCAGAGGCTAGATCATATTATGCCCGAGTACTAAAGAAGTAATACTTGAAACACTCCGACTAACTTTATCCTTATTTGGTATACCGTGTGTACATTTCCTGAAGCAACTAATACAAATTACTCACTCTTCCTCTTCACAGGCTCAACATACCTCACCCTCCCAGCAGCGCTAGCAACCCTCTCATTCAACCTATCGCCCTGTGCAACCCTCTCCAACAACGCCAGAACCCTCTGCGTCTTCGGCAGATACCCATCCCTCAGCTTATATATCCATCCCATCAGAAACGAGCACTCCAACCACGCATTCTCCTCAAGATACCAAATCCCATTCTGGCTACCGACGACCTTCCAGCAAACAGTAATATTAACACCAGGTATCACATGCTCTTCGAGAACGGAGACGCCGCTGTCGATGTTGACGAAGGATGCTTTGAAGGCGTCGTTGTCGTTTGGGTAGTGGATGTTGAAGATGCTAGTGTTCACGCGCGGGTCTGTGGATTTTGTCGTGGAGTCCGGCCAGATGCAGTGTTTCAGGAGTGTGTGGTTTTGGAGGGTTGAGAGGACGGTGGGTTTGTCGGTGTTGAGCGGTGGTGGAAGGGGGATGCGTTTTGGGCCTCGTTCGAGGGTTGTTGTGAAGACTGTGTTAGCATGAGTGTTAGCATCTAGCCTGGATTTGAGTAGAATCTGGGAGGTGTACTGGAAAGCATGGCTGTTTGGTTGAAGATGGTGATATTGGTAGGAGTGAAGATGGAGTGCTCGCGGATAGGGCTCACGTGCCGCTGCTCCTTCCGTGACTTGTACTATCCACCAACACGTTGAATTGGGACCTACTATACGTGTATTTGGATAGGTGGTGTTGGCATCTTGTAGAATTGCATTTGTTGGAGTAATTATACAAAAAAAAAAAAAAAAAAAAGCTACCTATATCAATCCCCAGCGCGACCTAATTACTAGCACCCGCGCCCCTCACCTCAGCACCATCACCAGTAACCCTCTCCAACAACATAAACACCTTCTTCGTTTTTATCCCCAGATACACATCCAAAAGCCAAGCATACCTAGTCGCCCACCAAAAAAACGAGATCTCCGCGCTTTCCTCCAAACACCAAAGCTCCCGCTCCCGCTCCCCACCCCTAGCAGCATCAGATCCATCCTGCGCTCCATTCTCGCCATTCGTTATCTTCCAGTACACAGTAATGCCCCTGGGGCAGGGAGAACCGTTCGACTGGCAAAACGAAAGGCCATTGGGGAGGTTTGTGAATGTGGCTTTGAAGTCGATGGTGCGATGTCCTGCGACGTGGATGAGGAAGGATGTGCGGTTGGGTTGAGTGTGCGTGAGTTTGATTATGGCGTCGGGCCAGATGTATTTTGCTAGGAGGCGGTGGTGGGTGTGGAGGATTGATATGGTTTTTTCGCGTTCGTGGTTAAGGGGTGATGGGAGGGGAAGGTTTTTGGGTTCGCGTTTGACAGTTTTGGTGAAGACTGTTGTTGATAAGGTTATATGTGACGATGTAAACTGGGATTGAGGAGGATGAGAGCGTACTGGAAGGCATTTTGTGATGGTTGGTGATGGTTATGGAGATTATCGAGACGGATGGAAGGTGTTGTTGTGTTAGTGTATAGGGCTCACGTGCCGGTATTCACTATAGTTCCTCTTAAGGACCAGCTAACTGATTCCGACTTATAATAAATTCAACCTGGACGAGAGGAATAGTGTTTGTTGGTGTCGAGCTCACGTGGTAGTATTCACTGTGCCTATACCATCCCTCGACAGCGTCAAATGGGTAATATAGTCTCAATATTCATACACACGCTTGAATATCAGTTGCATCAGTTGTATCGGTAGAATAATTTTATATAGCAACCTGTAGCTAATCATATATGACATCTGATACCTCCTTCAATCAAATCATTCCGAGCCACCAGCAACCGTAGCTATTCTTAAACATCAAGCCGTTCATGCGCAGCGACCTTATCCAACAACGCGATCACCTCATTTGTCTTGGGCTCATACACGTCTGCAAAGCGAGAAAACAGCCCCACAGGTCCCCTAACCCAAACACTCTCTTCCAAACACCACTGACCCTCAGACACCTCCCCCTCAAAACACAGATGAATCGGCCGTCCCTTCAGACTCCCTTTATCATGAATAACACAGTCCGCAGCCGCCAAGGTCCAGAGCACCCCGAAAATAATCGAATCAATGCCCTGTTCGAGAATCTGTTCGACGAATTCCATGACGCCGTGGTGGACGTTTACGAGGGTGATCTTCGAGCGGTGAGGTTCTTCGACGAAGACGGTGGTATCTTTTGTTTCGGTGATGGTTCGTAGGTTGGTATTGGGATAGAGGGATTTGGTTAGACGGGGGTGGTTGTGGAGGACTTCGAGGACGGATTCGCGGTTGGTGTTGAGGGGGCATGAGAGGGGGGGGTGCTTGGGGGCTTGTTGGCTGTTGATTATCATTGCTGGTGGTATCAGTTGAAGTTAGGAAGGAGTTGGGATGGAAACGTACTTTTAGGCATGGTTGCGTTGTGTTTTGTGGATGATGGGAGGTGAAGTAAAGATGGAGGAGGAGGTAGTGATGGTGTAGGATAGGTGCCGCCTTCTCGACACCGTCTACCAGTCCGTAATATTATAACCCCCACTCGTGTCTATACTATCGGTCAATTGTTGTGACTAGGAAGAGTAGTAATACAGACTGCTCTGACGACTATGACAAGGAATAGTAAAGAACTTGCGATGCCCTACCCCGGCGCTATACAAATCTTATATAAAGATTCCGGGCGAGCCACATATCTATACACTTAATAGAGGGGTTGAACATCATTCCATTGACTAAGAGTAGTTAAATACACAACACACACACACATATACAGGGGAATCGAGACCGAGGGAAACTAAAAATGGGAGACGCACACACAACATCACCCATAAAGAATCTCAAACAATCGATCAGCCTCTTTGTCCAATCGTTTTATATCAGCTTCATGCTCACGAAGGACTTCTTGATACACTTCATCAAACCCAGTAAACCCAATCTTCAGAGGAGGCATATCCTCGATGTCGAAAAACTTCTCATCCTCTTCATACCATGACTCCTGATCGTCATCAGTGTCAATATCGCTAGGGAGACTCCCGCGAGACATAAACTTCTTCTCGTCCCCTTTGTACCAGGATTTCCGGTCATCATCGGATTCGACTTCTGGAAATGTGAACCGGCTCCATGGCGGTCGCTCATGAAATTCCATCATGGCTGAGTTTGCTGCGGCCCTGGCTAGCTTTTTCTTTGAATTCACCCATGGCCGGATGGCTTTTGCCAGCTGGTAGAGGTTCTTCTTGCCGTGTTTGATTGTAGTAGCGAATGGTGTAGTATTGATCAAATGCATGTTGCTGTTGTTGCTGTTGTTGCTAGTAGTTGTGATCCGTAGATGGAAGAGAGAAAGGGGAGGAAGAGGACAGCGGACTTATAGCCAGCTATTAGGCATTCGCATTGTGTCCTCCGTAACTACGGATATGTCTAGAACTTCTTAGACCGTGAGTCTGGAAGGCAGCAGTTATTTCTTCTGAGCATGTACTCGAGTGACATAGTTGACTTCTCTGTCAGTATGGTGAGTCAACTAGGATCAAGAGTACATTATTGACTTGTTTTGATGTAAAAGAAGGTTCATCCAGGGCTTAGGATGATCAACCATGGATCGATTCAGGCACAGGTCATTGATTCAAATTTATTGGTTGTCTGCTGCTTGTAAATCCGGGGGGCCTTCCGGGGAAAGTTAATTCGTGTCATGTGGTTGCTAAAAATATGGAACGCTACCTAAAATGACGCGTAGTCTGCTGCCTTTTCTCGCCACACAGGTGGCTTCACTAGATATGAGCACTACATGGGCATGGTTTGAGTTGTGTGGCGACAATGGACATAGACTCTACGATAATAGATAGTTGTTTCTTATTCCTTTTCTACGTTATTGCGAAGAGGCCATTACTTTAGAAGGGGTGAGGCAATTTCCATTGAGTAGATTATATACACAAACACGCACGAAGGGGGAAGAAGAGAGAAAGGAAATGAGAGACGCACACATGAACATCTCTCATCCCCAGACTCTCCCACACTAACTATCGAAATGTCCCATAAGAATGGCAGACATATCGTAAATAAACCAGTCTCGAGTAGCAACCCTACCAGCAGGGCCATCACTATCTCAATTTCTCCCCATAAGCTGCTTCGGGCCCTGGAGCAACTTCTTCCAGAAACCCTGTGACACGACCTCGTCGTCGTCGTTGTCGTCGTCGTCAATATCTCCAATAACCTTGCACTGCATGACAATCACCCTTCCTTCAAGAGCAGGTGGCCCTTTGTTGTCAGTGACAGTGATCTCGCAGTAAGGCGAGTTCTCGTTGACCAGTGTAACTCTGTTCTCGAATGTGGTCGTAAACTTCCCCTTATATTGTGGCAACTTCATGGTCTTTGCCAGGTTGTGGAGGTGCTTCTTGCTCTTCTTGAGATGAGAAGCGAATGCTGTTGTTTGTCGATGCTTTTAGTTGGTGGTTAGTTGAAGAAAAAAGGAGGAGGGAGAGGTGCGAGGGGGGTTTTATACTCTGCCTGGGCTCGGCTGCTGCCTGTCTTTGGTTTTATTCGTGTGTACAAGTTATGGACATAATCGACAGACTGCTATTTTCTCTATCCGTCAAGGCAAAGGAGCAGTATTTCAGATTAGAAGGAGAGCTCGTAGTAGGACACGCAAGACATCAGAGCAGCTGTGAGCATAATACGACAAGTTTGAGAAAAGAAACCTAGTATAAAAATCTATGTATCATTGTACAGTATCGTTCATGAAACACCATACATCTGATTGCTCAGCCTGATTTCACCTGCTGCTCAACAGGGTATGTGTGCGACTCTTAGGATCTCTCTCAACATTATTGACTAACAATTGCACCAGAATTAATATAATTACTACAGCCATAAAACTTGGCTTCGCTGCCGGTTGTCTTGAAAACCCCCATTGTGAATGGATAAGCAAGCTGGCTAAACAGGGTACTCAGACTGCTCTTTACGTGGTGGCCACTATACGGTGGACCCTGACACTGTAAGCAATCAGAATACCCATCCGAGTATAATGGGTTACTGGCTTTTACAGGAATATTTCAAGTTGTGGATCATGCTCAGGAGCTCCAGAACTTCCGCCAGCTTCCGCCTATACAAACCATTACAAAGTCGCTCGTCCAATCAAAACTCGGTGGTTTTCATGAAGGGACATCAGTCATCGAACTTCAGTAGCATGATGCTCTGATGATGGTCAATTTGAGACAACGCGCAAACGATGCGTCACGACGTAACATACCTAGCAACCGACAAATCCCAACTGGGGCTGGTGAATGTGCTACTCCATGAGTATGCTAGGGCTTTCTGGCTTAATTACTCGATAAACACTCCTTTTATTTTTCGCTGTTTATCATTGACAAACTAGATCTTACGGAGAACTGCTCCAATGACGCACAGCTATCTCCATAGAAGAACAGAGATCTGCGAGAATGTTATGTGCCTTGCGAAAACCGCATGCGTACTGGAGAAGTGGGCGTTTCGCTCTCAACCCAAAGGCCAGAGCCGACGGCAAAAATTGGCTCACAACGCAGTTCTAATGGCTACCAGCCGCTATTGACAATTAGTCAAACTCATCAGAACAATGCTGTCTTTGGTAGCCCCTCAACAGCTGCTGCGCATATTATTGGAGATCTCAGCAAGCGGTAATCATCGACAAGCCAGGTGAAAGATTAAAGCTCCTACTAGTGAATCCCGCTGCGCATTGAGTGTGTGTACAACGCACAAACATCGTACAGAGGATTGATTCAGATATCCCAACTTGCCCAACTTTTACCTGGAATTGAAGAGTACATTCGTGACATACAAAAGCCAAAGATCACACATACTGGGTGACACATTGTTCTCCAGCAAATAGGCAATTCGAAGGGACCATTTAGACAGAAACCCGGTAAATATTTACGGCCATTCTAACGCATTGCCCGACCAGAGTTGAGGTGATACACGACGGATCGCAATTGTCGGTGCTGCAGGTTATATCGGACGCCTATACCACTGCTTTATTTCTTTGAATCAGTCCATGTGGGTGCATCATGCCCTGAATTAATGGTGGCGCATCAATGTTGCTCGCAATCCACCGAGCCATCCTACATACATTCGGTCAACTGCTGGGGTTCAAAGAATGGGGATATCATGGTTTTATTAGAGAAAGGGGCCGAACAATACAACAAATAGTCATAACCTCACTATACCTCGACTTTTTTCTAAGTCCAGTATGGAACAGACTTGCACGATAATGATTTCCCGTTAGGGTTAGACGGCAATCGGTTTATGTATTTATTTATACGTGCATTATTGTTATGCACAAAGCAACTCCGCAGCTCAGCTTCAAGTCTCCTACCCGACATCATCTCTTCATACTATGAGGATAGAATAGCTTTAGAAAAGGTAAGAATACGTCTACACTAGTCTTATCAATACTTACTATTTTTCTCTCCTTTCCCGATTGCTGATAAAATCTAGTCGAAAATCATGGGCTTCCTAGGCACAATCCTAAGCTTCATCGATCGTCTCATCAGACTATTCATCGGAGCCAACGAAGAGAAGCTATACGGTCTGGACCATGCAATTCTCAACGCCGAGGTTCCACCTAGGAATATGTGGATGAATATGGGGTATTGGAAGGTGTGTATTTCTCTCATGTTCATGGACGGTCTGCTAATAGAACGATAGGATACAAAGTCCTTCCCTGAGGCTTGTGAGGCATTACTGGAGCTGATTCTGATTACGGCGGGACTTCTGAATGAGGATAAGATGGTCGCAAATGCTTTATCAAAAACGGTAAAATTAGTCGACGTTGGAATCGGGTGCGGTGATCAGTCTCTTTACCTAACAAGGAAGCTCCCTGTTGCTGGTCCGGGTGGGCAGAGGCGTGCTCTGATCGACTCATATGTGGGAATCACCTTTGCGCGCTCCCAAGCGGACTTTGCGCGAGAGCGGTTGCTAAAAAGGACATCCGATTCTGACACTTCATCGCGGACACCGGACGTGAGAATCTTCGCTGCGGACGCAGCTAAGCCTGATTCCTGGGAACCTGGACTCAAGGCAACCACCTCCAACGACCACGATCAGAAACAAGAAACCTGGCTCCTAGCCCTCGACACCCTCTACCACTACAAACCCTCGCGCACCCCTCTCATCACCCACGCATGTCGCGACCTCCAAGCCTCCTTCATGGCCTTCGATCTCCTTCTCGATTCCTCTGCCTCATTCACCAATAAACTCCTTGCCCGGTTGATGTGTCTGTTATCGGGAATCCCGTACACAAATCTCCTCACGACGACGCAATACGAGGATATGTTAGTCCAGGCCGGGTATGACCGCGATATGATACAGATGCGCGATATCTCTGAGTATGTGTTTCCGGGAATTTCGGCGTATATTCGCGAGAAGGACAGAGAATTGAAGAAGTTTGGGATGGGAGTAGGAAAGTTCAAGGTGCCGGGGTGGCTTTTTGGATGGTGGGGTAGGTCGGGAGTTATTAGGGGGGTTGTTGTGGTTGCGCGGCATTAGTCTGGTATACGAGATTCTGCGGATGTGCCCAACGGGTTTTACTGGTGCATCGTATTCAATATTGGATGAAAGTCGGGGTCCATAAATGTCCAATCTCGTGAGGATCGTAGGATCCCGCATCGCATCGCATCCAAGCTAAACTTTTTTCGGAACCCGACTAGCACTGTATACCTGTTTGGGAGCCCGATAAGCGAGTATCAATCCTGCGGAGTGAGAACAGGAATCTTGAATACGGAGGCCTATCGGGTTTATTCGATGAAGCACTAGCATGCTAAGCCTTTTTTAGTTCCCGATCAAGAGATAAACCGGGCGAAGCAATGATGAAGAATATATAAATACGCAGGGTGTTCACCCAGTCCAACACGGCATCGACAAGCCTACTAAATCAAAGCAGACAAACTACATCTTCCAAGTCAACAACTCGGTAAACGCACCATGAACCCCGTCAACACAAAACCCTACACCCTCCCACCCGACGCAACCTGGCTGAGTACCTCCCCCATAATCCACCCCACCTACACCCGATACTAACACAACCCAACCAGTAACCGGCTGCTCCTCCGGCATAGGCCGCTCCCTCGCAACCATCCTGTCCTCCAAGCCCAACCAACGCATAATAGCAACAGCCCGCAATCCCTCATCCCTCTCGTACCTCCCCCCCACCCCCAACATCCTCAAATTAGCACTAGACGTGACATCCCCTTCATCCGTCGACGCAGCATTCGCCGCTGCCGTGCAGCATTTCGGAGAGGACTTCCATTTAGACGTCGTCGTTAATAACGCCGGCTATTCACTATCCGGTGATACAGAAGCCGCGAGCGAGGAAGAAACGCATCTAGAAATGGAGACGTTGTTCTTCGGGACTGCACGGGTTACCACGCGCGCTTTGCCGCTTATGCGTCAAGAGACTGGTGGGAGGAAGGGAGGCTTGATATTTAATATATCAAGTCTTGCTGGATTGTGTGGGTTTCCGGGACATGCGTATTATCACGCGGGTAAGTTTGCGGTGGAGGGGTGGTCGGAAGCTGTGGCGAGGGAGGTGCATCCTGATTGGAATGGTATGTCTCTTTTTCTGATTGTTCAGTGGATTGTGACGCGGTTGCTGACAGGATAGTCAATATTTGCATCGTCGAACCGAGCGGTGTGAAAACGAACTTCGATGGCCATTCTAAAGCGCGCATACAGGCTCATCCTGACTATGCGGGTGAGGATATGCCTGCCCGGCAGCTTGAGAAGTATGTGAATATGGGTATCAAGTCTGGGATTGGTATGATGGAGTCTTCTGCCGTGGCGGAGACGTTGTGGAGTGTTGCTAGTCGTGGGGAGAGAGTGCCGTTGAGATTGCCGTTGGGCGCGACGTGTTGGAAGATGGCGAAGGCGCGGTGTGAGGGTTTTATTCAGGAACTTGAGGCGGTTAAGGGGGTGAGTACTTTTGGGCAGGGTGTTTAATTGGATGTTGTTGTGGTTTGAAATGTAGATTGATTTAGGGTATCTATGATTCGTATCATTCATTGGTATGTTCATGATGATGCTACATACATCCATTCGTCAGACATAAATGTGCATGTGCATATATACGTGCAGCAGTCGTACTTCAATCACTTTTCTCCGCCCACGGCACTTCAACACCCAAGCTGCCTGCCACCTTCATCGCAGACTCCATACACCCCTCAAGCAACACCATGCCATCATAACACCAAGACCCCACGAGCCAGACATTTCCGTCGCCATTGCGCCAGAGCTGTTCCTTCTCGACCTGGCCAATGGGTATGCCATTACCCATTAACCCATTGACGATGCGTCTGCTCTTCACGCTTCGCAGTGTCCGCGAGAATTGTACGTGATGAATGATTTTCGATGGATCGATAGGGGAGATGGGGAAGTTCGTAACATAGACAGAAGATAGGTGTTCGTGATGTGTTTCCGTGGCAGTGGCATCGGAGCAGATGTGCAAGACATCACGTTGGTTGTCTGGCTTGGTGGCTTGGATTCTCGTCTCCTCGCCACACTCGGGAATAATAGTTTCGTCGCGGTGGATAATCGATTGAACGGGAACAACGGGTATTGACTTCATCGCATTGCGAAGAGGTTGGTATATCGCGCCGACAACGTTCGGGGTCACTGCCATGACCACATGGTCGAACATAGCGGAGTCCTCCTTCCCCTCCTCGACCCACGTAACGCATGCTTTCGTACCGCTATGTTCCACGGAAGTGACAGTAGTGCGAAGTTTAACGGACAGACCTTTGGCGATGGTAGCTTGGACGTGCTGAACGCCACCGGTGACGTAGTACCGTGGCCGGCGGTATGTCTTTTTCGCGAATTCCACAAAATCCCTCGCCGGAAAGTTCAAAAGCTCCTCGTGCGAGCAGGTCGTGATACTCGTGAGCATGGGGCAAATATATGTTCGGATAAAGTAGTATGGCAACCAGATGCGTTCGAGATACTGGCGGAGGGACTCCTCTTCGTTGTGCGCGGTGGCTTCCTTGGACTGGACGAATAAACAGCATAGCGTGAGCCAGAAATAGCAGAGTCCCAGATATACCGTTTCTAGAATCCAGCCGGCGTAGCTGCTCGTTGGTGGGCGGATCGGAGGTATTTGGTGGTTGGCGGACGAGTAAATGAAATGCGGTGTGCTTCTCCCGGAGAGTGTCGTCAACGGATAAATGAACTTCTTTGTCCCATATTGTATCCCGAAGTAATCGTACATGCGTTTCAGGTTATTGTGAAAGTTATCATCGAATGCGCGCATGGGTAGGTCAATGCGATAAGGCGTCGAGTCGTGGCCATGGTCTTTTGTGATGGTGTAGGAGGCAGAGTCTAGAGAGAGGTGATCTTGCTGCGCTATGTTAGCACGAGACCTTTGACAAAGGTAGTGATAATTACTGTCTCAAACAATTGCACATCATATCGGCCCTTCTTGTCCTGTTGAAGAAGAAACGCAGTGACCAGGCCTGCCATGCCCGAGCCGACGACAGCGACGGTTTGCTTGTCCGCCATGGCGCCAATGGTTCAACCGAATGAATGTAAAATATAAAAATATGCCAGGGGTTTCCCCCGGGAACAATACTCAAGTTAAAAGAGTGTTGGGAAAAAGCAAAGTCTCCCAATAGACTCTGGTTGGGGTTCAGCTAAAAATCGGCTGACTAACCCCTGCGCTCTAGTTAACTACGCGGATCCCGGGATAACTACACTCTGCCGGGTAGGCGGTCTACCATGGTACGGATTTATGCAGCGCAGTTATGCAGCTATCCATTGCGAGATAAGCCAATCACATCTGGCTAAGTCGCTATCGGCCAGATCGGCCGAGGTTCATAAAGCAAACAGCACTCACTTGTGACAGCGTGGGCATGAGGTGTAAAAGGCGTATTATGGAGAGCTTCACTAGCTTCACTCTAGAAGCATACAGCCCGGGACTTGCTGGTGGTCATCACTCAATCAGATGACATGTAGCTCATAGCGTAGGCAAGGCTGACTTGGCCGACACATTCGCCATTAATCTAACTGCATAGCCTGGTTTCCATCCAAACAGAAGAGAACTGGAAGAAAATAGGTGACAATCAAGAAAAGGAGAATGGCTCTCAAAGGAAAAGGCATTCTTTGGAAATTGAAATCCTTACGCCTTCGTCGAAAACGCTCTCCACTATGCACCTTACCATCAGAACTAATCGAAGCAGTTGCATCCTTCCTGGATCCCATTGACTTGTGCGCATTCCGACTGACGTGCAAAACTCTCCACGAGAAAACATACCTCATCTTCTGGAAAACATCCCTTCGCAGTGTTGAGACCGACGTCTCCCTTGACAGCTTGGGGAAAATCCAAACAATCTCAATAAACCCACGACTCCGCCATTACATACACCACCTGTCCACCAAAGGCTTCGACAAGACCAACACAATTCTCGGGGAAGGGTTTCAATGGGACCGCCATGCCTCTGGTCATCTCATCGACCTCCACGACCATCTGGCCGTCAAACAGCTCTGCAAGATCTTCTGCCAACTCGTCAACTGCACGTCCATTGAGATCTTCTCCCCTATCACCGAAATTGTCGTACATCCATTGAAGGCTTTCGAACCAACAGATGCAATTCCAACCATGTTAGAGGTCATCACCCAGACAGGCCATCCAGTCACTTCTCTCACGCTAAATTTCATGGGCTGGGGATATAGCGGCCCCAGCGACCCGGACCCCAGATGCCTTCGAATTGCTCACGAAGCTCAGCTCATCGCGCTTGGGGCGCATCTTGAGAATCTCACCCTGAAATATACCTTTGAGCATGATGTCGTGCATGACTGGGCAGTCGATTTGCTCCACCACACCCGCAACCTCCGCACGTTACATATCGAATCCTGCAATGATTTGAGGGGCGTGCCCCTTTTCCACCGCCTAGCATTATCGTCCGATATGGCCTGGCCCCAGCTACGAGAACTTAGTCTCGAGACGGTCCGCGCAAGAGGTGATGACCTTACCATGGTCCTGCGGAAATCCCAGCAGAGCCTGCGTGTATTGAGCTTGAACTGCTTGAGAATAATATCCAGTAAAGAGGACCTCAAACAAATATTTCAGGTGCTCGGCACGGACTTTCCCGCGTTGCAAGCCATCCATATCGGGCCATTATGGTCGGGACCGGCTATGCGGGATTATGTCCATTTTCCGGGCGTGTCGCAAAATCCCGTCGTTGATGAATTGCAAGGGACGAGGTTTGACTTTATGCTTAACCGATTTGAGGGGAGTGACAGAGTATCGTCCGTAATTTACTCGGGTCCAAAGATGGATGTTGCTTTGGGGATCATAGCGGAAGCGGTGGATTTAATTGTGAAACAGCCACTCGAAGAATGGATTCGAGACTTCCGAGCTCGTCAAAACCAAGAATCATTACCCACCCCTAGCTAAAATAATCAGATCTGCTGTTTGTTATAGGCCTACGTGTGCAATCAATTTACATATACCCCAGTGCTCAGAAAGCACTATTGAAAACCTCATGAACAGCCTTTCTGCGGCTCATCCATGACCCGTCTCGTATCCTGCGCCAGTCTCCTAGTCTTTTCGTTAATGCGATATACATACGATGTAGTTGACGTCTCTTTAAAAACGGGAGCTAGAGAATGTGTCTAGGCACCTGCCAGGTACCAAGTGATTATACAGCATACTCGTCATGTGCTATGAGTCACACTCCTGTTCTTTCACACTTTGCGTTTACCTTGTCTGAAAACGATTACCCCTTGAAGTAGTCTGCTCCATGCGGGACTTTGAGCATGTTTCTGAAATGATATTCCAGTGTAACACGCCCAACCGCTCAAGTGCTTGGGAAGAAATTGACAATTGGGGGGTTTTTCGAGAGTGACAGAAACGCGGTACGGCAGGAACAGCAACAGATCATGATCAAGAATGGGGGCTTCAAGGTGCTCGTCCATGAAATGTGTGGCATTCAAAATGCGCCTGAGGGTCTCGTGGCAAGAACTTTGGAAAAGCGATGCTGAGGTGGTGATGTAGATATTTTCGAGAAAAAAAAACCTCCATAGCTAACCATTGATACCTTATTCATGGCGAAAAGCTCCCGATATGCAGGGAAGATAGAACAACGTGTAAATTACTGTGACTAAATATCCAAGCGCTTCGTTGACACGTGACGGTAGCTGAACTTGAGGATGAAAAACACCAAAACCCATGTAGAGAATAAAGACGCATAAGTGTTGCTCTCAAAAAAGCGCTCTCAAAATACTCCGTAACCGCCTGGAGAGAAAAGTACAAGACAAACGTTGCATAACTCAAACACTGCGGCAATGCGTCCGATGCAAATGCTCCCGTAGATTATCTCCCCGATTGAACAATTTCTTGCAGCGCAGCTCCGGACACTCGTATGACCTTGGGAAAATATGCTTTGTCTCGACGTGTCGCTTCAATTCAATTCTTCGAGAAAAAACACCAGAATACGTGCAGCCCTTCCATTCGCATCTCACGGGACCATTGTTGGTTGCATCACTGTTGAGAAGTAAGAATCTATGCAACATAAGAGCGGGATGGAGGAAGGATGTACCGTCTGCGTTCCTTAGGACTAGTGGTCCGTCCCCGAGACCCGCCGCTTGGTCCAGCCATTGGCGTATGAGAGACCTGAGAAGATGGGCCAATATTGGAGCCCATTGAAGGAAAGTTGATCGAAGGATGGTGGTCAAGTTTCCTTGGTCGATGGCCGGTTATCCAGTCGTGTCCACTTGAAGTTTGACCAAACGGCGTCTCATCAGCTAACCAATCCAGACTTCCCAGGTAGGATCCGGGATCTGCAGCGGCTTCCGTATAACCAGAATTAAGCAGTTCTGGGGATAACGTTGCACCGAAATCTAACGACAGAGGATTGATCGAACTGAAGGCCAGGTCCGATGGGTTGTTAAGGAGATCGGTGACATTCTGGGATGCTCCGGCCGAGCGGTTATGCCCATTAGCCCAAATATCTGGTGTATACCAATTGAGGTCGGGCGGATAAAACATGATGAGAGGACTGGAGAACAAGACCAAAGCAAAGAGTAATTGGAAAGGCTTCCTTGCCTGACTGAGACTGGAAATTGAAGCATGGTGAAAATGAAGGAGGACTTGATGAGGGATGGGGATTTATAGACCAACAAGGCCGCCCTGGATGTTATTTCTTGCAATGCATCGCTCGCGCAGGGCGATGGAGACACTTCATCGTTAATTGAAAAGCTCACCATTATCTGTCAACCAGATTTTGTTGCCAGTCAATCAACTTCTCCGATCTGAAAAAAGCAAACCCAAAGCGGGTTAGACTATTGAGGCCAATCTGTGTGATTGGCCTAGTGGAGCAAATATGCACCCAGATTCTGTAGCTGGCCAATGATGGATTGAAAATGCATAACGGCCAAGCCACAAGTCATGTAGCCACTGAGCTCTGGAGGAATGTCAGATTCAGCTGACCAGATTTTGATACTGTCCAATCACCAAAAGCCACGTCTGTACTGAGGCGCAGTCTCTACAGATACTTACTGAATATGCTAAAACAAATAGGTTGCTTGGTGGCGTAATGTGTAACAGGGGGAAGGTATCGCTCAGCCTTGTTGTATTTCCGTCCTCTCTCAGGCCTACATAGAGTTGCTCATCAACCCTCTCTTTTCAAACGGTATTCCCAATTTCCTGACCATTATCAAGATGCAGAATTTACAGTGGGATGCCCACAGGGCAAACATTGAACGCATCTATCTCACAGAAGGAGAGCCCCTGAAAAATCTTCGCCAGATCATGGAAGCAACCTATGGATTTCGCAAAACGTAAGAAGGTTCCGCACCTTTTTTACTGGACCTAAGGTCTGAAAGCACGCAGGAAATACCAGTATGAAGCAAAATTTAAGCAATGGGGCATTAAGAAGTACCGAATGGGGGCCGCCAAGTGGAAGTACGTCAAGCGAGAGATGGAGAAGAGAGGTGCTGAGCAGGCAACCGCCGATGTTTACATCGATGGGACTCTTTGTCCCTACAAGACCGTACAGATGGAAATACGTCGACAGGCCTTTGAAACGCAGATTGGAAAAAATTGCCGATGTAAGATCTTTGCGTTTAGCAAATGCTGGTTGAGGAATCAAAGTAACAGTGTAGCCCCATCTCCCGAGGCCCCGGAAGGGGTAATCGTTTGTTCCCCGGGACCATCATTGATATATTTTCTATGGCCGCCAAACCTCCCATGGTTCAACTTCTCGAATACTGCTCTAATGGGATTAGAGCATATCACAGGTAAAAGCCAAGCCAAGCATCTGCTTAGGTTTGAGCTGTCACTTACATGCTACAGGTAACGGGTCTCTCTTTCCCGCTTCCCAGGAGAGAGAGAAGTTTCTACAGCTCGTCAAAAGATACCTTGTGGGGACTTTGGGCTTGATCTTCAGGGGACCCAAGACCGAGCTTTTGCGTACTATTCGGAGTGGTTCTCAAGTTGCAACCGCTTTGAGCTCTGTCATACCAGAACAGCACGAAGGCCAGAATATGTATATAGCCGAATGTCTCTGCGGCTTGAGAGGTGACAGCATCGTTGTGGAAAGCTTAAGAGTGGCCCTGTTCTTGGTTTCTAATGGCTTCCCGATTGGAAAACTCGATGAAGTCTCAAATCGTTGGTCCGATGATTCGTCAGATGACTGGCCAGAAATCCGTCATCTGAATAGAAGCTCTCAAAGACACGAGACGGGGCATTCTAAGGAGGATCAAATCAGCAAAGAAGATGAACTTATTATGGCCGTATTCCCTATGTCGGGGTTCAACAACCCTCAAATCCTCGGGCAATTGCTCTCTGTCCCTGGGGCGACAGTGCAAACTATTGCCCAAAAACTTTTTGCAAGCGCTGTAAGGACCTACGACTTGAAAGCTCTCCGAATGATTTTGAATGCAGGAATGAGTCCGGACACTCCCGTTCTTTATGGTCACTTTCCCTGTCCGCCGTTGATAATTGCCACCTTGGCCCAAGATTCATCATTGGCTCTGGACATGGTTCGTCTGTTGCTTTCCCATAATGCCGGGACTAAGAATCCTGATGTCCTGATGGGAGCGCTTTTCCACGCAATCCGTTTGAACAATCTAGAGCTCGTGAGAATATTGCTCTCTAGAGGAGCACCTATCGGAGGAGAGGAGCTGGTGGCCGCTATTGAGGTGGAAAGTCCCAGTCTAGTACAGACGCTCTTGGATGCTGACCCCAATGTCAATAAACGGACGGACCACTGCACCATTCTTGGAGTAGCCGTGAAAAGAAATGACATACTTCTCACGGAAAGGCTACTTGCCTTGGGTGCGGTGGTCGATGCACTGCAATCCATTACATCTCAAGAAATAGACGGCGATTGCTATTTCGATACTACAGCACTTGGAGTGGCGGCTAAAAATAAAAATAGTGAGATGATCAATCTCCTACAAGCTCGTGCAAACGTCAACCATGAGGCCGCTACAGATCGCTACATACCCCCACTCGTGCTGGCTGTTGTAAGTGGCTGTAAAACCACTACCAAGCGTCTACTTGAAGCAGGTGCAGATATTAGTGTCGCAGATGCAACTCGAGGGAAAACACTGATTGAACGGGCTCTGGACAGACATGACCTGGAAATGTGCAGGATGCTTATGGCCAGCGGGGGTAGCGTTGATGGAAAGTTGATGGAGGATTATTATACCTCACAGTTGTACCAAATAGTAAAGCAAAGGGATATCGACACGGTGACTCTCCTCTTGAGCTGGGGGGCAAGAATAGACGAGAATTATGACGAGGTACCTGATACAGTTCTCGGAGCAGCCATTAGTCGCGGGGATTGTACAATGATCCACACTCTTCTACAAGCGGGAGTGACAAATCCAGGGCGAATTCTGATTGAAATTGGCAGCTTGGAGACTGCAAAATTTCTGGACCTACTTGGAATGCTGTTTGATATTCTCTTCCGCTGTGGGCAACCTATTCTTGTATCAGCTATCCGCGAGGAAAGCTGCGGGAGAGGTGACGGGCTCGTCCAATATCTATTAAATCTGGATGTGGACCGCCAGCGGGGAACTGTTGGGTGCCAGCCATTTGAGACGAAGACAAAGTCCTATACTCAGTTGGCCATGGTTACTAGATCCCCATTAGCCGAAGCGATCTTCTGGCGGAATGCAACACTCGCAAAGATTCTGGTTGAACGTGGTGCTCCTGTTACCGATTTTGAGCTTTGTGAAGCGGTCGAACGGTATCGTTGCTACCGCAAATATGATTTTCTCTTCTTGCTATTGCCCGTGCTCTCGCAGTATCCATGTGCAGTCCCCAACGCATTTGAGAAGGCCATGTAGTATAAACATATTGTCTTTCTCGTGCAGCGCTTCTTAGACATTGGACTTGATCCACGGGGCAAGGTCGTTTCCAACGGATCTTCCCAGTACATACAACTCTATCAACTGTATGGCACCATCAAATACGAGCTCCTTGACTCTGTTCTTGAAGGTGCTGCTGTATGGATGGATGGATTGAGTCTCAAAACGCTCCTTCGAGCCACAACGTGGACAGACATAGAGAAGGGGCGGGCCCTTACCATGTGCATCTATTACAAAAACAAGCACTTAGTACAGAGTTTATTGGATGCCCAGGCAGACGTGAACCAAGAATTGACCGAGAACCAGAATACTGTTACGCCGGTCCTCCTTGCAGTCCGGGAGCGGGACATTGCTTTAACAATGTGTCTGATCAATGCTGGCGCTGATCATAGACGTCCGACAATCTTCGAAACTGCGGTTCTCACAGGGAGCAAACCGATCGTAAAGATCCTACTAGATGCAGGAGCGAATGTCAATTACCCTGCGTCTCCTCGCCGTGGACGGACAGCATTGCAGCTTGCGACAGAGAAAGGAAACATTGAGTTAGTGGACATGCTACTAGAAGCAGGAGCAGGTGTAAATCAAGAACCGGCTGAAGAAGGAGGAGCCACAGCGTTGCAGCTAGCCGCTATTCAAGGATACATTGGAATAGCCCGCAAGCTGCTAGACAGCGGCGTGGATGTTAATGCAGCTAAATCCCCTTACTGGGGGAGGACCGCGCTGGAGGGTGCTGCAGAGCATGGCCGCCTTGATATGCTCCAGCTACTTCTCCACAAAGGAGCGTCAATTCAGGGACCAGGCAGATGCCAGTACATCAGAGCGATAAAGCTTGGAGAGAGGTATACACACTACGCCGCAACAAAGCTCCTTCGGGATCACGGGGGTTGGAATGAAACTGATTCCCGACAATACGAGCACGAGGATTTTGACTTTCACGAGCATCGGAACGAAACAAAGGAGAAAAGTAGGATGACCTGATAGATGGACAAAGCTGACTATACAGGAAGGATGCGAGAAAAGCAACGCTTACAACCGTATCGGTTAATTTGAGAAGTCTGAACCGTCCGAAGACCAATAGAGGTTTATTCAGCAATAGATGTTCATTGTAACACAGTCGTTTATAGTCTAGGTGCTACTATGTCAATTTGAGGAGATTATGAGGTTATACTGAAAGCGGCATGGGAATTGAATCGTATTCTCTCACTTCCCGGAACTAGGTGTACGGCTATAAAAGTCACGGTATTCGTCCATTTCCTGATCTGTGGACTGTTGATATGCCAGTATCGAGTAATAGCGGCTTGGATAGAAGCTTAATGAAGGCTCTGTGACCTGGTGCTAGAGTGAATAGCTTATGAAGCTCCTGATAGCTAGCGCTAATGCCGAACTAGGTTCTGACAGGGGGCCTGTCTTGCACCAGGTATGACTCGCCACTGGAATACGCGAATCAACTACTTCTCGACAGATATCGCTTGAAAAAACATTGTGCGCAAGTCAAGTAAAATAGAGATTACTATTCAGTTTGGCCAAGGTCTATATAACAGAGCCTCCACGGATCCAGAGTGGCAGGTTGAAGAGCAAAAAGTAAATAGTCCCACTAATTCGCTATACGAGCGGGCGAGTCATCACCTAATCATGATTTGCGGAAGTAACTAGCGTACCGTGGTTTATGTACCCTAGCCCGACACTGGCATATATATATCCCGAAAGCCTCCTCGCCACATACCTCATATCCCTCCTCTGCATACTATAACCATTGTAAGCATTAATATATCATGCCGGGCATTTACCCCAACACTCCTGTTATAGGTCCTCCCTCCCGGGGGCCTGATCAACCCTGGTGAAACCAGCCTCCGAGCCGCTTGCCCGTCGGTACCATGAACGAAAGAGGCGAGAGTCCGCCTCCTCAGATAAACTTGACTCTGAACCTTCTCGCCAGGGCAGCAGTTCTATAGAGCAACTTTTTGGGGAGCCATTTCGAAACTCTCAAGACTCCTGAAACTCTACAGGAAGTGTAGAGAGATGCCTCGAGGAAGATCATCACTTAGTGACCGCTGGCACGAGTTTAAACGCCACTTGCCGTAATTTGTGTGGAAGACAAGAGCTGTACTGTGTGCCTTATTTCATTGGAGTATGGGGCTGTACAGAGTAAGATACGACGTTGATGATATATAGTTCAAGCGACTTTCTCCCTTGTATTTCCCCCCTTCTTTCCTTTGTCCTTTCATGTATGAAATATGTATATCTTGTCAGGCTTGCTTAGTTTTGTGTCAAACTAGCTAAAGCTCTGGATCACTAATTAAATTGGTTGCTTGAAGCTTCACATCATATCCCATCAAAAGGCTTGAAAGGACATGGTTTTAGGGCATCACTTCGGGAACTGCTATTCAGGAATCTTCAGAGCATATATTATATATCTTATGCAAAAAGTCTACAAGCTCTAATGATGTGGGAATGATTTTGACTTCAGATTCATCCCAGGTATGCGATTTTTCGTGAGATAATAGCAAAGCCAACATTGTTTCAAAAGACTGTAAAATTAATTCGAGCGCCGATCATCTGCCAAAATTCTGCCTCCCGTCTAAGGCGGTGAGTCACACGTTGTTGGGTATGTTAACGTCAAAATTTGACATCATATGGAATGCTGTGAATGTGGAAAAATGATTCAGGTGAACGACATTGCAAGTGCTAACAGCCCTGCAAATGGTAGCTCTGAGAAAGATGCAGCGTTGGCTTTGGTCAGCGATGTGGCGCAGGAGATCGACCCTCTTGTAGAAAGAAGGGTGCTGCGAAAAATTGATATGTTTTTCATGCCTGCTATGTTGATAGGTGAGTTACACTCCGGACCAAGACGCAGAAGATCTCGGTCAGAAGCCTTGGCTGACTCAGTGCAGGTTATGGCATGGTATACTATGACAAGGTACGATAGAACCATAGATCTTCTTTCTGAGGACAATATATTGATCTGCTTGTCAGGCCATTTTAGGCAGTAGCTCACTCTTCGGCATGACAACTGACTTGGTGTTGGAAGTAGTCGACCATTCCACTTCTCCTCCGTCGACTGACACTTCACGGCTCAGCTGGGCAACGTCCATCTTCTACTTTGGAATGCTGGCTGGTCTCTATCCAATGACCTTCGTATTCCAGAGGTTCAGCACTCGTTATGTCCTAGGGCCTGTAGTCCTCCTCTGGGCCATTGTCTGTGCGGCCACGGCCGGCGTGACATCATGGCGCGGATTGTTTGTGCAGCGCTTCTTTCTTGGTACACCCCACATGGATCCAGGAGTGTATAGCAACCCCATCTGACCAGAACCAGGATTCATCGAAAGCGTTATCCCAACTGGGTTCATGACCATCGTCAGTGGCTACTACACGCAGGAAGAGCAGGCTCTCCGACAGGCATGGTGGTTCTCCGGCACCGGCTGGTTCACGATCATCGGTGGAGCACTCAACTACGGCTTCGGACAAATTACTTCGGGCTCTTTGACAAGATGGCAGTATATTTACATTCTTGCGGGTGCTTTGACATTTCTGTTTGGTCTTTGGTGCTGCATGATGCCTAACTCCCCAGTATCCGCTTGGTTCTTGACTCCGGAAGAACGAATGGTGGCAGTGGAGCGACTGCGGAAAGGCCAGACCGGTGTCCGATGCCAAACGATCAAGCTCGACCAAATCAAAGAATCCCTGTTGGACTTTAAGATCTACCTGGTAGCCATCATGATGGCGGCGGCGTGAGTCTCCCCTTCCAAATATTATATGCAGATGCTTACTAGCATAGGTATACCATTAACGGTGCCATCTCTGGCTTTGGCCCTTTGATTGTTTCTACCTTTGGCTACAACACACTTGATTCTATCCTATTCCAATTCCCCGTCGGAGGCGTTTGTGTCATCTTCATTCCGCTGTGTGGATACATCCCCACTCGCATCCCCAATACTCGGATCCCAATGCTTATTGCCTGCTGCCTTCCTGTGATAGCTGGCTGTGCGATGATCTGGAAGTCGGAGTGGGGATATCACCCAGCTACGCCGGTCGCGGGCTATGCGCTCACTGGCTTCTTTGGCCCGGTGGTCAGCCTTATCATTACCATTGGCGCCAGCAATGTGGCTGGTGCCACCAAGAAAACTGTCATGGCAGCCACAGTCTTCGTAGCTTATTCCGTGGGAAACATTATCGGACCGCAGTTGGTCAACAGCGGGACCAAAGATCAGCATTACCCAGAGCTGTGGAAGGGCTTGATTATCTGGTGGGTTTGCATACTGAATGTTCAATTGAATATACAATCTGACAATCTCATAGCTATTGTATCGCCATTGCCGCTGCCACCGTGCTTTATGTGGTGCTGTGGAGGGAAAACCGAGCTCGGGACATGTTGGACCTGGACGATGTGCAGCGAGACAAGATAGCCTTTGACGACCTAACTGACAAGCAGAACCCCTTCTTTCGATACGCGTTATAATATAGTTGAATGGGAACCAGTAGGTTACAATAATTCTTACAGACAAGGGTGTCCTGTGTCTATTTCAAAAGATCACACACCATTGCCAACATCAATATGATTTCTTTAATGGGAACAAAGTATAGTAGTTTAACAAATATATCTAAAGAACAGTTGGGAAACATCTCTACCAGTCTCAGTGTGAAAGGCTACATGGAAATAAGCAGAGGGACCATGCTTAAGCGAGTACAGTGTCTATCTCAGACATAATGAGCTTGCTTGGCCTCATGGATCCTTGCCGTCTTGCTTTTCCCGTCGTCGCCTTCCCTCTTAACTTCCTGATAATTACAATGCCCAACTCGCTATCGGCTTTATTCCAAAGAATTTGGAGACCTTGAAGTAACTTCCCTTAAGCAATGACTGTAAAGCTAAAGCAAATGTTTGATTACTGACAATACGAAGAAACTGTGTTCGAAGAAAGACGACAGCTAGCTCTTACAAGCCAGTTTGCAAGCTCATGGGCTCTGTTCAACCACAAAGAGATTTTACTACAGATATCGCTGGGTATTTCTTTCCGGGGCGATTACTCATTTCTTCATTCGGACAAGGCAGCGTTACTTATTATAAATATTGTATTCTGCTTTAGGTACCTTTTTGCCGCCTCCACGGACAAAATTGAAAGATGCAAAGCAGGTGGTCGTTGATCTTGCTCAGAAGGCACATGATACCGAATTCAAATGTATTGTTCGGCATGACTTTGTCTTTGGGGAGAACGAGTGAGCCTTGGTCCTGCTCTAACTATTTGATAACAGACACAGTGTCAAGATCTTCCCTTGTCTACTTCCTTCCTTATTATCACAGAGACTCAAGTGTTCACGGCACCTTTACTCACCCAGCAGAGAAATGCTTTTTTGAGACAATGCAGGCTGGCATCAGCGACAAAACTCGTCCTTGTTCTCAGCCCAAAGAAATTCAAGATCATGTTATAGAATCTTACAACAAGGCATGGGGAGCGGAAATCATCTCACTCTCCTACAGACAAATCTCACAGAAAGTGACAGCGAACAGTCTTAGGATGGGGCAATGGGACCCCTTTGAACTCCAGGCTCATTATTTCAGAGGAGCCTTGCTTAATGATGAAAAACGTAACAGAATCTGCAAGCCACTTTTTTTTTTTTCATGATATCAAAGGTTCTAAATGCTGCGAATTAGATAGCGTATGCTGCAGATCACGACCCCAGGGCTGATGATATCCGCGCCTTGATATATGAAGCTTTCTGCTCTGATGCTGCTCAGGCGCCTGGTCCTGTCGAGAAGACGGTCACTGAATCCGGATGTGCGATTCTCGAAAGATCGCAAGGAAATTGAGCGACCAGGCAAAATTTCTGCCCCTCTTTGACCGCTATGATGCCATTCTGTCATGTTTCAATGGCAAATGCACGGATTGCGAAGTAGTCTAGTGGCTTTTAGTGAGGGTTGAGGGTCGTCCCGAGTTTAGTGTTGATTTACTTAATGGCGCTGGGGAAACACAAGACGAAATGAAACTTTTTCTTTACAATTATCTTTTAATATTAAGGGCTTGTCTTCTCTACTTATGCTACATTCTTGGGCTGTTGAACCTCTCACAAAAGGCATGTCGGCCAGCCTCTGTTTCCGGCGGCAAAGCCTGAGCCATCTAAATGGACATTCGAAAAAATACGCGGAAGACCTTCTGGAGACGGTATAAAACGCCGTGACACACGTGAAAATAACATGAAAAGAAACTAATAAGGCTGTCTTAATGCATTGTTCTTGAATTGCTCAGAGTCGCGATTTACCACTGGAACCCTCGTTTTCCAGGTCCTCAAATGCCCGAAAGATATACTGACGCCCTCCCACGGACACTTTCTGCCCTGGAGATGCCCAGGAGCCCTGTATTTTGCCGTCTATCCCGATTCTCATTGAAGGCAAACTCTGACCACTCGGACCAAGAACATACTTCTCTTCCCACTGAGTGCCAGACCACTCCTCCCTCCGAGCACTCACCGGACCCCCCTTGACTTCTACTTTCCACTTCCCAGCAGATGACCGGCTCTGAACATGAACCTGCTCCTGGTGCAAGGCAAGATATGTGTCCCCAATCCGACCCAAAAAGGTCTTCCAGATCAGATACTGCCCTTCTTTCTGTTCACAATCTGCAGACTCCAAGATCCATGCCCTGCGCGGTTCGGGACTATTGCGCAACGAATGATACCTCCACACTTCTTCATACTTTGTCACCGGTGCTCCGGGCTTATCTGGACGCGGCATAGCCCCGGTTTCTATGTCGTCTCCATTTGGAAGAGGGATGAATGGACAGGGGTCGCTGATGTTGAAGTTGTTATGTGAGTCGATGGTGTGAGTGAAGACTAATCGACCTATTATTATTGTCAGAATTTATCTTCTTGAAAAATATTAATATGGGACAAGTATCGGTTGGGGGCGGGGGATGTGTATACGTGGACTTCCGGGCTGTTGCAGGCATTGGCCCGCTATGGCCCAGTCAATGAGACCTGTTTTCTTGTCGACGCGCAAGTCGACGTACCACTCGCCTATTGTGAGGACAATACTATCTGTGGTTTCGAAGGGGGGTTCCGGCAACCATCGTATAGATACGCGCGTCGATATTTGTGTTTGCGGGGGTTTGGATGGTGACATTTGCAAGTGTACAGTGGGACCTTCACTGAGGGTCGTGAATAGCCAAAAATTTTCGGGTACAGTGAGCCAATCTAGGGTTTGTCGTAATTGATAAAGCAAATGTACAGTGGGTTATGTAGGCAGTGGCTCGTCATGTCCAAGCACTTGGAATTGTGGGGCCTCGCTGGTGGTTGTCAAATGGACTGAACCCTAAGCATTGAGTATCGGGTACACAAGAGGGGCCTATACCACTGCCCTTCTCCTCACTTTGTTTGTTAACTTTTATTTTTATTTTAGTTTATTTCCTGTGACCGATGATATCCTCGCTCAGACCATTCTCCGTTCTCCCCGCACTTCGGAATATCGCTGGCGGTTGCCAGTCCTGCAGGGACTTTCCATTATCCAAAAGCATTGAATTGAGCGTAGAATAAACTTCATCTGACATTTTCATATCCTGAAGTTTATCAATGTTTCGCAGGCACTTGCCACAGACTGGCTCGATGACTCTTCGCTGTTGACGGTTATTATTCAGATCCAAGCTCATGCACTATTCCCGAAGATAAGATAAAGAGTATTCGTCTTGACCTTTGCAACTTATGAAGACCTACCACTCACTCACTTAGCTTTCAGTAATTAGCTCAAGATGTCACTAGCACTCGGCGCCCTCTTGATCATGATCACCTCCTCAGCGCTCCACTACCTCTACACAACCCTAATATCCAGCCCTCTAGCACGCATCCCAGGCCCCAAATCTTTTGCCCTGACGAAACTATACCTCGCCCGCGAGGACTACAACGGCACGCGCACCCGCAAGCTCAACACATTCCACAAACAATACGGGCCCGTCGTGCGCATCGGCCCAAACGAAGTAACCTTCAACAGCACGTCCGCACTACGCGCCATCTACGGCGCAGGCAGCGGTTTCGAACGAACAGAATTCTACCGGATGTTTGAAGCCTACGGGCGGAAGAATATGTTCTCGTTCACGGGCGTCAAGGAGCACGGCGAGCGAAAAAAGATGTTTGCGCATGCGTACGCTAAGTCTGTTATGTTGCGGGGTGAGAACGCCGCTATGATTGAGGGAAAGGTCAAGTTGTTCTTGGAACTATTGGAGCGGGAAGGGCGTGTGAATGAAATTTTCTCGACACTGCACTACTTCTCGCTCGATAATATCACCAAGTTCCTGTATGGTCGGTTTGGGAGGACAGCGTGTCTGGAGGGCGTGGAAAAGGATCGCGCTCTGATTAGCGACATTGTTGATACCTCCCGTCGTACGTTGACCTGGTATACGGTTCATTTCCCCGGCTTCACGAAGTGGCTATATTCGCGAACTGGGATCATGGCGTGTGTGGCGCGCCGGTTCTACCCCATGCGCGAGCCGACGACGTACACGGGTATTCGGCTGCACGCGATGAAAGCCTGTCAGGCTTTCTCCAAGGCGCCTTTGAGTGGGAGAAATAGTGAGTCAGCTCTTATTGCCAAGCTATGGAATTACCATCGCTCGCAGAAAGAGAATGGCATAGAAAATTTGGACATCGCAGCGGAGTGTGCGGATCACCTTCTTGCTGGGATCGACACGACGAGCGATACACTAATGTTTCTCATCTGGTCGCTCTCTCGACCTCAGCACCGCAAATTCCAAGAGCGACTCATCCAAGAGGTTCGGGCAATCACAGAGGATGGACTCAATGCCGATGGTGTTCCGAGGGCGGAAATATGCGACAGACTGCCCTACGTGGACGCTGTCATCAAGGAGACACTACGTCTGTATGCGCCTCTTCCGGGATCAGAGCCACGGTCGCTTCCCAAGACAGCGACAATCGATGGGTTTGTGATTCCCGCGCGGACGGTCGTGTCGATTTCGCCGTATGCGCTGCATCGCAACCCGGACATTTTCAAGGATCCGTCGGCATTCAATCCCGAGCGCTGGCTTGACTCGCAGGGATCTGCTGAAATGAAGAAGTGGTTCTGGGCTTTTTCGAGTGGAGGAAGAATGTGCATTGGGATGCAGTGAGTTACTCTTCTTGGTATCCGTGATATGAGCTGTACCCATGACTTAATTCTGTAGTCTCGCGATGGCAGAGATGACCACTTTAGTGGCAGCGATTTACCACAAATACAACACAGTAACCAGAGGTAATTTCGATGTCGTTTCTCCAGGAGTGACCGCTCGCTATGAGGTGTTCTTCGACGAGGGCTGCAGTGGAGTGCGGGTATGATCTGACACTTCTCTTATGTAGTATACAAAAAGCTGACGCGAGTACAGGAGCATGAGTGCCAGATCGAGTTCGTACCTCAATAGCTATAAAAGATTTATAAAAAGCCTGTAAATGAATTTGTCGTGCTAAATCCACCGGCCTCTGGTCAAATTGATCGCATAATTCCATAACATTTCTCTTTTCCTTCAGCAAGTACGCATGCCCATATAGACAAAAATATAGTCAAGTAAAAGCACGGCAGTATTCAATGCATGATTCTTGATTCATTAGCAGTATCCCGAATGCGGTGCATAGCTTTAAAGAAAATACCCCCATCTTCCTTTACTCGGGCCTGTCTGCGCGAAAAATGCCCCGGTAAGGTGCGGAGAAGTGTAATTCGGAAATCACCTGCGATTGTACTCTGTATACTCTGTTTTGTTGTGGATCAAGCAATTTTCCAGGCTGAGGCAAGAGCCTGCGAAAGTGGAGCAAAACTGCTCCACTTTCTTATGTATAGAAAGGGCAAGAGCTAGATAGTGATAAATAGATATAAACATACCTTTCACTGAATGTCTGTAGATTCTCATTCATTCTTCAACAACGGACGGCTTCACCATGCGAACCGCCCTTCTCACCGGATCTCTGTTCCTCCTCCACGGAGCAGCAGCTCTCAACCTTGGGCCGGACTATAGCCATCCAATTGAAGGTAGAATTACAGACTAATACAAGGCTCTGCCTCTCGCCCCAAGACAAAATCCGCTAATACCAATCCAGACCTAGACGTCGACCTCCCCTTCTCGCAACCAGTCACCTTCGCCCACCTCGAATGGCAGCGCTGTCTCTCTGCATCTTACAACAAGGCACGTACTCCGGCACTCCGCATCCTTATATCAATCCTAATGCCTGAAGATAAAATACAGCCCCTAGACATCGCCCTTCTCGGCTTCCCCTACGACACCTCCACCTCCTATCGGCCCGGCGCCCGCTTCGGACCACGCGGTATCCGCGCCGGGTCCGCGCGCGAGAAGAAAGGCCGCAGCTACAACACCGTCTGGGACGTTGATCCGTACGACGAAGGGCTGGAAATTGTACCCCTCCTTCTACCTACTGCCCCATTTCCATTTTACAGTTTAACTAACATAGGGTATAGATTGATTGCGGCGACATCCCAATAACCCCCTTCGATGCAGCCCACGCCTTCAAGCAAATGGAACAAGGCTACAGACAAGTCCTATACCAGCCTACCTCGGACCAGAATGCGTGGTCCCATCCTCGGATCGTAAGTCTGGGCGGAGACCACTCGATTGTGTTACCGATTCTACGGTCGTTGAAGACGGTGTACGGGCCTATTTCTGTTATTCATTTGGATTCGCATTTGGATACGTTCGTTCCCTTTTTCTTTGTGCTTCTTTTCTTCTGCCATGGTGGGGATTAGTTTGGGTGGGATGGGATGAAATGGCTAATTGATAATCGATGGGTAGGTGGGACCCCTATGAGGGCTACACCGGTATCGCAAGCAACCAGTCGGCCATCACGCACGGGACGTTCTTCTGGCATGCAAGTCGGGAGGGATGTATTTCGAAGGGGACAAGTGTGCATGGGGGGTTAAGGACGAAGTTATTTGTTTGTTTCCCTTGTCTTTTCATTCTTCACTGGCTCTGGATAAGGAAGAGTGAGGTGAACTGATGTGATGGTTGCAGGGACCGAAAGACTACGAGATCGACCGCGACGTTGTCGGCTTTACCATTATCGAGGCGCATGAGATCGATGATATTGGGATGATGGGGATTATTCAGAAGGTCCGGGATGCGGTCAAGGATACGCCGACTTATCTTTCTATTGATATAGACGGTAAATTTATTTCCTGTCCTTCAATCCGTGAGGGATGATAACTAATGGGAGAAGTGTTGGACCCCAGTATTGCCCCCGCGACTGGAACCCCCGAGTCTGGCGGCTGGACGACGCGCGAGCTGAAACGGTTCATTAAGGGTCTAGAAGGCGTCAATCTTGTTGGTGCTGATGTGGTGGAGGTCAGTCCGCCCTACGATACGGTCGCGGAGACAACTTCCGTCGCGGCGGCGGATCTGATCGTGGATATCCTGGCGGCTATGGTTAAGAATAATGGAGATGGGAAGATGAAGTCAGGAGTGAAGGATGAGCTGTAGGAACCAGAAGCAGCTGGCAAGATGACATTAGCAGACTGCATGCTAAATAGTTACTATATCGGCAATACCAATCTGCCCGACCGCCTTAGGGCGTCTCTCCAACTGAAAACACTCTCATCCCTGTCCATGATAGCCCATAATTCCTGGACAACCATCCACTGCCTCGTAAAGTTCCCCACCCAATAGCCCTGCACCCTGGTCCACCACTCCACCCAGGGAGTCCGATAAGACGCTTCACAGGCTGCAATAAACGCCGGCCAGGACATTGGTGCAGCCCGCTTCTCGCCGCCCATGTATAGGTCCTTGAGGTCTTCCGCGGTGGTGAGATTCTCCCAAACCGAGCACACCTCGGTTTCCAGATCTATCTGGGAGTCTGGCTGGACCGTGCGGCAGTAGAAGATTAAGACGGCGCTATGGAATGCTCGGGCCTGACAGCGTGCTATCTCCAGCATGGTCTCTTCCGAGCCAAAAAGATAGGATTTTTCTGACTCGATTGACCATCTACGGAGCTCGTCCTTTAGGTTCTCTCTAGCCTGGAGTATAAATTCGGGGGCTTCTCGCCCTTGGTAGAATGAGAGGCATTCCGCCAGCTGACATGTTCTTTGTAGTAGGTTCCCAAGTGTTGGGGTGATCCCGTAGATGTATTCAATGCCTCTGTCGTCGCTGTTAAAGTACGGGGTCTCAAAGGACGATTTGTCAATTGAACAAGCGCGCGGTTCGAGCTCGTTTGACGTTGTTCGGGCAAGCAGCGTTAGGAAATGACAAATACTGGTAACCTGCCTGCTGGAATCATCGATAGCTCTGGAATCCGCTGAAGGCCGCTTCAGCTGCCGACAGCCACGCAGGTGGATCTGGAAGTCGGAATCCTCTCCGGTCATGGTCTATAGGTTAGTCGTGATGGCCGTCAAGTGCGGGGAGAATACCTACATCGATCGTCACTAGAGACAGCATTGCTGTCAAACAGACAGTGTAGAACTGGGTATCGCTGGGATGAGCGAGTGCGGTATTCAGGGCATGTAAGGCCCTAGCTCGGTGCTGCAGACCAAGCCTATGGAATCTCTTCGAGCCGCGTCTCACATTCCGGAGGTGGAATGCAGCTGATGAAAGTACGCTGTGGAAAAGCGCAATTGAGACGCCTGATGGCGGGGCGGCACACTGCGCCAGAAACAAATCCGGACAGCCTTTCAGGGCGAATGGGAAGTATGTCGTCCGCCATGGATTGCTAGGGTGGAGAACTGGCTGGAGGAGCTCAGCGACGTGGTTCATGTAGTGATACATGAGCATGGATGTCTCGGGATTTTGAAACAGTGGCATTGAGAGCTCAAGGCTGGGAGAACAGGGAGATGGCCGGATTAGATCTGGGTGACATATCGACAGGATTTCTGCATCCTGTGAAGGTAAGAGAGGGTCCATATCAAGTGGAGCTTGCTCAACGAGCTGTGAGCTTGGGATCACGCATGTGCTTGAATTTACTTCTGACGGCGTTATCTGGTGGTAATCACTAGGGAAGGCTTGACCCTGCACTTGGGATCCAAAGCAGCCACCAATATCGACACAGTTCCTCTCATTTGGCACAGATGAAGACCGCTGTACGCGAGGCCCCCGATGTTGTAAAGACAGTTGGTTTGCTTCTCGAGACTGCGATGACTCCTTTGAGTTGTGTTTGGCATCAGCAAGTTCCCAACTGCAGTCGGAATGGTTCATATGATCTCCCCCATTGGAGACTTCATTGGCATAGGCCTCGGTATGAAATACCCCAAAAGGCCCCATACTAACAGTTTTTGAGGGCGCCGCGATTTCATCGAGAGCTACCAGCATCCGATTAACCTCATCATCCGGTATACCAGGCGCCAACGGTTGAACTGATCGGTTAGTCCTATCAACAGCCAAGAATAAAAGATGATTCTTACTAGGTTTGATGTGCCTCCGCCGCAGCCCGTGCAACTCACTCCTTTCTCCCGTAATCCAGCACAGATTCACGCCATAACCGGCACACTGCAGCGCAGCACGCTCACAGACCCCACACCCATTCGTCTGTCGCTCATCGCACTTGACTTTGCGGGAGCGACAAGTCCAACACCTTAGACAAGCTGTCAGCTTACGATACACCAAGAGCCGAGCGACCTACCCAGTGAACGTATACGACTTCGGCTTTCCCTGTCGTCGGGCTCTCAAGCTAGCCTTTGGACCCTCCATGGTCGGCACTATTGGTGGTGTCACAGCACTCGCACTCAATCATACCCCAGCGAGAGAAATATGAGACCCTACACTCGATACACGCGCAGCCATATCAGTGACACCGTTATCAGTTAGCAAGAAGTGCGATTATGCAGGTCGGGAAAAGCGTCGGCATTAAACCGGATTAGGCAAACCGGGTGTAAGTCGACGATATCAATGCGGGGTTTATTGAATGGCTGTTCAGGGCGGAATTAATCCTCGAGCGGGGACGTCAAGTCATGTATAAATGAAATGCCGGATATCAGTTGCTGGCTTATCGCGATAATCTACCAGGATTTGATATCGGAAAGTGCCTGCGATCCTATTGAAATGCTCAGATCATAGTTATACACATATCCATCCATCCATCATACTACCATACTGGTTCTCTCTGTATACCTCAATAACCCTAATTGTGCATCTCCACCCGCGGCCCCATGTACTTCCCCCGCCCATGCACCATCCACCATGCCCCCACCAACACCATCATCCCACAAGTAATAACACTAGTATAGTTCATCGAGTCCGGCGACGTAGGCAGCGAGTACGGGAAGCAATAAACCACAAACGACACAGCAATATACGCACAAGCTGCAACATTAACCACTGCCCCGAATCTTCCCATCCAAAACGGACCAGGCCGAATATTCCTCCGCCCCGTCAGAAGATGCGGCAGGATCGCCAGAAAATAGGAAAGTGTGGTGAGCAGCACAAACGACCCGATAAATGCGTTGAATGCCGTCAGTGATCCGACGTAGATGGCTCCGATGCAGGTGAGGAATACACCACACGCCAGTGTTGCCCATAGCGGACTGTGGCATCTCGGACTGACGGCCCCGATCTTGGACGCAAATGGCGTCGCGTCGTCGCGGCCTAGGGCGTAGATTGTGCGGCCGGCTGTGACGTAGCAGCCGATTGTGGCGCAGAAGACGGGCGCGATGGTCACAGCTAGGAGGCCTACGGCGCCGGCTCGGGAGCCTGTTGCTTGCAGGTAGATGTCACCTACGGGACACATGGACTCGGTGCTCATGATGAGGGGGAGGTCATTGACAGCGTAAAATATCGAGATGAGGTAGCAGGAGCCGGTGGCGAACCCAATCACGATCTGGCAGGCCAGGGCCTTAGGGATGTTTTGTTCTGCTCTGGGGAATTTTAGTGTCTAAAGGCGACAATGGGGGAGAATGAGAAGGCTTACTGGGGAATCTCCTCCGCAATGTGGGTGACACAGTCGATTGCGCCCACTGCGAATGCACCATTCAGCATGCCTGCCAGAAAGACGAACCCGTCGCTCGAGTACCCGGTCATGTTAGTCCAATCTTTCCAGACAAAGTTATCCGAGGCGTATCCAGCGCCTGTCCGACTGGGCATGACCGCGCAGACAATGATGATTATGATGAAGCCCGCGATGATGAAGAACGACCCCAGTCTGCTGACCCATGGCAGTGCACGTTGAGCAAACATGACTGTGAAACAGCACACCCACGACATGATCAGATAGAAGATGAACACATGCCACTGCTCGGGCTCAAAGCTGGGATGGTATAGCGCGTATGCGTATACGATCATGTTGCTGCACATGGAGCAGTTTGCGGCCACGGCAAATGTCCATGCAAGGCCATTTAGCCAGCCGGCGAACCAGCCACAGATTCGGCCATATCGAGGGCCGGCTGTGATTGTTGCCCAGTGGTAGACTGTACACCATCAATATATGTTTGGACATCAATTTTACGGTGTATTTACCTCCTCCCGACGCTGGAACAGCAGATGCCAATTCAGCAATTGATGCCGCAATCGGACAGTAAAAGACCGTGACCGCAACGCTATATAGTCAGCACACCATCAACTCGGGTGAAGCTCCAGTGACGGACAACTCATATATCACACCAGGTGGACCGCCATTGTATAGTGACGCAATCTAAATTTGTTAATGCAGATATGAGTGGGACGCAGACAGACTCATACAATTCCACCCCCCAGAACAGCCCAGACATTTCCAGTAGTTATACCAGTCGCACACGCACTAAAAAGGTTAAAGCTTTTGGCCAGAACCGGAGTCTGACTAGCAACGTTGATATCGGCTTCGACGGCACCAGTTGCCGAGCATTGGGATGATTCGAGATCAGAGCATTTTCCCGTATTGTCAAGCGATGCCATGATGAATGTATTTCCTCTTTTGATTTGAACAATGTCATTAGGTGTCCACGGATGGATTTTATATAGTCTTAATGACCGCAACTATGTTGTACATATTCACTTCAAATCCTACGCATAACTCCCATCAATGTTATCAAACCCCAGGACTAAGGTCGCTGGCTGTTGCCAAAAAAAGGCAAAAAGGTTTCTTTTGGACTTGATATCTCTGATCAGTCATGATCAAATGATAAAGATGCACAGTCTCATTGGGGGCTCTCTGGCTCTTAGCAGAAGGATCAAACCGGACTATCTTCACCTTTCTCAAACATGGTCTTGATAATGGCAAACTGACAAAACCCGACGCTCGCTGGCGGTTACCCTACCGCCAGTCCGGCATCAAATCAGCATAATCATGAGAAAATCATATAAACCGCCCGACTTGGTTGATATCAAACTGCAATACACTGTTTTATCATTGATTTGGCAAAGCTCAATTATTCTCATCATGGCGCTCTATTTCTCGCACAAACACATCCTTATCTCAGGGGCCTCTCAGTCCCGCGCATCTGCCTTGAAAGCCGAGTTTAGTAAGTACAGCACTTGCTCATGAAAACAGCGGCAATGTGTACTCATTCAATTGTATAGGAAGCAGCAATACAACTGCCATCGCCGATCTAGATGGCCTCGTATCCCATGATGATCCATCCCAACTCGCCACCCAGGTCGATGCACTCTTCACCACCTTGGAAAACAGAGTAGACCTATTCATCATTGACGCGAGGACGCATGCTCCTTCTGGCAAGGACCCAATCTGGAAGATCCCTCTGAATGAGTGGGAAAACGACACATCCCGAGTCGCTCTGCGCAAGGTGTTGTGCCAGGCCAAGTCCTTTCTGCAACGGCAGGCAAAGACGCATGAGACACATCCGTGTTCAATCGTGATCCTGGGCTACAAAAGCGCTTTTGAAAGCACCCTGGACCAGGTTATCTTCAAGCTACAGCGGGATGTGACTCTCCTTCATGCAAACCAGTCCATCCATTTCCTGGACATTGAACCGAACGCCTACGATGCTTCTGCGCAATCCATCGCAACAGCGATTGCAATACTAGCATCACAGAAGCCCAGCTACACCATTGTCTCCCTTCATAACATCTCTAGCCTCTGCACATCTATGAACAAGCCATCTCATGCTACGCCCGACCCCAACAATCCCACCACACAACTGACTCAACCCCCACCCCTTCTATCAACCCCCAAGCCCAAAGTGAAAATCGCCCTGTCCTTCGACTTCGACGCGCTGTCCGCCTTCCTCGGCACAGGCGACCACCCCGACAACAATCTTTCGGACTACAGCACAGGCATCTTCGCCGGTCGCATCGGCGCTCTCCGCCTCCTCCGCACCCTCCAAAAACACGGCATAGCCAACAAAGTCACCTGGTTCATCCCCGGCCACACAATGGAGACCTTCGAGGCCACAGTCCGCGAAATCGTCGCCTCCGGCGCAGAGATAGGTCTGCACGGGTATGCGCACGAAGGCGCATATCAGATGACGCCGGTGCAGGAACGCGACGTGCTGACCAAGTGCATGGATGTCTGTCAGCGGTTGACAGGGAAGAAGGTACTTGGTTACCGGGCACCGATGTACCAACTCCGCGAGACGACGATCGCCCTGCTTCGCGAATATGGGTTCCTGTATGATTCGTCACTGGGACACCACGATTCACAGCCATATTACGTTCCGGACGATCCGCCTGTTAAGCCGGTTGATTTCTCCCAGCCGGCGAGTAGTTGGTTAAAACCCAGCACCGTGTCGGCTATGGACGACACCCCGCCCGCGGGTTTACACCCCCTCGTCGAGATTCCAACAGGCTGGAACAACGAGGACATGATGGCGTTGCAGTATTTCCCGCATCTGCACAATAGCCACGGGCATGTGGATGCGCGGGTTGTGGAGCAGCGGTGGAAAGACATGTTTCTATGGCTATGGGAGAATGCGGGGATGGAGGGTGCGCGCGATGGGAGCTTTGTGTTTCCGATTCTGATGCATCCTGATACGAGCGGGATGGCACATGTTATTGGGATGGTGGATCGGTTTGTGGGTTGGTTGGGGGAGTGGGGAGATTCGGTGGAGTTTGCGACGTTTGAGGGAATTGCGAAGGAGTTTTTGCAGAAGGTGAGGGGTTGAGATATGTTATCTTTCGTCTTTTCTGTATAGTACATGGACAAGGCGTAGGACCCCCGCTAAACCACAATAAGAATCTACAACTTACTGAGCTCGCTGGCTGTTGCCAGATTGATACGATCTTCTCTATCAAATAGTTAGTCCTATTGATAAGCAACCCTATAAGAACCATGTTCCCATTTCAATCCCACCCCGTCCCTATCCCATCAAACACTTTATATTTACAACTACCACCAGCACGGACTAGTGATTCTCCTCAACCGCCACTACCTCTTCATCATGCACCTAGCATTCCGTCCTCCGCCGCCTCGAGTCCCCAAGTCAGAAAGGTCAATTGAGGCAGATTCCAACTCTATGCCCAAAACGAAGAAGACGGAGGTGACAGAATCGACCAGACCACTGACTGGGAGTGTCCTCGATCGACCGGGTAAAAAGTCTCTTCGACAGACAATTCTTGATTGTATGTTGTCATTGACTCTCTATTCCATGTCTATTCGCTGTACTTATGGGTATACCATAGCTATCACAAGTCGTTCAAGGGGATGATCTTTCAACACAGAAATGTATATATCGAGGTGAAAAGCTGGTGGGCAGTAGGGAATCACGCAGAAACTTCATGATGGAATATTTGGGTCGTTTTGTGCTACGTAGTTATTTCAATTTTAAACTTAGAATACCGCATTAATGTTAAGCTCTAAGCTCGTCTTCTTGATGGTCCTAGCACACTCCGCGTTTAGATATTTCCCTACCGCGGTCGAGTCTGAAGCTAAGATGCTTCACAGACTTGCAGTGGCATAGTTGCTTGCCGACTTGAGATGTGCACTTGGAATAACATTAAACACACCCTGAGGCCCACCGGCTCATTCAAACAATTTGGCTAGAGCTAGCGCACAGAGAGGTGTTTCTGGTGCTGGCTTGCAGACTATGATATTGCCAGCAGCAATAGCAGCGCCCACTTTCTGAATTACCATTGCCAGAGGGGAGCTCCATGGAGTTATAGCGGCAATGATGCCTTGAGACTGTCGAATAGTCAAGATACGATGGTTACCTCACGGACCTGGTATTTTTTTTCCCAGGGCTCTCTCCACGGCAGCTTCCAACCAATCCATGAAGTCAATAGCATATTTCACGCTTCCAGCGGACTTTTTGAAAGGCTTACCTAGCTCTAATGTACAGAGAGCCGCCAGATGATCTTTTGTTGGTTTTTGTGAGATTGCCCCAGTGGTGCAGCAACCATCATCTCTGCCGATGGGGCATTCGGCGATAGGTCTTGAATTCCTCTTGGGCTTGTTTGATGGCCAGCACAGTATCGGCAAGTCTCGTATTGGTAACTTGCATGATTTTGTTGTCATCCTCGGGATCTTGGCATAAATCCATCAATCTCTAGCCATCGGACTCATGTTCGTGAGCCACTTACCGAACACTGAAAAACTTCACTCAGAGGCAGCGGTTACCCATTCTCCTCCGATGAAACCGCGAGTCTCGACCAACGAGAGGTCTTTGGACTAAAAGCTTGTATGCTAACTGCAATTTTTTGCTGGTTGGTTAGAAAATATAGAAATATCCACCTCATAAACGCTGGACTTTTTGAGTAGAGGCCGCACGTTTTAAGTGCAAATTTGTAGTGGGTGAGTCAGATAGGTGTTCACGTACCTGGTCTAAGAAGTCACTGGAGGAGGAGAATGAAAACTGACGTGGAGAAGACACTTGCCTGTTGAAGAAAGCAGTAGGGATCATGTATTAAGTATTCAATATTCCTGTTCTCCTATATAACGTCTCATAAGAAGGCTCATGTCTCATTTTACTGGCACTGATCCTGTTGCAGCTTTTCAAGCTGCGTCTTGTCTATGTAGCCTGACCCGTAGCTTATCCTGTTCGTCAATTCTCATATGTATCCTGTTACATATATGTACCTGACCCTGTACCCTGACAACATGTTTCAAAAGATGAATAGCATTAGAACTGTCTCTAAAAAGACACAAGGCAAAAAGAAAAAAGAAAGAAAAAAGAAAGAAAAAAGGAAAAAGGAAAAAGGAAAAAGGAAAAAGAAAAAAGGAAAAAGGAAAAAAAAAAAAAAAAAGAAAAACATGAAGGAGAAAACTATGATAGTCAAGTGAAATAATGTCTACTTATATCAAATGATTTTTTAGAAAAAACTACCGTTTGGTTTTATATGGCTATACTCACCCACTCAACACCCTGCTCATCCACTGATCACCGCAATACTCAACTTCAACTTTAAAGGCATCACCTCAATTACCTGCACCCAACTAGTGTTCACTCAGCCATCAACCTTAGAGCAGCAACAAGAAAAGGGCCAAAATGACGGTTGACCGAGCTTAACATGTGACTCAAGTACGGCTGAACGGACGGGAAGCCCTGTTTTCCACACCCTATGGTCTTGTGTACTTACTCATACTCTAGAATATGTACATATGGAACATTTGCCACAAATTCCAGTTGCGTTTCACTTTATTTGCTAGCCTGCAATTCATCTACCCTTGGGGATTTGATGTAGTTCTGCGGACATCCGGGAATCGAGGCATCGCAGCGCACTTTGCGCACCTACACCACGAACATGTCTTTGGGGCTCGTGTTAATGAATCGGAATTACTATTCCAATCCGGTATTGGGAAGTCGGCGGTAAAATAAGTGGGAATGATCGACTATGCAGTCAGGTAAATGCGGGGGCCCATGCCGGAATATGATGTACCGAACCACCTGAGCATGATGATATGATTAGGGTTGGCTGCATTTCTTCGTAATGGATTAGGCCGCGAAACTCGGCATATATCTACGTTTCCACTGTATATCAAATCCAGCATACTTGATTTGACGTTGACATGAAATATGCATATATCGCATTAAAATAAAAACATATCCGAATAGGAAACCATCATTAACCAATTGCATCATATTCAAAACCAAAACATCACACCCCATGATCCATGGCAGAAAGTCGCTCATGCAGAATCACGGAAACGGACACTGTCCCTGCCGACTCTCTTGCAAACCCAACTTAATCGCCTCCATCTCCTTCATCCCCTTTCCTTCAAAATACTTGGGCCCCAAATCAGGCGTATAATACCCCTGTGGAAAGTATTTGTCTCCATCATCTCCAGGCAACGGCTGTCCAAGAGCCCGCTTGATCCACGCCACGGGGCCCCAGCGATTCCAGATTGTGGGACGCACATAGTACGGAGCTCCTTGGAGCTGCAGCAGGAAGTGCCGGCCGTATTTGTTCGGTGCGTCGGTGAAAGCGTTTAAACGATTGAAGTCCGGGCGTGGCAGTGTTAGGTAGCGGAGGTAGAATCGACGCAGTCGAAATATCGCTGCGAAGGTGGCGCTCAGGGCTGGCGGCACGGGCTCCATCCTGAACAAATGGTCATCAGTATTTTCATTTGTATCACGAAGATCAAAGGGGTGGGAAACACACATCATGGCATTCCGTAGTCGATCGTCCATCAAGTACGAAATAAGATTCACCCCCAGCGGCTTCATGAAGCTCGGTAGGTAGTATAACAGCACGTCAATGGTCTTGTCTGCAATTTCCTTGTTCCGAACATGAGGCTTCATATGTTCCACCTCATACCGCTGGCCCCAAGCACTAATCTCTTCCAACCAGTTGATGCCATCCCGAAACCCCGTCCCCCCGGAAGGCAAAGCATCGTAACTAATCCCCAGAGCATCGCCCAAACTCTTCCAGTACGTCCCCACGGCGCACCGTTCCAAATCGGTCATCTCTCTCCATTCATATAGTGTCACGAATCGGATCGGCTCTATTGCGAAGAGGCTGAGCGTGTATAGCATATCAGATTCCAGTATCTTGCCGCTAGCTCGGTATCCCTTGTGCAGATACTTTGTTCGAGCAATAGCGGTTTGGGCCCTGTCCGAGTGTGGCTCGAATGCTATGAATTCGCCAATCAACGTCCCCGTATCGGCGTATCGCTTGAAGGAGGTGGCAGAGTCGGAGAATTGCGACGTTTTGAGGAGAAGGCTTGATATCGTCGGGATGCCGTATGTCTGCCGCGGTGGTTATTCTCACTAAACTTTCCTTTTATTTATTTATTTTATTTTTTTTGATGGGCCAGTATTGCTTACACGGAACAAAGCAAACTGTAGTGCCTTGAGCATCATGAAGGGGAATTCCCCCTGCATAATCTGTTTCTGAATCGCCCATGCATCGCAATCAGTCATCTTGCTCATTTCCTCGCGTGTTCGGTAGGGATATGCCCTATGCAGCTTGCGGCATCTTCGAAAACGTAGCGAGAATACCAGAGCCAGATATGTGCATAGCCCTAGCAGTGCATAGAGAAAACGCTGCTGGGGCAAGATGCGCTCACTGGCTTTGACAAATATATGACTTGAGAGATTGCAGGATGACAAGGACATTGTCATGATGAAGAATGAAATGTTTGTGAAATAGATACATTCGCTGAACGAGAGGCAACTCGTGTATTGGCCTTATATACATGACCTTTTGTATACAACTATATCCGACCAATAACAATGACCCTTCTCTCGCTAGAAAAGTGCCGGCTATTGCAATTGGTTGTTTCCCTTCACATGAGATGCTGAGTAAAAAGAGTAAGCGAGTGGACCGAGGAGTCATGGTCATCCTGATGCGGGGCAGCCCTGAACAACCAGCATAACACTATGCGGATGTTGACAAAGCCGTGCTGTTCATAGCATGTTAGCCAATACATGTTCTTGAATGTCCCTTCCCCTCTTTTTAAAGCAGCTATTCTCAGTGGTATGACCCCGGAGAGATTTTGGATCATGCAGCAAAGCCATGCATGGGCGACTGTTCCATTCCTCGGTCCGCAGTGAAGGGCCTAATTGTACTTGATGGTAAATGAAATAAGCGAAAATAGGGTGATTTATGATTTAATTAAATACATACTGGCTAATTATGCAAACTTCATTTTCAATGCAAGGCCTTGCTTCACTCTGAGAGTATCTGACCAAGGCCCGGTTATTCACCATTAAGGCGGCAGAGAGAAAAAGGACAAGAACTATTGACCGAGCTTAGCATTTATCTTAGCGTGGACTCTGCGGACGGGAAGCCCCCCCTCTCTCTACACCCTACGGTCGTATGTACCGGTTTTCTTATCCAAAGAGAGAGAGATCACCACCATGCACAGCTCATGTCACGACTGCTCCAAGAATGAGACCGGTTGAGAATTGATTTCTTAGGAAAGAAATGGTCGTTCACGTATGGGGCATCCCATCACGGGGGAAGTATATAACACAATGACCCCATCTTCAGCCCGCCTCATTCTGCTCTACTATGTGGTATATCTGGTACGATCCATCCGTCGTGACCCTGCCTCTTCTGGGATGTCAGGTCCACCGAGTACTGTGACATGTGGGTTTGGCTCTTGCTCCTGAAAATACCACAAGAAAGTAACCCGCATCACCATGGCCACTTGCCTTGTCAGAGCACTGTTAGGCTTCAGGTCCTCACTCGAGGGTATCGACATAGACGAAAGGTATAGTTTGTCATTTTCGAGCGACGGCTCCGTAAATGGTAGATAGCTCTCTACAGGGTTACCTCCGGGCTCAGCGTCATGGCGGTCCTCGGTCTTTGTCCAAAGAGAGATTTTCCACTCAGGTGGGAAAGAAGTATAAAGGTCTGGGTTCTTGAGCTTAAATTTATATCCATCGAAAACCGGAGAGACCGAAACTTGTTGCCCATTGGGTAGATCACAATTATCGTATTTCATTTCGGGCTGTTGGCATTACTGTATTTACCAGGGTGGCCAGATGCCATCTCCATGTTTTATTGTGTCTGAGTACGCTACTTGACACTTGAACATATTTCGGGGGTTGTCGTATGTATGCCTTACAAGACCACCATATTAGAGTAGGGATCAGAAAACGTCATGGAATTCAATGGACGGCGCGACATCTGGTCAATGGATTGCTACTTTTACTGCGTGATCCTGGGTGAGATTAATCATGTTGAACAATGCGCCCTAGGCAACAGGTCCTGTTCTTTCTCCTATTGATTGGGGTTTACAGGGAACTCAATGCAAGCACCAGACTAGTAGATTATCTGTCTGATATAGCGGTTGTATTCCAGGCGTATGTACATTAAAGCTTTCTCTTAACGATGCCTGATAACCCCCTTAGGGACATACAACTCATCAATACTCTTAATCTCCTCCTCACTCAACCCAAACTCAACCGCCTTAACAGCCTCATCAACCCTCTCCTTTTTACTCATCCCCACAATCGGCGACGTAATAAACGGCTTCGACAAAACCCACGCCAACGCCACAATCGCCATCGACACACCCCGCGCACCCGCAATATCCTCAATCTTCTCACTAATCTTCCTATCCGTCTCCGTAATGGCATGTCCCATAAACGCCCCGTTCATGGTCTGCCCACGAGCAGACTCCTGGAACGCCTTCCATGGTCTGGCGAGGAAGCCCATTGCCACGGGCGACCAGGGGATGGATGCCATGCCGAACTGCGCACAGGCGGGGAACATCTCGCGCTCTTCTTCGCGGTAGGTCGCGTTGTAGAGGTTCTGCATGGAGATGAATTCGGTCCAGCCGTGCAGGCGCGCGGTGTATTGGTATTCGAGGAGTTGGTGGGCCCACATGGATGAGGTGCCGATGTAGCGCACTTTGCCGGATTTGACGATGTCGTGGAGTGCTTCCATGGTCTCTTTAGCGGGGGTGTTAGGGTCCGCGCGGTGGATCTGGAGAAGGTCGACGTATGGCAGGCCCAATCACTCCAGACTAGCGTCGACGCTTTCGAAGATGTGCTTCCGGCTCAATCCATACTGATTAACAACATAGCCGGCATTGTTCCGATCCTCCTCACTCATGAACAGCGGTCTCTCGTCTTGCGAATGTCCGACGGGTGCGCTCAACTTGGTAGCGATAACGATAGCGTTGCGGCGCCAGTTGAATTTCTTGATAGCCTAGCAACACACCCGGATAGATGACGTCATTCTCATATGGTACCCCTAACCTAACCCTCAGCCCTACTACCGCATTAAGACTGATACCCTTCCCTTCTTCACCAGAAGGATAATAACGATTGGTAAAAATATGCAAGCGCCCTTTCTCCGGATTACCCCAGACGTTTATCGGCGCCAACCCGACGCCATCGCGCAGACTTTCTCTATTAGGTTAAGCATGGCTTTATCTTATCTGCATCCCTGCTCTGTTATCGCCGTTTACTGGCTCATGATAGGAAGCGTAAACATGTGCATGATAGAGGGAGGAGTTGCAATGAGCAGTTGCATTGTTAAAGGGGTGGCTCTGCCTTGTCTCGAGGTGACAAGTGCAGAGAAACGGACAACGGTACAGTAGTCATGTCTGGCAAAGAAACGCAGGTATTTTCTGGCTTGAATGAGGATGTTCGGTTGGGGGATTTGGGGTATGAGCAGGGTGTGTCTCCTTTATCCTCGGGTGTGGTGGTATGCTAAATTATGCAGAGCTCAAGCGTTCATTCGGCCTCCTAGGTATGGTCGGGTTCAGCTTCAGTGTTGTGACATCGTACGCTCCCTACATCTAAGGGACCGATATACTAGGTACTGACAGTTACAGATGGACAGCACTATGCGGAGTCTTCATCGTCGGTATCACCTCCGGCGGTCCTCCCGTCATGGTATTCAGTTTCCTCGCTGTTAGCATCGTCACCCTCGCCGTCGCGATTCCCATGGCCGAAATGTGTTCAATGTATCCTGTTGCCGGAGGACAATACTCTTGGGTTGCTGCGTTAGCACCTCCTAGTATCGCGCGAGGACTGTCCTATGTGAGCGGATGGTTCATGCTTATTGGTAAGTACCTTCTCGATCTAACTGGAGGGTTCCTGCTGACGATCAAGGCGTCCTGGCAATGGGCGCAACAAACAACTCCATCGCCGCAAACTTCATCCTCGGCATGGCCAACCTCGTCTTCCCCACCTATACAATCGAACGCTGGCAAACAGTCCTAGTCGCCTACCTCGTCGCCATGCTCGGCACAGCCGTCAACCTCTACGGCGCGCACCTCCTCAACCGCATCTCGCGCTTCATCCTAATCTGGAACGTCGGCTCGTTCCTAATAACCATGATCGTCCTCCTCGCGACAAACGATAACAAACAGCCCGCTTCGTTTGTTTTTCAGGAATTTCAGAACTTTTCCGGATGGGGCTCGTCGATGGCTGCGATTGTGGGTATTTTGCAGGCTTGTTTTGGAATGTGTTGCTATGATGCGCCGTCGCATATGACCGAGGAGATGAAGTCTGCGTCGAAGGAGGCGCCGAAGGCTATTATTCTTTCTGTTATTTTGGGGGCTGTTACGGGTTTTGCCTTCTTGCTCACACTATGCTTCTGTATTGGCGATATTAACGAAACTGCGAACACGACTACCGGTGTTCCGGTTATTCAGATCATTTATGATTCTACGAAGAGCAAAGCGGGTACTTGTGTGCTTGCTAGCATGATCTCTGTGATTGTCATCGTGGCAGGAAATAACCTCATAGCCGAGGGTTCGCGGTCTATCTATGCATTCGCCCGCGATAACGGTCTTCCGTTCTCTGGTTTCCTCTCTCGTGTATCAACGAAGAGACAGGTTCCTGTGAATGCCGTCCTGGTCACATTGGCCGTGCAATTGGCCCTTGATGCGATTGATTTCGGTACAACAACAGGCTTCGAAACAGTCATCGCCATCGCCACCGAAGGCTTCTGTAAGTCCCCCTCCCCTCCCCATCTCTCAATCCCACCCGCTAACACGAACAGACCTCTCCTACGCAACAGCCCTAACCAGCCGCCTCCTCGGCTACTTCACCGGCCACAAAACCCACCTCACAGGCCCATTCACACTCCCCGTCTCGATATCCATCACTTTGAATATTATAGGTCTACTATTTCTGCTCTTCGCGGCGATTACATTCAACTTCCCCACTACGTATCCCGTCTCGCATGAGTCGATGAATTATACTTCTGCTGCGATTGGGGTTATTGCAGTTATTGCGGGAGGTACGTGGTGCACGACGGGGAGGAGAAGGTTTGCTGGGCCGGATGTGGGTTTTAGTTGATTGACTTTTTGGCATGGTAGTATATATGCATTGATTCTTGTTTTGTTTATAAATGCCATCATCTGTCCATTCAAGTATTGGTGAAAAATCACCAATCACACCCCTCCGCAAGAACCCCCGCCAACTCCTCCAAATACTTCCTATCAACCTCATCAAACCCCTTCACCTCCGTACAATCAATATCAATAATCGCAACAGTCTACACACGCCCCAAAGTTAGCCCATCACCCACCCACTCCAACCCCAGAAAAAGAAAAACTCACCTCCCCACCAACCAAAACAGGCACAACAACCTCACTCCGACTCTCCGCATCACACGCAATATGGCCCGGGAACGCCATCACATCGTCAACAACAACTGTTTCTTTCTTCGCAGCTGCGGTCCCGCACACGCCGCGCCCGAAGTGGATGAGTTGGCAGGCTGGCTTTCCCTGAAATGGTCCCAGCAGCAACACCCTGTCTGAGGATGTGTTTTGGGAAGAGGAGGGCGGGAATTTATCATCGCGGATGTAGAAACCAGCCCAGTTTATGTTCGCTGGGAGGACGGCGTAGGTGTGCCAGAGGAGGGAGGCGGTGTTTGAGAGGTTACTATCTTTTCTTAGTACTATTCATCTTGTTGATGTGTGTGGGTGATGCGTACCTAACCTACACTATATTAGCATACTCAATCAATATGAAGAGGGGAGGTGACGTACCCAATTCCTCTGCCCATAAATCAACCCCCTCGTCTGCTCGATCATCTGCGTGTACACTTCATCCTTGGATAATCCCGGTGCGAAATAGGATGAGTCGGCGTGGGGCTGTCTCGTTAGTGATGTTCATTATTGACTGGATGTTGCTTATCGAGAGAGTATACCATGGTAAATGTTGATCCTAACGGAGCAATGTGTTGTTCTATATTAAGTTCAATGTCTGTAGATAGTTTATCTATGATGACGGAAAATTTTGTGCGGGGTTCGGGGATAGCGGAGATATGATGTTGATATCGCCATATCAGTCTGCTATGAGGACGGAGTACTGTAGTCCATATCTCCGTGATGAGGATGTTCCAATAATTGTAATGGGTCTGTCTGCATCTGCTCGTTCTATATATCGAGTAATAGAGTCTTAAAACAAGGGAGTAATCCATTCCAACCATAACTATACGCCTAAACAAATGCACCCGAAATCATGCCAATTGTAACTGTAATATACATGTCCGCGCCTGTATCATGTCCATGCCCACTGGTTCGTATGCAATAAGTGGTATGCAAAAGTATGGTCATAACCGAAAGAGAACGCTACATGTGCAGCAAACTCATCTGCCTCCTCATCGGACTCGTAGGAACGTCTCCATCCTCACTTGGTCCAACGCCGCTATCCGTCCCTCCTAACCCGACATCCGTGTCGATGTCCCACTCTTCATCTTCGTTCCCGTCAACTGCGAAATCAGGGTCATCGGGCGACGGGCCATTCCAGCCCTTCTGCATGGCGCCGCGTGTATTCCAACGTAGGGCGCGGCGGACGCTTTGGAACCACTCGCCGTTGCCAGACACCACTGTTGGAAAAGGATACTGGCTTGCTTCGATAGTCACGTAATCGCCCTGGCGCAGTTCGATGCGGCCTTTGCCGTCAAAGGAGCAGTATGCTGTTGAGCGGGAGGTTATGGGGACTGCAATACGGAGGAGTGAAGAGTCCGATAGGACCATGGGGCGGAAGGAGAGGGTGTGAGGGCAAATAGGTGTCAAGAGGATTCCAGGGATTGATGGGTGGACGAGAGAGCCACCGGCAGAGAGGGAGTAAGCGGTTGATCCTGAGAAGTCAGTATCGATATCTTTGCCTGTAGACAGTGAAATGAACATACCGGTTGGCGTGGAAAAAATACACCCATCCGCCTGAACCACCGTCAACAATTCGTTGTCCGCATACAACTCCAAATTCGACACATATGGCGAAGGCCCCCGATCAATCACCAACTCATTCAGTACTTCGAACTGTTCACCCTCTTCCACGGCACCCGCTTCTGCGCCCTTGCTCCGGTCTTTCCGGAACACCGTACATGTAAACCGCATCCGTAGGTTGACCCGCATACCCACGTCGCCCATCACGGCATTCAGGTGTGATTTATAATCATCAAAGTCGAAATTTGTCAGGAAGCCCAGGCTGCCCAATGAGAAGGAGAGAATCGGCGGTACGATCCGCTGGAAAAGCCACGATGTAAACAGCACGGTCCCATCTCCTCCTAACGTAATGACGAGGTCGAACTTTTCAGGCGCCGACCAGCACAGGTCTGGTGTCCAGTAATGCAGCATATGTGCAAAACGCGGTTCAGATTGTAATAAACCCGGCGCGTCGAAGCGCTTGGAGTTCTGTAATTTGGCATCAACGTAAACATTGACACCAAGGTCACTCCCGTATCGTGGTGTAGACAGAAGCCATGCTGCTACCTCACGAGTCAAGCGCACCAAGCTGTTATCCCGCGCCTTGGTGACAATCATAACATTCTTGACTGCCCGTTTGATAGGCCGTCGCTGTAATTGCTTGGACACCTCCCTCACACCTGTAGCAGTCTGTACCAAGCGCGAATGTGACAACCACTCATCATCCGCAATCTCCTCGAGCACCTTCTTGATATTAACCGCATCGTCGAACCGCTGATGGAAGAAGCAAGGAGATTGTAGCACAAGCGACCGATCCAGTAACTCGTGTTCTGGCTGTAGACGATTAAGCGCCGCCGCTAGACTCTGCGATGACAACTGCTCCTCCTTCTCAGCAGGAGGACTAGGGTATGTGTTGGCCGGGAGGGGTCCGAGAGATGCCGCCGGCGGCATGTTGGAATCATTGCTGGACCATGACGGACGCGATGCAATTGCTTTCATTATGGTCTGGTGAGGAATGGTATCGCTGGACAGGGCGTTCCGATGGCGATAGGGATGATGATTGGGGGCTGTCAGCGACCGTAGCGAAAGGAAGGACGGCGATGGTGAGGATAAGCGGGATTCGGACTCTGTACGAGGAAGTTCGAATCTTTGCGCCGGAGCAACAACAGTGGAACGGGAATCGGAGGAAGAGCGATTAGCAGGCGCTTTAGGAGTGGTTTCCGTTGTCTGCGAAGCGTCTATGTGCACGACATGATGGTCTCGAGAATGCAATAATGGTGCGGCTGAAGGTGGAGGGCCCGTCGCAATCGTAGCGGTGGCCGCAGTACTAGTCACAGTAGAAGACGCCGGGGGAGGTGATGACGAGGACGATGAATCAGCGTCAGAAGTAGATTCAGATTTCAAGGGGCCATGGCTGGCTGAAAATGAAGCCATGGGAGATGCAGGGTCGATTTGTCTTTTGGTGGTGAAAAGAAGCAAGCAGAACAGTGTCCGCAATCGGATGTAACTAGCGGAGGTGGAGGAGGATTCCACGGGCGGGTAATCGGTGGATGTTGCAGTTATTGGGCGATAAGCCGAGTTTCTTCCACGGTTTTTATGTGTTGATGTTGTTGACTCTGAATATGCGTTGAATTAAGTTGAGTTATAGAGAGGGATTATTACCGCTAGAGGTGTACATTCCCATTTGCAGTGTAGCCTTTAGGCAAAATACATAAGGCAGAAATAAAGCATCCACTACTCGTATATTACAGCCTAATTGGTTAAATTGTGTGACGACTGAATGTCAACAACTACAGAAGTATCGCATCGTCATCAAGGGCGCAGGGAATGTAGAACGTTAATTATGCTATTGCGTTATCGAGTATCGCCTGCCCGATCTCGGTTCATTTATTCATACCTGATCAACGTATCGGTTCGTGCCCGCTGAGTTTCGTACTCGAAGTCCGTCAGCACCTGATCCTCGTCGATCCAATAGTGCACTCTGCCCTGACAGCTCCCGCATCATAAAGCAGGTGTAGGACAAAGTGCCAGTGTCAGCATGCTTGGCTCGAGGGTCTAGACGGTATTCGCGGACCCTAGTAAGCACCAAGGGTACACCGCAGTTGTAGCTGGTCCCTGCTCATTTCGTGCAATGGGTGTAAAACTGTTACACTATCCCTCAATCCTCGTCAATCTTCCACGCATAGTCGTTATGGACCTTATCCTCCACAGTCTCCCGAATGAAGCCTTCGAGGGGTTGTCCATCTCCGTTCTCCGCCATTGAGACATCCTCATCGGAGCCGGCCTGACCACGGCAAAGTGTCAACGCGCGCTCGTGTACCTGCTCCCACGTATCGAAATCAAAGGCCCCTTGGCTTTCGTTAAGCAGCAAATGTCCCTTAGACGAGAATGCCAGAGCGTGCAACGATGCGGCGGCCTTGGCAGTTTGCACGGACGGTTCCGAGATGATATCCCCCGATTTCGTGACGGCCAGCACAGTAGCCGAAAAAGTCATCGACAAAGGAACCGCAGCGGAAAGGAGAGCGAGCAGCGAAGCATGAAGGAGGGCAGGAAGCATCGTCAGATACTGCCTCAGTTAGCTCACCATCACACACCCAATACACATTAATGTCCACTCACCGAATCTCCTCGAGCAACGCTCTCACCACCAATCACCGCCAATGTCACAACCACTCCCCGGCGCGGGAATCCCCTCTCACGTCCAAGAACCAATTTCCCAAGCAGGTTCTTGATGATTTCCTTCGCATATTGCTCACCGACACCGTTCGGGGCAGTACCGGGTTTCACGAGCACCTCGACAGTGGCATCCTCGGGTTTCAATGCGTCGCGACGACCGGGAAGTTCAACAGGCGCGTTCACGGAGCTCAGAATGTTGAAGCCGGTGGCCGGACATTGGTATGATGCGGAACCATCGGTACGGGCGAGGGGAGTGAGAGTTGCTGTCGGTCCAACCATGGTGTGTGTAATCTCGATTAATCAATATCTCCGTGCTTTTTCACGAGGTAAATAAGAAGTCAGAGCTCTAAAACGAAAACCTCGAGACTTCCAATTCGGGTTGCGATGAAGTTTTTGGCGGTGACGATGGCGGTGAGGAGCGGCAAATGGCATACGACGGAGGGAGGGACAAAGTACTCCTCCGTACTGAGTACGGAGCGGATACAATACTTTGATATGATTTGATGCTATTGACGATAGAAGGAATGGTATCCATATGCCGTGAGGATATCTCAGGATGAGCTATAGGAACCTCTCGTGGCATCATCCCGTACACCACATGCCTCCTTTACTCTGCATATCGCCGATGAACAGGAGAATAATCGCAGAATTATCATTCCTCGATCTCTAACTGCATGGAACACTAATTTGCAAGTTAATTCCTCACTAACCGCAATAGGAAGACGATATCTTATCGTTTTCGATTGGCACTCCGAAGCCTGAATCGACTCAGCTGAACGCTCTACAGCAAGGAGGCTAAGATGGCATGCTTACTTCATCGATGTTTGCCATGTCTAGGCCGTCTTACCTGCAGCAGGTGGGGTAATCTCACTCTCACCTGAAGAGAACTTCCCCTTCATATACCTCATATTTAGACCACGAGACACCCCTCTACCGGTTACACTGCACATCAGCACGCATCACGATGAGGGTCCTCTGTCTCCACGGAAAAGGTACCAGCGGTGTCATATTCAAATCGCAAACCGGTGAGTCTCGAGTCATTCCATGCATGTGTAGAATATTGCTGACGGCAGCAGCCTCATTCCGCGCGCACCTGGCCCCCCTCAACATCGACTTTGACTTCGTCGACGGCCCAATTCCCAGCTCCCCAGCCCCGGGCATAGACCTCTTCTACACCCCGCCGTACTACTCGTGGTGGGAAGGCGAATCCGCCGAAGCCATCAAGGCCGCTCGCCAATGGCTCAAGTCACACCTTGTCCTCTCGGGCCCCTACGATGCCGTCATGATGTTCTCGCAGGGCTGCACGCTCGGTTCGAGTGCGCTTTTGCTCAACGCACTTGAGGAACCGCGCTCGCCTCCGCTGTTCAAGGCTGCGATTTTCATTTGCGGTGGGCCTCCGCTGGCTGTCGCGGAGACATTGGGGTACCATATGAGTACTGAGATGCGGGAGAGGGATAACTGGTCCCGTGCGGCGTTGGCGCAGCAGGCTGATTCGTCTGCGATTTTGAGCCAGGGGGCTGCGAGGTGGAGGGGCGGTCGGTGGGATATATCGAATGAGGAGCAGTTGCGGGACGAGATGGAGTTTCCGTGGAGGGTTGAAATTCCAACGGTTCATATTTATGGGGATAAGGATCCGCGGTATTTGGCGGGTGTGCAGTTGTCGGCGTTGTTTGATACGGATAATATGAAGACGTATGCTCACGATGGGGGGCATGAGATTCCGCGGAAGGATGTGGTTAGTCGGAAGATTGCGGAGTTGGTGAGGTGGGCGTTGGAGAGTGCTTAGCCTGCACATGGTGGGATAGACTCGGGATAGATAAATTCGGACATAGACTGATTCATATTAAACCGAAATTATTGACATAACTCATAAGGACCGACATCGACATAACACATAACATCGTAGAGACCGTAAACATATATACCAAACCATCACAGACAAAACATCATATACAAAGACCGTGATTATATGCCAAACCACCATATTAACAAACATATACAAACCCAACCCTCACAACCCATCATATACACCCATCAACTCTGTAAACCCTTACAGATTCCAGCAAGCCCCCGAAACCTGCGTCTGCGGTGGACCAACATCAACAACAGCCCGGTCGCTAACCTTGGTCACTCCCCCGTCAATACCATGGAAAGTGCACTTGACGCCAGCGGGGACGGAGATTTTGGAGATGCTCAGGACATTGTCTGTTACGTTAGCTTACACTTATCATATCAAGATGGGCATATGGTGAAGAGAAGGGAGGGAACGTACTAATGGCAGTGTAAGTGCCATCGGTCTTAAAGTCCTGGGTGAACGAGGCGTCCGCGGCACCGATGAAGTTGGCCTTTGCTGTGGGGTGGTGGTTCTCGCCTGGGACGGGGACGGCGATGGCCGTAGCGGCCAGAGCTGCGATGACAGAGACAATGGTGAACTGCATTGTGATAGAATTGAAAAGTTGATTGAAGTGCTTTGTTTGGAAGGCTGTACTGTTGCTTGCTTGCTTTGTTGCTGATGAAATGGTTGATTCACCTCAAGGTATCTGGGGTTTATATACCCCAGATCCACTTCAGACTTTGCTAACAAGTTCGTATACCTGAGGGATATTCTATAAATGGGATGAGACATACGAGCTGAACCACGGCCTGTTGGTTGTCATCGTTCGTATAGCTACGTGTAGCCATGTATACGGAGTGAAGATCGATGTAGTCGTCATGGAAAAAGTGTATGTATACAGATTGGGAAGTTACGGGTGCATCCCGTATTCGATGTAGTCGATATAGATTAGGTTTTGCGTTCCGTGGTGGGAGTATACTATTATTACGATGGCGGAGTATGTATATCCTCCGATACCCCAGATAATCACAATAATAAACCCGAATAAGAAGATAATACATAGAAAAAACTGAAATGGCTGGTTAACACCGCCCCGCCACGTGTAAATGTCTCTCAGTAATACGATTGATTCGTGGATTTTATTCGCAGCCCTAAATAGCTCCTCGTATACCCGCTTATATACATGTACCCCATATTGTAGCCTGCATGTCATGACGTTTATGCTTTATTTCCATTATACGGAATAATGGGATTCGATAGCCAAGAGTATATACGGGGTAAAAAGAATGTACTTGGAGGGGTTCGTATTAGATGCCGTGCCGAGGTTCGATGAGTTGGTTCGTGTACTTCGTATGTTGTCAGATCATGGCGATGCTTCTGGGGGTGACTTTGCTTGCGGCCTGATGTGTTCTGCCTAATTATGTGAATGGCGTAGAGGTAGAATCATCTGAATTTGGGGTAGTTGTTCACCAGACTTGATTGGTCGATGTAGTTCGCGAGTTTAAATATTGACTCTGTAGTCTATTCCACTATTCGAGAAATACACTTCCTCTCTCATAGCTATTGCTCACTGCAACCACCTAATATCCGCAAGCAGGCAACGGTGTAATGCGATCAACATAATGCCGCTCAATGTATGCTAGTAGACATCCTTTCCAAGGCAGTGACATAACTTCCAACACTCTTCGTATATCTATTAGCGAACGAGAAAATACCTCGTGTACTCGGATCAGAAGATCATGTACAACTCGTGTCTGTAGTAGACGCAAGTAAGCATGCCTAAACGTAGATGTACATGTGACGGCAGTGAGACATCAAAATGCCTCATACTGTGTAGTCACTGGGTAGAGGTAGCGTAAGCCAAGCTAGTCATATTCGGAGCGGAAGGAAATGACAAACGAGGAGAGAAGGAGTATACCAGAACTGGGGTAGTTTGAGATGGCCCGGTGATACATACAATCTGCGTTCCTTTTCTTTAGCCGGTAATCATCCTAATATGACGAGAAGAAGAAGACTGGATGCTAGTATGTCTTTTCTGAGCCGTCCTCTTCCATTACAACCATGTTGGATAATACTAGGTATGGAGACAATCACAATCATTCTACTTGGAATGTAGGGAAGCACATTTCCGGCCTGGAGCCATTTCCGTAGGTTACTGACACACCGATAAATGTCACTATAGGGGAAGAGACTGCTGTGCTTGTTGAATTATCGATCCTTCCCTTAATCGAAATGAAATGGCAAACCAGACCTTAGTATCCTTTTTGTCAAACAGCCCTAAGCTGACCGAAAATACGTATCCCGATTCCGGCCTGGCATAGTGCTTTCTGTACGTAAATTATTCAAGTGCGTAACCAGTGGGCTCCATATAGATACAGCCGTATGTCTACGAAACTATTCTTGATGAAAACTCATCTTTTCTCTTATTGATCTCTGCCATTTCCCGTAGACTCGGCAGTTCATCACCAAGAACAACCCAGCAACGATCTCGATACCAACCAATAAAAGCCAATAAACACACGAAAGTGGACCAATTCAAACATAGAATTACGCGAGATCCAACCAATAAAAGTGGCAGAAAGTGCATGATTGGCAATTAAGCATTCTGCACAACACCCGAATTGGCCAATCAGATTGTCTGCAAATGAGTATGCGGAAGTCAGTGTTTTTGAAAAGATTTTCACCGGGTTTCCGGGTGACCGGTTAAGCCGAGGCAGTCAATAGATGAACTGGACATTCGTTCCTTCGTTCTACAGCATCTAAATATTAATTAGCCAGATAGAGCATGTGCACTCCGTAGTAAGGGCCCTAGCATCACTTAAAACCACCAATGACAATGTCGGTATAGAGCACGCCTACCGACATCATGCACGGTCACTGTCCCTGACATGATCCCATATCGGTGAGAACATGTTCAATGCCTCCCAGTATGGAGTCGATCTCCGAACTTAAGCCGTGGCGATTGATCCGTCCAATAAAACCACCTACCGTTTACCGACCAAGAACCCGCACCTGAGTAGTAAGCCTGTGTTAAATAGAGGCCATTCCCGTCGTCAACCGCGAGAACACCCGCACCCACAACATCCGTCACCACCCACCGTACGACGTAAAATGGCAATCGGTCCGCACCCACCCCAGAGCACCACAACCACGAAAGCGCCTACCGCAAAACAAAGCCATGTGCACCCTCACATCTCGCAAAGCCACGATCCGGACAAAGGACGACAACTACATGCCACAGCACCGCTAAAAGCAGGCAACGTGCTCATGGTAGACTCGCCGTATGCCGTGATTCCGGTAGTTGATGATCCCGCGCACAGTGACGAGGTTCTTTGCAGTAACGGGGATTGTCGGCGCAAGGTTCCCCGTGTGAGACGAATTGGTTGTTCCAATCGATGCGCGGCTGAGGTTTTTTGGTGTGATACTGGGTGCCGGGATGTCGATAGGATTCGGCATGTATTGGAGTGTGAGTGGCTGAAGGGGTATGCGGTGTCGCTTCGCAAGAATGAGGGGGAGTATTATTTCGGCGTGCTTTGGTTGATTGTCCGGGTATTAGCGGCGCGTTATGTGGAAAAGGCACAAGGATCTTCTAGGTCGATTTCGAAAGAGAAATTCTCCAGCGGATGGACGGCAATGACGGAACTTTGCGACAATCGAAAACTATGGCCCGAAGCAGATTTACTGCATTGGCAGTCGCTGATCGAGAAATACATTTGCGCGGATTCGTCACTGCGAAATATCGCCTTGAGCGCGGACATCATTCTGACACTGATCTGCCAACAAGAATCGAATTCCTTCGGCCTTTATCCCAAAGTGACAGGGCTTGCGTCGACGTCTGACCGAGGGGAACAATACGGCGCGGCAATTTACCCCCGGTCCTCGATAGCGAATCACTCGTGTTGTCCTAATGTTAGTCCCGTACCCTCTCTCGATGGAGAATGAGCGATAATAACATCACAGATTACGCACAAACCTGACGATCACGGCCGAATGGTCTTCACTGCATCGCGCGACATCGGACCTGGAGAAGAATGCTGTATATCATACATGGACCTGTTCGGTGACGTGGATGTCAACACGCGTCGAAAACACCTCCGGGTGCAGTTTTCTTTCACATGTCAGTGCGAAAGATGTCGTGCGGAGGAGAATTCTGAAGAGGGGTGGGATGCTCTGCCTTTCCTGGACGATTAGCATGTGTGTCAGATTTCCCGGTTTATATATATATGCACGGCCGTTGGATATGTACTTCGGATGCGCTAGTCGGCTTGTTAATATAAGACGATTTTACCGAAGAAGAATGGGACAATCAGGATGCTGGATGACAGGCCGCTACTGCAGCGTTATCACACGCGAGGTAATGGACCCACGGGGTTATATTGCGATTTCTGCATGGCCTCCTCATTCATGATATATGGAAGCGACGGGATTGGGACCGAGCTTGATTGTCGCACGTTGTGGTTCGGTGTGAATGGTTCGTCGTTGTGTCCACCATACACGTCGTTTTCAGACTCGCACGAGGTGGTGCCGGTACTTTTGACAACGGCGTAGTGCAGGCCCTAACCACCGAAGTGGAGGTGATATTCCCTCCCTCGGTATGAATATGCGGCTCCTGCTGTCTGTCCCAGTGCGATGTGTTAAATGGGCCTGTCACCCGGGGCATGCGATTTTCCTTCAACAAGTTTGTCGCAACTAGTCGCGCTTTTCTATCTGTTAACCATGTTAGGGCTCGCTCTGCTGAGTATTCTGTCAGTGATATACCTTTTGTTCACACGAAAACGTCGCCATTCACCACCCGGTCCTCTACCACTGCCCTTGATAGGCAACCTCCACCAAGTTCCTCCGTCAAGACCATGGTTGGGCTTTGAAAAATGGCACAAAGCCTACGGACCCATCATCAGCTTCAAGCTAGGAACTCAAACGTTCATATCGTTGGGAAGTCACAAAATCGCGCATGACCTGCTGGACAAACGCAGCGCCATCTATAGCTCCCGTCCGCGGTCCATCATCGCCGGCGAATGTATCACCAAGGGCTTGGGGATCGTCTTCTTGCCATACGGCCGACAATGGCGAACGCAGCACCGGATTCAAGCCGAATTTTTGAATCCCGCCATATCACAGAAATATCGTGCCTTGCAAGATGTGGAGACTCGTCAGGTTGTCTATGACCTTATATCATCAAACAACTTCAGCGATAACTTCCATCGAATGACGTCCAGTTTGATCTTTTCGTTGGCATACGGAAAGCGCATGCCTCGGGGCGACGAGCACGAGATTCGCGAAATCGATGAGCTCATGGCGAACTTAGCGGAGAAACAGGCTCCCGGAAAGTGGATGGTCGATATATTCCCGGTGTTGAATTATCTTCCGCGATTCTTGGCTTCGTGGAAAAGTCTCGGGGATGAATATCATCAGCGGGAAGCCACTCTGTTCGGAGACAATATGAAAAAGGCCGAAGGTGCTCGATCTTGGAATTGGAGTAAGGACATGAAGAGAATCAAAGAGGCAAAACCATTATCCGACACGGAGTTGGCGTACATTATCGGCGTGCTGTATGAAGCAGGAAGCGACACCACTGCTGGAACGCTGGACTACTTCGTGCTTGCTTGTGTTCTGTATCCCGATGCCGTGCGCAAGGTCCAGCAAGAAATTGATGATCTCGTTGGAACCGATCGGCTGCCCACATTCGACGACATCCCGAATCTCCCATATGTTAACGCATTCTTGATGGAAGTCATGCGATGGCGTCCCCTTGTACCACTCGGTATTCCTCACTCTGTCACCCAAGACGATGAATACATGGGCTACCACATCCCCAAAGGAGCCACTATCCTCCCAAATCACTGGGCCCTGTCTTTGGACGAAGAAGTATTCGAAGACCCGACCAGTTTCAGACCAGAGCGCTGGATTGAGAACCCCAAATTACCTCTCGACGGATTTGGATTCGGACGACGCGTCTGTACGGGGAAACATATCGCCATGAATTCCATGCAATTTATCATCAGTCGTGTGCTCTGGGCGTATGATATCGGGTATGCGTACGAGAATGGGAAGAAGGTTGAGGTCGACTCGTACGGGATGGTAGAAGCCGCTGTTTCGAAGCCGGTTCCGTTCAAGGCAGATTTTCACGTTCGCAGTCCGGCGCATCGGGAGGTCGTTGAGAGCACGTGGAAGGGGACTGAGAAGGATTTGAACGTTATTATGGAGGGTATTGGACCTGGTCGAAGGGCGTCGTAGCCTTTCCTCATAGTTGAGATAGCTTTCGCCAACAGCACCAGTTAGTAATTTTCCATCAGATGATAGGGAATTAGATCGCTTCAATTTGACACACGTGGAGGTGGCTTACTTGATTCAAACTGGGAAGGATCTTGTAGAAGCAGTAGCAGATGCCTTATCGTGACATTTCAGTTGCTTTCCCAGGAGGGCACAAGTGACTAAATGCTTGTTCAAACGACTGGATATCTAGTCAACATCGGATAACACCATTTGGCCAGTAATAATAATGCTACCGGAACACACTCGAATGTTAAGTCCATACAATATCCAATCCCTTTCAGGTGATATATTAATTATACACATGTGTATGGATCGAATGACTGATGGGACGGTAATGAATTGAGGTGAACAGTAGACCAATAATCACAAACATAGCCATATACAGCTGTCAGCAACCCTTGGTTGCTTGTTGTAGTTTGCCATGGACTATTAATACAGTGATTAAGATTGAGAATCATGGTCTGTAAAGTGGGCTCTCTATCTTCTCCCAAATTTAAAATTACAACATTAAACAGCCTCTAACAACATTATACGACAGTCTACAATTTCTCATAATGTCTTTCCAACTTACCTCCTCCAAACTCCAAATTATCGAGACAATCGAGGATCCCAGAGCCATGATCCGCCATGCCGTCAAGCGTACAAGGGAGGCCTGCAAGGCGACAGAAGACCTAAGTAGTGATGATGAGGACGAATACGATGATGAAGTTCCAGAATACAGCCATCCGGCAATCTCGTAAGTGCCTCGTCCCTCCTCGCGGTTAACAGAATACTAACGACGTAACCCTCATAGACCTTACGCCGTCGATCCGGTAATACTTCATTTTGGCGGTCAGGCGCCAGGTATCCCAGTCCCTCGGGATCTTCTTAATTGGGAGCCCGTTTTGCTGTATCGCATGCAGACCGTCCCTTGTGTGGGCATTCAAGTTAAATTTATTGAGTTGGGTAAGCTGTATGCGGATATTGGTCATACGTTGGTCAAATTCATACATACTTGGGTCTATGAGACCATGCAGTGCCCCGACGAAAGGATCGGAAGGTACAGGCTCAGTGTACTCGCCTATGCCGCTGCGAGGGAGTTTAGCATTGACAAACTGGGAGAAGAAGCGATGACGCGGATAAGATGTTCCACTGATGCAATTAGCATCCACCAAATTCTTGATATAGCCCAGCAGGTGTGACACATACTATCCACCAACCCTGAATATTGGCTGTATCTTGAGAGTGTGATAATGGCTGCGTCGTATTTTCATCAGAATCTTTTCATGGAGGATGCATTCTTGAAACACTTCGGACCCAGCCCTGGGACGATCCACGAGTTCGGTAGATTCCTGGCTAGGGTGATGGCACGGGTGTATTATCGTCGGCTTTCGCTGGCCAGGGGTGAGCAGGTTGAATAAGTTGCCATTCCGATATGTGACTGCAAGCGGCATTCTGGGAAACCAAGACTGATCGAATGAACACATCAAGCAGCGTTTCCTGGATTGTGCCTGCTCAGCGTGTATTATAGAGGCCTTCAAGGGGGTGGACAGACAGGATGACAATTTATTTGGATAGATGGCGTTTACAAAATGGTTCCGGGATAGGGCTTGGCGCGTATTTCGTTGAGCAACAACATGCTGGTTCGCCATTGGCTATTGTTCACGTTTATTGAGCTAGAACAAATGATTCAGCCGTGATATCCCACAATGGAAATGTTATCTACTCAGCCTGATATACAATGATTCGGCTAAATACATCTACTTGCATATATTCGAATGTGTCCTGCTTCGAAAAGTAGTACATACGTATATGGATAGTCAACCAGCGTACGCGTAGATAACCCTTGTTTATTTTGCTGTAGTATTCATCTTATTCTCCAGTGATATATGGCTAGAGGGTAAGATTAGCCTATATAAATATGTGGCTTCCTCATCTCAGATTTTGGTTATAGATTACATTTCAAAACAGCTACAACAGCTATAAAATTAAGATCTCTCCCGAACAAACCCTCGCCGAAATTAAGCCCAAAACAATGAAACGCGGAGAAGCTACTAGCGACAATGTCGGAGGGGGCAGGGTTATTGAGTCAATTGAGCATCCGTGGCCCAAAAATGATAATGGAGATTATGGCAATGATGTTGATCAAGTGACTGAAGACGACGAATCAGATATATCGTGAGTGTCTCATCCTACCTCTCTGCTAACAATCTACTAACAACTTTATCTTCAAAGGGGATACGCCGAGAATCCTGTAATTCTCTACATGGGTGAAAATAGTTACGCCGTCCCTCTATATGTCGTCGAATCTGAAAAGGCTTTACTACCGCGCCTACAGACCTTTCATCATGGGAGGTTTCAATTCCGATTTATTGAGCTGGAGAGGGTGTACGAGGATGTCAGGTATATATTGATCTATTACCTATATACTGACGAGTATGGGTCTTTTCCAAGATCAGATGGCCCTGGGGAGTACAATGCAGCATGCACACCTATGCTTCTGCAAGGCAATTTGGTTTCGAAGGGCTAGTGGAAGCATTGAAGCGCGTGATAGACCTCGCCAGCGAAGTCTACCCCTTCCAAATTATAGATATAGTCCTAGAGGGTTGGCACATACTCAAATGTGATGATAAGTACACCTCGCACCTCGAGGGTACGATAATGGGTGTGTTCAGAGAAGATTCAGATCTCTTCAAGACAGATTGGTTTATGGACTATTTTAACCTGTATGTTGGGTCTGACCAGGGGCTTAGGAAGTTCTTGGCCCAGACTATGGAGCGGGCATATTCCCGTAAATTGTTGGAATTAAGAAGCCGTGGTGAAGTGGAGAGGGATGTCATTGAAGAACCTCCTTGTGAGAAGCATCTGGCTAAGAGGAGACGTCGCAAGTGATGCTTTACGACAAAGAAGCCTTGTCTCTTGGATTGTGTCTTTTGATCTGTACTACGGTGGCCTTCAGGGGTTTTGGGAGGATCGCAATTGAAGGGCAATAGGATTCCTTTGGTTGGACGCGGTAATACAGTATTCCTAGTCATGTCTGAGATTCGTCGGGCTGGAGCTGTTTGTCTTTGGGGATGCTGTCATTGTACATATATACGTTACCAGAGAAGAAATAGTCAACGTAAATAATAATGTTGAAAGAAACACTTCAACCATCAACTGAAATCTTGGTTGTTTCACTCCTGGGATGCTGTCTCTGAATCGCGTATTGCCCGACAAAGCCATACATTCTTTCTTGATATATATCTACTTTCTTCCATTTTTTTTTTTCTCTTCTACTACATCCTTTTCTCCTGAACCGCACTCACGTACAGGTGTGGAAGGATGATGAGAAGCAGCAAAGCCACCGGTAGCCACGCTAGCAAAGGTGCTGTGAGCGATGGACAGATTCTGGCACTCAAAAATGATGAAGTTACTGAATATGCCCAACCCACTTTCTCGTGAGTGAAAGCCGTGACATGAAGCCATCAATTTACTAATGACCGAAAATTCGATAGACCTTACAAGAGTGAAAACGGACTCGTCACGCTCAAGTTCGGCAAACGTATGGAAAGTTACTCAGTTCCCGTACGCCTTATTGAGGAGATACCAGAGCTAGAAGCTCGTCAAGACTTCATGGTGGATCGCATCATCTGGCTTACTGAGATAGATGAGGATGTTGGCCACACCCTTGTTCACTACCTGTATACTGGAGAGTATCAAACTCTTCGGGAGTCCGAGCACAAGCGCCATACGGAATACAAGCGAAGTGTCTTGGTTTACTGTGCCGCTTCCAATTTGGAAATGGTTGGCCTAGGCGATATGGCCCTTGGACATATGGAACACTTTGCGAACTCGGTCGATATTTATCAGATCCTCAACTTGGCTAAAACGGTGTACAGCAAAGTACCGTGTTGGGATGTTTGGTTTTATGACCACATCGAAACAAGACTGGAAGTGGCCTTCCATGCCGACGAGTCCATTTTTGAAAAGCCAGAGTTTTTGGATTGTTTTGGAGGGGATCGCGAATTGGACAAGGTTATGGTGGAGACCATGGTATCTTTGTATGGCAAGAAGACGTCGATTTCCGAACGAGATGATAAACTCCAGCGTGTCCCTGAACAGAGTGTTCGTGAAGTGTCGCCCGCCATGGAACGCCGACTCGCCCAATGCTCCATTTCCCCAGCTTCTACGCCCGTTGGATCCGAGCCTTATGTCAAGCTTGAGCCTGTTGTGTCTCCACTAGTACTTGAGGTTGATTGCTTCGGGAAGACCGGCGGAGTGTCCTTGAAGCGAAGTGGCAGCTTCTCCGACGATTCTAGGAAGAAGAGGAAGGTGAACGGGATTTTGGGAGAGTTTTGAAGGATTTGATGTTGGGATTAATGGAATTGCTCGGGTACCTGGCGTGGTGCTAGTCAGCGAACTTGTGTAGCTAGCCTATCTCTGTCAAATGAACGTTGCAATCAGCCACTTCTCATGTAGCAGAGATGCTTTTGGATCGCGAAATTCTTTCACTAGAATGCACTTAGGTCGCAGGTAGATGTTGTTTCTGCGTGGTGAATGAACACCCTTGCTGCTTATCTACCGTACAGCTGTATTGAAGTTCACTTTATGACTTCTCTGTTCGTTCATCTCCAATCCCACAACATTCCGCCCCCCAGATTGAGCCAGAAACAATGAGGGGTCGCAGACCCTCTGGGACCCATACAAGGGAGGACGTCAAAAGGAATACGAGCGCAGCATGATAGCGTACGTTGCGGCAAGACAGCTCAAGCTCCCCAGCCTAGAGGTTCTACGGAAGACATATATCGAGCGTTTCGAAGACGGAGTCGATGTCTTTCAGACCATCGGAGTCGCCCAGAAAGTCTGGAAGTCTGGAATATCATATCGAAGGATCCAAACTGCGACTACTTGGGCTATCTTACGCACAAAATTGCTTCTGCTTTTGAGAAGGACCGCGAATTATTCAAGAACGATGAGTTTATTGAGTACTTTTGCCAGCCAACGGAGTTTGGACGCTTCTTGGTACGGGCCTCGGGGTCGTTATATTTCAGCAAGATATCGGAATGCAGCAGTGCGGGCAAGGAGGAAGAAGACGTGTTCCAAGGAATACGGACCACGAAACGACGCCGCTAGCGCCAGTCAACTGTCTGGAAATTGGCCTATTAACTAGGAGTTTTCGAGGTTGGGCAATTTCACGCTCAGGAAACTGACAAATCCCAACAGTCTGTTCGACAATGCGATTCCGCTTATTGTTGTACACGTACTTGCGTCAGAATACCCTAAAGTAGATCTGGCATTATCGAGCTGCAAATGCAAGATTATGTGTGAAAATACTTCCAAGGTACAAAAAACCTGAATGAAGGAGTTGCCAATATGTGAAGAGGCCGTCATCGTGCTGTCAATGGCTAGACTGCTGCGTTCCCGCTCTTATTTCCTTAAATCTCATTACAAGCACTACAGGTGATGGACTATCAAGAAATCAGCAGTATGTCTAGCGAGGGTACGGAACAAGGTGACCAGAGCCACAAAGTGGCCAGCGACAGAGTCCCTGATTATAAGCAGCCATCGGCCTCGCAAGTGACCAGAACCAATATCCACCCCATAAAACTACTATGTTAACTAAGGAATCACAAGCCCTATACGGGTGACCCAGTAATACTCCTGTTTGGCCCGAATGGAAAACACTACACAGTTCCGAAGCCCTTGGTCGAGAAATATCAGCAACTGAGCCACCTTTTAATATACACTGACATGGGATTGACTCTATCGCTCAATTGGAAAATCGAGGACATTGCTCATACCTTGGTTCATTACCTCTACACTGGCGAGTATCAGACACTTGAAGTGAAAGGAGAAAAGCCAAGGCACGAAAGGGAGTACAGGCGGAGTGTTATTGTTTACTGCGTGGCAGTTTCATTCGGTATGCATGATCTAGCCTGTAAGGCGACACGATACATTGAACACTTTGGAGGCACGGTCAATATATATCAGATCCTGGGCACAGCGGTTTTGGTATACGGTAAGATGCCCAAGGATAATTGGTATTGCAAGTATCTCGAGAGCAAGATGACAGCTGCTTTCGCTAAAGACCAGAACTTTTTTGAGAAGGGGGAATACATGCAGTACGTTGGAAAGTCACTGAATGGGCAACTGTTTAGCAACAAATAACGCGGCTATTCGCGATAAACGCGATAGCCCCTATTCAAAGCGAATCATAACCCTCTATTTTCGTGAGAAAAAACATGGCTACGGCGTCCCTCAGTATTTTCTTGAAGACCTTCCAGGATATCAAAGTTCTGTGAAGGGAAAAAGCCCCTCCTCAGCCTGTGGGCTCTTCAGGGCTGAGGAGGACATTGCCCACACTGTGATCCATTGGATTCACACTGGTAAGTATGAGACGCTCCAGAATGAATCTGAACAGGGAAACATAGATCGACAGCTGGAGTACAAATGGAGCGTGCATGTCTACTGTGTGGCATGTGTGTACGGAATGCCCGGCCTGGATACGCTTGCGGAAGAGAAGATGCGGATGTATGAATATGCCATTGATGTTGGGCAGGTTTTGGGTATAGCCAGAGAAGTGGTTGTCTTTTTTGAAGATAACTTGCCTGCAGGGTATGAAGAGCGTCTAGTGAGGAGGCTAGCATCTGCTGTCAAGAACGATGGGGAACGTTCCACACTGAATTTGTTTATCAGCAGGTTGGGAGGGGTACCTCGGTTTGACAAGTTCGCTATGGAGAACTTGGCAGCGCTCTTTTAAATTGAAATCTCGGAGCTCAAGGAACGGATTAGGATGGAGGAGTTTGCTAGGGAGTGTCTACGCGAAGGCAAGTCTGTCGATGAGGGCGAGTCTTACTGTTGGGACCCCTTCAACGATGAGAACGGCATTAACAGTGAGAACGATTCTGATGATGAGGGCGACTGCTCTGGAAGATCATCAACCGATTCAAATATCGTGCTGTCTGACCCTGAGGAATCAGGTCCTGGCTACCGGGTATCATCAAGTGATTGTGACGATCCCTGGAGTGAACTAGAATCACTCACTGGTGAAATCGAGAGTGTGGATTATTGGAAAGATTAAGGCAACACGAGAAGATACCCAATCTTCCAAGTCATTTGAACTAACGATTTGAGGTGTGGGCACAGGCCGACTGACTTGATTGCTGTTATTCAATTATACGCTTCAGACCTAGCTTATTTTACAGCTGGTTAATTGCTCAGTTCAACATCTTATATAGCTCACAATAGCCTCCTCAATAAAAATCATCGTTTTATTTCCGTGAAGTAATGAAGTCAAAAATCACCCGAGTTCCTCATCCAGCGGCATTGGCCTGAGATATATAGTTATTTCTTAGATGGTATCTATCTTTATCTTCGCTTTCAAGTTGCCTGTTTAACGTTTGACTGTTGCCTTCGTCAGACTGGACACTATATTAAAGTGGCGACACATAAATTGGAGTTGTCACGTTTGTATCATATAGTAGCGCAAGGCAGCCATACTCCATTTCTCCGATCCAGAAGATAACAGACAACTGCCACACAAGTGCCAAGGCCATAGCATCTACAAATATTGAGTAGCACGACAAAACCTCTTGAGCAAGTCAGAATGAGTAACAGAGATGGCAGGAACGAAGCGATGCCCAGCGATTTAGAGAATAACCAGCCGGAAACCTCGTGAGTCCCCTGAAAAGATGTACTGGAGCATAGCGCTAACCCTGGTAGTCCATACACATCAGAGTCCCTGATTCTCAAGTTTGGCGAGGGATGGCGTCGTTATACGGTCCCACGGCAGCTCTTTGAGCAGCAATTCCCAACGGCAGCTATAACCCTGGAGAAGAGAACAGGTAATCAGAATATCAAACTCAACAGGGCCGACGAGGATATAGGCCACACCGTAGTTCACTGGCTCTATACTGAAGAGTATCAAGTTCTTCAGAATCCGTCTCTACAGGGCAAAGCAAAGCGAGAGAATGGGTATAGACTTGCAGTTCATGCTTACTGTGCAGCGCTCAATTATGCTCTTCTAGGCCTGGCGACCCACGCAAGGAGACAAATAGAGATGCTCGAGGATGCGGTAGATACTGGGAGGATTCTGGCAATAGCGAGAGAGGTCTTCCCCAAGTATGAAGACATCGGTGTGCCTGCTGCATATCAAACCTATCTTAAGAAGAAAATGATGTCTGCTGTGAAAGCCAAGGAGATGTTATTCCACCAGAATGAGTTGATCAAAGTATTCGGACAGGTACCGGAATTTGACATGTTTGTGTTGGAGAACGTCATTTCGTTGTTCTCGCTTCGAATCGCAGGTCTTGAATGGATGTTAGAGAGCGCTTCCAAGCAGGGTTTACACAAGGATAAAGTTGTCGAGGAGGATGGCTGCTCAAAAAGGCCAACTGAGCCTCAAGGGCCACCGCCTCGCTCTGAATTACCCCAGACTCACTCCGTGAAAGAATCAGATTGTGAGGGGTCGTCAACTGGTATTGAATCTGAATGGTATTGTCTCAATGCTCCAGCAAAAAATTAGGTCGGAGAAATTTGCTAAAGAGTTGTTGCGCGAGAACAAGGATGGCTCTCAGTATGAGTATTTCAATGAGGACGAATCTGGCAATGAGGTCGAATGCTCCGGACGATCATCAACTAAAGAAGTGTGGTCTGATCCTGAGGGATCTGAAGTACTAGCACCTGACTGTCAGGGATCAAGTGATTCTGAAGAACCCTGGACCGAATTATGCCCAACTGGTGAGATGGAACGTGTCGATTATTGGTAGGACTAGAACAACTCCGAGAAGAGACCTAGATTGCTGTTGTTGGACTATATGTCTCAGGTCTAGCTTATTCACAGATAGTCAATTGCACTCTCATATATCTTGGACTAGCTATCGCATTGCAATATATTGTATACATCTCTTAATCGAAAACATGGTAGCCAGTCCGCCTATAAAGTGGTGAAAAGATGGACTGTAATCTACATTACTATTCGAGCATCTGTGGGAAAAGAGAAATCCAGAGGTAATATCTCGAACTCTTGGTGATGATGGCATCACATTTATATCATGTGAGTCATCCTTCACAATTTTTCGCCAGGCATCAGCCGAACAATCATTCTCACAGAAAGTAATGGGTAACTGTCAAGCAACAAACAACATGGCTAACGACCAACCAGGAATTTCGTGAGTCGCCATATCCAACAGCCATCTAACACCAAACGGTGATATACAAGAGCGAACAGCTAACGTTAACAGTCCCTATTTGACAGAACTCATAACCATCCAGTTCAAGGAGAAACGAAATGCCTATCCAGTACCTCGACAAGTCCTCAAACGTTTTGAGATTTTTTCGAGATACTTTGAAAAGTACAAAGACGCCTCAGATGTTTATATGGACATTGCCGAGGAAGACATCGGCCACACCATAATCCACTGGCTTTATACCGGCCAGTATCAAACGCTCCCCGATCCATCTCTACCGTCTCAGGGAACTGCGAGACGAGAGCTAGAGTACAAGCGGAGTATGCATGTCTACTGTGTGGCAGACGCATACGGACTGGGTGAGCTGGAATGGCTTGCGAAACAACAGATACGGCTTCATGAAGGCTGTGTTGATATTTATCAGATCCTTGCTATTGCTAGGGAGGTGCTTCCCATTTTTAAGGGACGGATGGATCTCTCGAGTTGGTATCTTGCGTATCTGAGGGGAAATCTAATGTTTGCGTTCAAAATCGACAGAAATTGTTTTAAGAGGGATGAGTTCTTTGAATGCTTGGGACAGATTCCGGAGCTTGACAAGTTCGTGCTAAAGAGCGTGATAGAGCTACATTCGTCTGAGATCTCTGAGCTCGAAGACACTATGAGGTTTGTGAAGGACGTTGAGGCGGAGAATGTGGATGATAGTGATGAGACTGTTCATGAAGATGAATGCTCTACAGATCCACCAGTTCAAAATGATATAGTGTGGGCTGAGCCTGAGGTATCCAAAGAATTAGCGCCTGACTATGAAGTCTCATCGACAAACCCTGAAACACCACCAAGTGATTCTGAAAAATCGTGGAGTGATCTGGAATCCTTGAGCAGTGAGATTGATTGTGTCGATTATTGAAAGCACTGAAGCATACCCAAACGAGAAAAGTCATACAAATTGACGATGCGTGATTGCTATTGCTGGATTATGGGTTTCATTCGTGACGGATAGTATATTGCTCAAACAAGACTCTCCTCTCCTTCAATAGCTATCTACAATACAAACTATTTTATGTTTATTTCTGCGATGTAATCGGCTTCGAAGGCTCGACCCAGTCAAATGTTCCGAGAGCTTTGGTCAACCACACATCGCCCGGGCCATAAGCACCCTTAGGAGGCCCATCGCTGAACAATGTACCACTGAGGAAAGTATGCGGGAAGCCGGGATCGAACGAGTAAGCGGACTCGATCTTCTGCACCTCTTCCTCTGACAACGAGATTCCAGCTGCCGGCGCAACACCACGGATATGGTCGACCTTCCGAGCACCGACGATGGGGAAGACATACGGTGTTTTCTGAAAAACGTATGCCAGGGCAACTTGAAGCAGTTCGACTCCCTTAGCCTTGGACACGTCCTCCAAGATACGAGAAACATTCCGATCATGCTCGGAGAGAGGGATAAAGTTTCGTCCATCGTTCTTCTTCTCGCGCTCCTTGAATCCTTCCTCAGTCTGGAAATGACCCTGGTTCAGGACACCGTACGGGCAGAGACCCATTCCCTCATCACGGCACATGGGAATGATGTCCCGTTCAAAGTCACGCATGGCAGCGTTCCACATTCCTTGGTACACGACGAACTGGCGCAAACCGTGGTCGCGAGCGTACTGGTTGGCTTTCGAAACCACCCACGCCGGAGCATCCGAAATACCTAAATATAGCACCTTGCCCGACGTCACAAGATCATTGAGGCTATGCATCACCTCAGGAATCGAAACTGTATAATCCCACCAATGCACATAAAACAAATCAATATAATTCGTCTTTAACTTGCGCAGCGAATCCTCCACCGAAACACGCATCGACTTCGTCCCATTCCCACCATAATTCGCCTGAATCTTCCCCTTATGATGGTTCTGGTACCCCGTTGTATACTTTGTCGCAATAACCATCTCATCGCGGTTCTTTCTCGACGCGAGCCATTCGCCCAGCCAGATCTCCGACTGTTCTTCGCGGTAAGTGTTGGCGGTGTCGATGAAGTTGCCGCCTTGGCTGTAGAAGTAGTCTAGGATTTCCAAAGCGGATTCTTTGCTGCATTCGCCGTAGCGCTCGCTGTTGGCAGTGCCGAAGGTCATAGCCCCGAGGCATAGTGGGGAGACCCGGACGGAGGCCGTCGGGGAGAGTTGGCGGTAGCGGCTGAGGAGGGGTTGAGACATTGTGCAGTATTGTAGATGATAGATCGATTGATTATGGATGCTATAGTTGAGACTATGCCCCCTTTTATATCTTAGGTCGTACTCGAACATGTGCATTGCATCATACTCCATCCGGGCTTAACTCCGTCCTAATTCCGTCCGACGATGACTGTGGAGAATTTCCCGGATTTGGACCCGCTAGAAGTCTCGATGAAAACGTGGGTTGGCTATCCAGCCGATATACGTCGCGCTTATGCAGGGTGCTGACAGTCGACCGGAGCTCCGATGTATTGCCGTAACCGTTGCTTGGTCTTGATACCTCCGCGAGGAACGGAGGCATGGATTCAGTCTATGGAGGTCTGCGCTTGGTAGTATAGCCAGTGTAATCGAAGAGCTCTATGACAACAAAATAGGGTTTTTGATATGTATCTACGAGTACTTATAATGCTTCCAAAGATCAGCCACAAGAGCGACAATGGTTCAGACATTACCATCTGCCCCACCGTGCTCTCGACTCGTAATCGTATCGATATTCACAGAAGTTTCGCCAATACTCTGGAGTCATAGACGGCGCATCTGCGCGCCTGTAGATCGATAACTGTGCCGTTTTTTCACCAAGGTACTCCGGGCAAACCAATTCACCGTTGGCAGTCGCCATTGAAGGGTCGAAGTCCAGGTGACCGGTGTGGCTATTGTTCGAGATCGTCCAACTGGATCTCCCCCTCACCCTTTTCTCTTCCACCCCACAGCATATACACCCGGTTGGACGTTGGAGGTTCTCCCAAATGACGTTTGAACGGCTGCCCCTTCTAAGGTTGCTTTGCTTTGCGTTTTTCCTGCCATACGAGGACCCATAGTCGCCCCAGTCGCTGTCCAAGTCCGAGTCATGTGAGCTGACTTCCATATTTTGCTGTAGAGGTTCGAGTGAATCAGTCGATAAAGCCAATAGCGTTGTCCCTTCAAGAAGTCCCATATCGAACGCGGCTGTAGTCCCATGTGGATTCTTTTGCTGGAGCACGTCCAGTAACATAGGGCCCGGTTGATTCCGATAATTCTCAAGAAGGTCAGATTTAACCAAATAGGACCCTGTGAGGTGTTCCGGTTTGAGAGGACCGGAGGGAGTGGCGTACGCTCTCATGTATTCATGGTGAGCTTTGACCGTGCGTCGCCAGACTTCCTCCGTTCCTCTCGTTCAAGAGCAGCCTGCCTGGCCTCCTGTGCCTCCTCCTGTGCCTTCTCGTCTTCGATCTCTCGTACTTCATCGGATACCTTATTTATATCCCATCCAACAAAAGTGTATTCAGATCGCCTGTCCCCAGCATGGCGAACATGAAGTCCCGGAATAGATGCCAGTATCGCTCGAGCCTCTCGCTTTTCTTCTAGAAACGAATAAAGTGCAACAGGCTCTGGTGTCTTCTTTGTGTCGGGCTTGCCTCCCAGTCCATCCAAGAAATACTTCGCCAGGAATCGGTGGATAGCGAAACTTGCCTCCAACGTCGGAACGTCAAATGGTTGGTCAGGATCCAATATCCTTGCGAAAATGTCGACTATTGCACGTTCGAAGCTCTCTTTCCAACCCACGACTGTCGGAACACCACGATACGGTTCTCGTCCCTGCGGTTCGCGTATCTTGAGGCCCGGTATCTTGCGCACTGTCTCTATAAGCTGTGGAGTACAGCTCTTCAGAATCAAAGCGTCCTTTTGCTTTTCCTTCTCTGGTTGGCCATATACATTGGTTCGGAAATACCTGGCCAAAAATAGGTCTGGGTCATATGAGGCTTCTTCCGTGGGAGATTTCAGACGGGAAAATGTCTCGGTTCACCTCTTCAAGATGTCTTCATTATAAACATCAACTCGTTATTTAAACTACTGCGATAGTTGTTCCTCTAAGGTTACGGTAGACTGTGGTAGGCTGTTGCACTTACACCGAGTTAGCTCCCATACCGCAAGAGACAGAAGAGGGAAAGAGAAATAAAACCTTTCCAGCCTGCACAGCCGCTCAAAGAGCCATCTTCAACTCGAATGCTTTCTCAGACTTCTTGAACGGAATACCGTGCAGTTCCAGTTGAGCCATAACCCACGCCTTGATGGTCGTCCTGTCTTGAGCGCTGGTGGGGTACAAGCTAACCAACGACTTCAGATCGTCGAGGGAAGCTCGAGGGACACCATTGAGAGCCAAGCCATTGTCGCCATAAGTATAGGCTCCTGGTTGCACGAGCTGTGGCGTTGGTATTATGTCGGCCATCTTGCCTGGCGTTGGTTGGAGAAGCGGGGTATTCTAGCCCTAGCTTCAAGCCCTAGTTACCCAATTGGGACATGTTACGAGTACGGCTTGATCTGCGTTGCCCGATGACTCCTGCGTCAACCAAAGGATGCACAAGAATGAGGGGTTCAATTGACTCTAGAAGCGATAAAGCTGCATTCAATGGAGAGGCATCTGCTATCACCATTACTGGGTGTGCAGCCTGTACACCTGGTATATCATGCTGCATGCACAAAACTTCAATTCTCCTCAGCTCAATATCGTGTAACACCTTGGACAAGGACAAACGGTCATCTTCATGACCCTGAAGAAGGCTTTGTTTGTTAATGAATGACGCTTGGGCAACGGGGAGCTTCTTTGGAATCTGCAGATAAAGCCTCGTCGCCTGAACTCCTCATGACCTCAACATTTCACCTACACACCTTCAAGTCGAGCGTGAAGATTCTGTCATCCATCAAAAGCTTCTCAAGCCATCCTCACCAATACCAGCTAGCAGCGCTGTGTCAGCATCCAAGGTCGAACCGATATGCCTCGCAAGGACTTTCAGCGTGATCTGAGCCAAGCAGCCATCGCACAGTTTCCCTATCTGAGTAACATCAAGGCGGGAGATAACGATGGGTCGATCGCATTCAGGTTCTTCCATCGTGCAGAGGATATCAAAATCGAGTTTCAGGCCATCGCATCAGGTGAGTGATAGCAGCATACTGAGCTGGGATATAGCTGACATTCTCTTAGACTCTAGCGACTACCCCCGATCACATAGCTACTTCGTTTTCACTACCTCCGATGACGTTCCCAAGAGCATTACAACGGCTGTAGAAGGTGTCCAGCCTCTGCTCGAGGGAGCTTCGATCACGAAACTGCTCACTACCGTTAGCCAGGTTGTCGAGAGCGCCATATATGGAGAGGATTCCTTATCGGACAGTTTGGAGAAGGTGGGCACTGATGATGAGGTTGAATACGACTATGAGGATGAGGATTGGGAAGCAACTAGCGAAGTTTATGTCGTAGCGCCGATGAAACTGGAAGCAGAGGCACGGTCAATGCTCCGCCGTGATCTTCGCGTCGTGAAGAGTGCAGGCTTCAGATTGGGATACCTCGGTATTGCGACCGGCTCTATTATTGTTGCAGTATCCTGCCGCGTCTCCAAATTGGGAATTTCAGAGGATGCTATGCAGGCTTGGGATGTCAAGCCGTCAGAGTACTTGGTGTTACTCCTTCGTTATCCGTCAGCGTACCGGGATTTGGAAGATCTTCTTCGCAACGCAGGGAATCTAATGCCTTTGCTCCAGATGTATGTTGGTCTTTGCACTTCATATAAGCCCAGCCATGAGGATGCCATCCGGGTCTTTCAAGGTAAGGCCGCCGAACAGCAACAGGGTGATGGTCCTACAGAGTCTAGTGCTTCGGGTGGTGCTTCGGGCCCCAGCATAAGACCTTTGTTCATCGATAAAGCAATCAATTCCTTGCTCAACGAACGACTTCTGGCCATTATCAGTTACCGATTGAAACTTGGCCTTTCATGGACAGGAGCAGAGCTGTACGCTCACCAGTTCCAAGGCAAGCCTTCCAGTTCCCGGGACGAACTGTTGGACGAGTATTTCGAGCCGGACAGTTGGAGCAGCGCAACACCCGACTTACTGTTAGCTGATCATGTTGCTGATAGCAACCGTGGCCAGTCCCAACTCTCATTGCCGCTGCTTGCCATGCAGTTTACCCTTCGCCACTTTGTCAAGTGTACCGAGTTCTGCCTTGTCTGTCATTGCAGAGTTTCCACGGATTTCGAGGCCCTGAAACCATACGTATGTTCGAACAGTCTATGCTTGTATCAGTATATGGCGCTGGGAATGGGCCCCAGTCTGGAATATGAGATCCTTTCGCAGCCCTATGTCGTCGATCTGCTCATCAGTCTAGCCTACTCCCGGGCAAAAGCCGGTCGCCTCGAGGATTTCCCTACTGGTCTTGGTATAAAGGTCCCTGGTGCGATCGGATGGATAGAACAACCCAATTACAATCGCTACTATAACCAGCTCCATCAACAGCCAGTTGCGAAACTCAGGCCCACTCCAACGTTGTATACTGCGGACCTGGATTCGGCTAATCTGGTGCTTCGTCTTGAACGTGCTGACGAGATTCCTCCTCTTAAAGTCGGTGATTGGATTGCAATCACGGATTTTGAAAAGCATAAGGATACTAATGGAAACAATTACAATTCAAACGCCAACAGCATCTACCCCTACAACTACCAAGTGAACACAAAGCCTACTGGCCAAGGCCAGTGGCATAGTCGGGTGCAGACCATTGACGACCTACTTATCCAACTCTCGTCTCCAATTAACTACGGCGATCTAGTTTCGGGGCCAAAGAAAGGCGATTCGAAAAAAGGGAACAAGGATAATGTGCAAACTGTGAAGTTTGTGATCTATGATACCAACTTCGATAACTTGGACGAGAATGAGAAGCGGGGAGTGATACCATTACTTCTAAACACCCTACCCAGCGTTGACGCCATGACTCAGTATCTTAGCATGATTCCTGATGGAGGATCTCTTGCCTTGTGGAAAGACCTCATCTCACCCGCAGCATTGGATGTGCTGAGATGGATTGTCGCATCAAACCGCTCATTCATTATGCTTGATGGCGATTATAATCCCGAGCATCTCATCCCCGACATGGATGGATATGTCCAATTCCGACTCATCCAAGGAGCTCCAGATAAAGAGCATAAGTTTGAAAACGCCGTCAAAAACCACACAGCTAATTCAAAACATCCATCCATATTTACCTGGCATGGCAGCGACCTGTGTAACTGGCACAGTATTCTGCGCGAGGGCTTCAACTTCAAATACGTCGCGCACGGTCGATCCGAAGGCCATGGGGTCTACATGGCTCGAGAATTCACCACCTCCACGGGTTACTGCTCGAATATCTACGGCGCGTACAACGACTGGCCGCAGAGCAAATTGAAGATCTCAATGGTTCTCTCGCTGAATGAAGTCGTCAACGCGCCGAATAAGTTTGTGTATTCAGGGAGATTCTACGTCGTCAACCAGGTGGACTGGATTCAGCCGCGATATCTCTTCGTCCAGTGCCAGGATGCTCCGCCCAGATCCAAAGCGCCTGGGTCATCTGTTGTCTACGAGCAGGACCCAGCGCTTCCAGCCGTCGGGCCCACCGGGCAAACTCTGTCTTTGCCATCTTCGAGGCTCGGGGGACGGGGACAGCAGTTGCTCCAAATGCCCAAGGTGGTGCAACCACCTCCAAAGTTTCAATCTGTCGAGGAGAAGCCTGCACCCAAACCACCTTCAAAGAAACCACCTGCGAAGCGAGCGGCGCCTAAAGCCGCTGGAAAGAAGACTAAGCGGCGCCGGACGAAGAATGAGCATGAGCCTGAGAGCCCCTTGATTGACATTACAGCGACCAAGGATGATGATACCGCCAGTGTTGCTACGTTATACGAGGATTTAGAGATCCTCCTATCTGACGTCGAGGACGAAGAGCCTGTTGAGGTCATTCCCCCGACAGACTTCCTACCCGGAACCCTAGACGAAAGAACACTCCCCATGCTCAGCCACCCCACATACGCAACAACCACCGCCACCAAAACCCTCCAACAACATCTCAAAACAACTCTCGAGATCCAAGACAAAGAATACCCCGGCGCGCTAGGCTGGTATGTCGACCCCAAACTAATCAACACCGTCTACCAATGGATCGTCGAGCTGCACTCCTTCGACCCGGACCTTCCACTCGCCCAGGACCTCAAAAACGCGGACCTAAAAAGCATCGTTCTCGAACTCCGCTTTCCAGCCCAATTCCCACTGGCCCCGCCGTTCGTCCGTGTGATTCGTCCCCGTTTCCTGCCGTTCCAAGAAGGTGGTGGTGGACATGTCACTGCCGGCGGTGCGATGTGTATGGAGCTTCTTACGAATACAGGGTGGTTGCCGACTGCTACGATTGAGAGTGTGTTATTGCAGGTGCGACTGGCGCTTATGAGTCAGGATCCTGCGCCGGCGAGGCTTTCGAGTGATTGCAATCTTGATTATAACGTTTGGGAGGCGGTACAGGCGTATAGGAGGGCGTGTAATGCGCATGGGTGGGGGATTCCGGATGGTTTGACGAATATTTCTTAGTATTGATTGATATTTAAACGTGTTGTTGTTTGGATGTCACTGATTTGGAAGAGGATGCTGAAAGTGCTATATTGATGATATGACATGTGGTATGTCTTTTTAGGAAACAGCTAATCTAATCATTTTTGGCTTTTTTGGTACCTCTTCCTGCTCTCTGTGACCTCTCAAAGAACTAATCTTCAAACTCCAGTCCACAATCCCTCAACCGCACATTATCCTCTCCCAATCCACCCTGCACGACAATCGCATCCTCCCCAAAAATATCAGCATCAAACCACCCCCTCGCATCAGGCACACCACCCATAACATCAACCTCCTCCCACGTCTTACCCTCAATATCAAACACCCACACATCACTAAGCATCTTCCCGGCCCCCTGGTGTCCCAATGAGCTCGGACCCCGCTCCCCGAACAGTATAGCAAGATATGTCTTTCAGGAAACAGAAACAGGGAGTAATGCAGCAATGCTGCGTGGTGTCGGGCCGGGTTTCCCATCTGCGGCGAATTCGTGCGAAGACCAGGACGGCAATGGCATCTATAGTCCAATAGAATATGGCCGGCAGTATGTGGCAGCCTGTCACCGCCTATAGGCGGCGAAATTGAATTGACTTAGACCTGATTGGGGTTGGCGTGGTTTACGCGCATCAATCTGCAGCGTTGAGTTTGACTGTTCCTGAGCATATACTCAGTAGATTGCTATAGCTATTATCTTCAAACTACCATTAATAGAGAATAAAAAACATGTTCTGTTTAGTCGGATCATCTCGTACATTCCGCAACTGGAAACGTGCCTGCCAAGAAACATTCCCAACGTTTCTGTTTATTTCGAATTTTCTCCCCGATTGACATCCCGGAATTGCATATATTCTGGCCAATTGGTTGAGACTGCGATATACAATCGTCTATGCTTGCCGAGCTCGATTTGCCGACATGCCAAGCCCTAACAGGTCCAATGTCAGTTCATCTCGGCCTTCCCGTCCCGAAGCTTGACCTGTGCTGAGCTGCTATCCCTGTCCCTGTCCAATGGGGTAGTTCGTGTATATTCCTTCGCTCAGCTTGCTGTACTCTTGCATGAAAGTGCCGTGTTATCAATTGTGACGCCATGACCGCCACAAACGAACCCACAAACTCCTCCATAGCACGCCGTCTCTACATATCGCACTTCCTATCAACATGGAACTCGCGCGTCTTCGAGTTCGGGTCCGTTCTGTACCTGGCATCTATCTTCCCGAATACGCTGCTGCCTATGTCTGTTTATGCGTTGGCGCGTGGGGCTTCGGCGATTTTGTTCTCGCAGGCTGTGGGGTGGTATATTGATACAAGGGATCGGTTGCGTGTTGTGAGAGTTTCTATTGGTATGCTTTCCTATTATCAGCATATTGCTTGGGAGTCGGGGTCTGACGGATGCAGTTTTTCAAAGACTGGCTGTGGCGGCTTCTTGTGTGGTGTTCTGGTTGCTGGCTACGGGGAGGACAGTGCCGGATCTTGAACTATGGCTGCTAGGGTTGCTTTCTCTATTCGCCTGCGTGGAGAAGCTTTGCGATATTATGAATACTATATCCGTTGAGAGGGATTGGGTTTGTGCATATGTCCTCTTCCTTATGGCCCATACTTACAACGTAATAGGTTGTTGTGGTTGCTATGGATGGTGCGGAGGCCCTAGAAAGTGAGTTGAATATGGCTTAGATTTTGAATAATTGACTAACATTGTACAGTCCTCAATGCGGAAATGCGTCGCATAGACCTTATCTGTAAACTAGTAGGACCGTTCGTCATAGCGATGATTGACGGGTTCTCGACAGAAATTGCAATCGTGGTTAACTTTGCGATGAACATCTTGTCCATATTTTTGGAATACTACGCCATTGAACGTGTGAGTCCTCCAGCCCATGTATCCAGAAAATACTAACACACCGCAGGTCTACCAAATGGTCCCATCTCTCCAAACCCCAAAACAACCCCCACTCCCCACAAACGAACAAACATCAATAACAACCGGCCACCAGATCAACCGCTGGTCAACCAAACAATTCCTCTTCGAAGCCATTTGCGGATCAACACGCTACTTCCAACACAGTGTCTTCCTACCCTCCTTCGCCGTCGCCCTACTAAACTTCACCGTCCTCTCCTTCTCAGGCCGCATGGTCGCATACCTCCTCTCCGTGGGGTATAACTCATATCATGTTGCAATTGCAAGAAGTGCATCTGTTGCAGTTGAGATATCAGCGACGTGGGTTGGACCACTCCTTATGTCGAGGATTGGGGCTTTGGGGGCGGGTATGTGGTTATTGAGTTGGCAGACGGTGGCATTGGCTGGGGCTGCTGGGGCTTTTTTTGTGGTCAGGCCGGAGATCGTAGCTGCTACTGGGCTTGTGGCTGGTACGGTACTCAGCCGCGTAGGAATGTGGGGGTTTAGTCTTAGCGCGCAGATTTTCGTGCAGGAGGTTCGTTTCTTTCCTTCCTGTTACCGTCCATAACTAACAGTGTGTAGGGAGTCGAACCAGAAAACAGAGGCTCGTTCTCCTCGACAGAAGCATCATGGCACAACACATTCGAATTGCTTTCCTACTCCACGACGATCTTCTTCTCACGACCAGATCAGTTCCAGTGGCCTGTTTTGATGAGTTTTATCGCTGTGTTTACGTCGTGTAGTTTGTATGCGGCGTTTGTTAGGGAGAGGATGAAGTATTTTGGTGGGAAGGGGGATGAGAGATTGGGGAGGGAGTTTGGATATGAGGATTTGCCTTAGGTGGTTTAGATGTTGTATTATTAGCGTTATAGATGTAACTAGTTACAATTGTACTTTCATACCTCCTCTCCACTGTAGACGTATACCATTATATAGATACTCCGACACCAATTCCCTTCGCCAAAACCAAGTAACCACCGGCTCATCAGTCACTCAGATAGTCGCCTAACCCATCGGATAATTGCTATCATCAAATTCATCCACATCCTCAATAGACGTCACAGAACCCTTCTCCGACATGCTCATCTCAGGACACGGCGCAACTTGCTTCTGCTTTGAAGCTCTGCGATCACGTCTGTCCACCCAAGCCTTCCGAATAGTACAGCCAGTTGCCCAGAAAACCGCGAAGATCAAGAGCTTCGATACCCAGGGACGGTCCGTAAAACTCCGTGGACTGTCAACGGACGAACAGCGCAGCTTGATATCCTCGGAGTCCATGTCGGAGTCAGATTCGATGATGCCGCAGGTTACCGTCTTATTTCTAATCCGCGAGACGAAAGGCGTACTCTCGGTTTCGTAGGAAGGTTGTAAGATATCGCCAATCGCAGAATCGGCTCTCAGACAGAAGACGGATGAGTCGGATGGCTCGGTTTCGGACCGTAAGTCGCAGTCCACTTTGGAAATCGAGATAATATTGTCTGAAACATCGCTATGTTTCTCATCGTTCTCCGATGGCTGAAATTCAAGCGGAATAAGCTGTGCACGGAGCTCGTGAATGGTTTCGTTCGAGATATCGCATCCATTGGTTGGATTGGTGTTCGTGGGTACAGCGAGAAGCTTCCCGCAGAGACCCAATGTCACACATAAAAGAGATAGGATGTGCATTTTGCAGTTATCAGTTTTGAAGTTGTTTAATTGAAAAATTAAGAAATCGAGGGGATTGGTTTTTTTAAGTCAGTGCTCGATGACGTTGAGACCCGCTGGGTTGCATTAGCGCCGGGAGTCGATAACCTTATTCCTCTGCCGGCTTGGCGGGGATCTAGAGTAGGAGTTGGGTTAATGGAGGGATCATTATGAGCTGCGAGGATTTAGAGAGTGGTAGAATTTGAGGCTTGGAGAGGGCGCTCGTATCTGGAAAAAGTGGGAAGATGTTGAGGGTAGTACACCGGGAGTTATTTGGTGAACGGTATATTCAAGTTCATCGCTATTTGGGATATATAGTTCGGTCATTGAAATGGTGTTAAATCCTAGTTCCTCGTTCTGATTGTGGTTCTGTAATCCGCAAGCAACAGCGGGCGTGGCCATGCAATTCCCCGACAGAATCAACGGATATGACCCCCTGGCTACAATCTCAGTAACGGCCTGAGACGTGCGCCGCATGACTTCGAAGCTGCGGCCGATCTCGCCTTCGAAGTCGTCGACTAGTGGGATCTCGTGTATTTCGATGGTGAGGTCGAGTTGTTCCAGGGCTGGGATTAGGCCCTGGGAGAGGATCCGGTGTGGTCCGTTGCCTACGCGGTGGTCGCGTAGGCCGGTGTGGTAGGGGGAAAGGATGATTGTGATGGTGCTTGTCATTTTTACTTAGATTTTGGGTGGCTTGAGAGAGAAAGGGAAAGATGGCGGTTACATGTATACATACTTTTTGGAGACATGGGGAAGGGTCTCCAATGACGAAACCCCCCCAAATTACTCCCATACTAGTAGAGGTTCTGTCGGACATGGATCCCACTTTCCTTGCTTATTAAAAGCATGCTTGACCAATAACTAGTTAACGTAATCCACGGCCGAGCCGTCCACTTCCTCCGCTACCACCACGAATTTGAAGCTTTGCAACCACTAACACCATTAAATTAAAATATATAACAGACAAAATAACTAGCTATTTACTAGGGCAGCTTTGTATTGTATGTCCAACAGTCCCACAGCCACTACAGCGTGATGAAGCGCGTTGATGAAGCACAGGTGTAAACTAAGAAGAAGGAAGTGGCCATCAATGAGTTGTTTGAGGCTAATTAAAAAGAAAGGGGTCGGCATAAAGACACCCAAGGCCAGGTGCAGGCGCTTCAGAAGACTATTGGGGTCATTACTCGCTACATTATTGTTTAACATGTCTGTCGAAACATATAAAGAGCCCAAGAAATAGAGAAGAACACTGACACCACTCGTGCTGTATCAACCTAATCAACTTGTTATTTATGATAGCACAAGCTAATTATCAGACCATTTTGCTTACTTTACATGCCGTTTCATCCCTTTCGCATTATCTGTTCCATACCTAATCTACCCCTATTATGACTTCGAAGCAAGGAATTCCTGGCTGAACGGATAATCGGTATATCCCGTTGCAGACTTCGGGGTGTAAAAGCTGGATCTGTCGTATTTGGTCAATCCGAGTCCATTTTGAATGCGAAACGGGAGGTCTGGGTTTGCCAAAAAGTGCCTGCCAAATACGACCGCAACTTCGTTGTTTGGATAGTCGCTGTCTGCCTTCTCTGCAGATTCAGGAGTAAATCCACCAGCCAGTAGAACGGGAGTGTCCTTTCCCCAGGTATGCAAGACAAATTCGATCCCCTCTGTCTTTTCGATATCCACGTTGTTGTTCACTCGAGATTCGATCACGTGGAGATATCCCAGCTTGAGATCCCTGAGTTCCTGGACCAGGTATGTAAACTGAGGAATTGGATCAGCCATTCGCATTCCCTGGAAACTACTCCAGGGGCTGATCCGGTACCCCAGTTTCTGGGCGCCAATTTCGTTTGCAATTGCCGTGGCGACTTCAATGCCCAATCGCGCTCTATTTTCGATACTACCCCCCCATCGATCTCTTCGTCTGTTGCAGGTATCCTGGAGAAACTGATCGAGCAGATATCCATTTCCTCCGTGGATTTCCACGCCATCAAAACCAGCGCGTATAGCATTTCTCGCTGCATTTGCATAGTCTACAATGGCGGCCTGGATCTGGTCCTCCGACATGGCGTTCGGGACGCAGGCAAGGTCTGTCAATGGAACCGGGCTAGAGGACAAAATGCCATGACCGGCCTCTCGCTGCAATGTTGCCTGGTCCGCCGCACGACCTGGTGCCAGCAACTGGCAGAACATGTAACATCCACGCGCATGGACAGCATCAACCACCCTCTTCCACCCTTTCACCTGCTTTTCGTTCCACATACCGGGCATGTTCGACACACCACCATGACTCGGGGAGATGATAGAGGATTCGGCGATGATCAGGGTCCCAGGCACAGAGGCGCGCTGGCAGTAGTATTCCATCGCCATCGGCAGCTGTACGTGCTCGTCGTCCGCGCGAAACCGGGTAAGCGGTGCCATGACGATGCGGTGCTTGAGGGCCACATTGCCGATCTGTAAGGGTTCAAAAAGCTTGGTCATGGTTGGATAATGGCACCGAATAGGTATTGACGTCTGTTCTCTCACAATAAATGCAAGTATGAAAGGACGGATAGAGATATATATATATGTGTTCAAGAATGTGCTACGGAGCTTTCTAAGAAGCTACATTTTGTTGGAGTAGCTTAGTCAGCGCCATGCCGAATCCGGTAAAAAGGAGGTCTCCAACTCCTTGACCACCTCCATCGCTCCTCGATGTTTGCTTTTCATGGCATTTTCTCCCCTGATCTCTCCAAGTACAGGGAGGGAATTGCGGTATCTGAATGCGGCATCCACAATGACCTCGCCCTTTGTTGTCACTAGAACCAGGTTGGAGAAGAATGCCCCGTCGACCGCGAAGGACAAGAAACACGCATGCATGCACTGTGGCCGGCGCTTTAGACGTACGGAGCATTTGGACAGGCATATGCGGATTCGTACGATCTTTTGCTCTTATGATTGCGTGCTAAAATTGCATACTTATGATCATCCGACAGATACCAAGGAAAAGCCATTTGTCTGTCATTGTGGAGCGTCATTTACTCGAAGGGACCTCCTCAAGCGCCATGAACGTATTTGCCATTCTAGTCCGTCTGAAGTGGCTAATTTCCAGGGGAATTGTGGCCCCGAGCCGCCAGGAACCCAGGAAATCAGCCCCGGGCCGATAGTAGAGATTGGAGAGGCATCGAAGCCGCAACAAATCACTATACCGGATCAGATTTCACCCATCTACGGGGATAATCAACACCATCCCGGCGTGTATGCCTCGTCACCCGGTTTTGGGGACTTCGAGGGTTTTGGTTATTCCGAAGGACGTGAGTTCTCTGGAAGTAGGGCTGTTGCAGTGCTTCTTTGGAAGAGTAATAATTGACGTGCCAGTAGAAAGCCCCGTTCCGTTCACACCCAGAGGATCAAATCATTTTCAGGACTTTACAAGGTTCTTAGATTCGCTCGGCTTTCCAATGGAATGGGCACCTATTGACCCTAGCTTGCTTGAAAATGATGCTCCTGGATGTGACAGCGTGTCCCAAAATGAACCACTGCGACAACCGGTTACTCGTGCAAGTGATACAAGCCATTATGGGCCGACTCGAAGTCGGCTTCCATATGTGCCCAACCCAGGGCAGGTGCTGGCTTCAATTCCCGAATTTGGTATGGTCAACGATATGGTGTCCTCGGTAGCGAGAAGTATGGCATTTTGAACTAATCCTGCAGAGCACTCGCATTCCCGATGCAAAATAGCTTCATTAATAGTGACAGAGGCACGACTATACCTTATAACGACATTGCAAGATTTTCGTCCTGATATGACTTCATTCACCCTGCCCTCGCGGCATACACTGACCAGGTATTTGACGTTCTTTTTCCAGGGCTTTCACACACACGTCCCATGCATTCACATTCCCACATTTTACTTGACCGATCGCATTCCAGAACTTATCCTGGCCATGATGGCTGTTGGAGCTCATTATAAATTAGAGCGGGCGGAGTGCGGAGAATCTTTTCCACACGGCAAAAGACATTGTTCTGGAGAGACTGTCCCTTCATCCAGAATCTATTCATACAATACAATACTGATCCGTGGTGTCTGTAGGCACACAAAACCGCCATAACCGCAGCCCGCAACAGCTCCGTCGCCCACATCTTCTATATTTGAACTATATATCTCTTGCCATCACTATGTCCTCTCTTACCTACATCAACGAAGAAGGCGCTGGCCAAAAACACAGCGATCTATGCCACTACTCCCAAGCGGTGGTCCTTGGAAATATCGTCAAATGCGCCGGACAAGGAGGGTGGACTGAGACTGGTGATTTGGACGCCAAAAACATCAATGGCCAAGTGGATCTCGCTTTTGCAAACGTGGACAAAGTTCTCCGGGCGACAGGGCTGCGCGGATGGGAAGATGTCTATTCGATCCGCTCGTACCATGTTGACATCGATTCCTCGTTCGATTAATGTGTGCAGAAGTTGAAGGAACGCCTTCCTGACCATCGTCCTATTTGGACTTTGATTACTGTGCCTCGATTGGCGTTTCCGGCGATGAAGATTGAGATTGAGGTCGAGGCTATCAAACATGAATGAGAAGCTAAAAGGAGACTTTGGAGTATTTAAATGTATTTAAAGAAACCTATCGCAAATATGAATAAAGAAAGAACTGCAAGGCAGCTCTTGGGTTCCCTGGTCATACCTTAAATCCCCTGCACGTATAGTTTTGAGTTGCCCGGGTGTCATGGAAAAAGTCTACTGGTAGTAACAAAGCCTTCATGTAATCCATACATCACACACAAAATATGTGAAAATAAGTAAACAGTTTCTAGTCTTTTTCTTTAGCGATGATGCCTGAAAAATCCTCTGCGTGGAGATATTTTCATGACGGTCTAAATAATTCAACCATCTCCAACGGCCACCTCCACACTGGTTCGGAGACTTTCTTTTCTTCTTAGCAACCAGAAGTGACAAATCTCCCACTAGAATTAATAATGCAGCAGAGATTCGGTATAAAATGACCGAGATATCGAATCTTGTTCGAGCATTGCAATTCAGATCAGTGTGATGACCAGCCAGTAAGTCAGTCTTGCTGGAGACCTGCATTCTTTCTTTTCTAACCCTCATACCAGCTTCTCGATTTCTTAAATGCATCTCCACTGTCTGCGTGACAGCTTTCTTGGACAATGTTTGCGCCAATTTTGGAGGCCTTCTTGGTTGAAGTATCCTGAAGAGGATCTCCAATGGCAACCAACCTTCGCATCTAACGCCGAGAAGACAATACTGGTCGAATGGCACTCCGACCACGACGAAGAAAACCCCCAAAACTGGTCACAACTGAAAAAGGCCTTTATTCTCTTAGTTATCGGTATCTATAGCTTTGTTGTGTATATGGCTGCGCCAATTTATACCCCAAGTGAGGATGCATTCATTGAAGAATTCGGCGTGAACAACGCAGAAGCGTCCCTTGGCCTTGCTCTTTACGTGTATGTCAAAAGATTCGATTCCTTATTCATCTGTTAATATTGCGTGTGGCTAACTGAAATGAAGCTTGGGATATGGTGCCGGCCCTCTCTTCTTCAGCCCTCTGAGTGAAATCCCTCGCATTGGACGAAACCTCCCCTACGTCCTCTCATTCTTTCTCTTCTGCATTGTCAGTATTCCTACTGCACTGGCACCCAATGCAATTGGATTTTACTTCCTGCGTTTCCTTCAAGGATTTTTCGGAAGCCCCTGCTTGGCCACAGGAGGCGCCTCAATAGCAGACGTGTACTCATCCGACGTGCTCCCGCATGCGATGACAACATGGGTATTTTGTGTCTTCTGCGCTCCAGCTATCGGCGTACTGGCATCTGGTTTTGCGATTCCAGTGCTTGGCTGGCGGTTCTCAATGTGGGAGATTTTGATGGCCGCTGGTCCCATTCTGGTCCTGCTTTTGTTGTTGCCCGAAACCAGCTCTGCCACAATTCTTCACCGACGTGCTCGGCGCTTGAGAAAGACAGAGATTGGGAGATCCTATAAATATCAGACTGCTGCGGATATCGCCCAAGGAGGCCTCTCTTTCTACTCGGTTGTACAAGAGTCGCTGCTTATTCCCGCGAAGATCACATTTCTTGACCCGGCAATCCTGTTTTTGAATTGCTACACATCTCTGACCTACGGCATCTACTATTCCTTCTTTGAGGCTTTCCCAATCGTCTACCGGGGCGTATACGGGTTCAATCTGGGAGAGATGGGGTTGGCATTCCTGGCTATTGTTGTTGGGACGTTCATCTCATTCGTGATTTATAACCTCTACATTTACAAGATCTTCATCCCCAACTCTAAAGGCGGTCGAAAGCCGGAGGACGTGTTAGTTCCCGCTCTGTTCGCATGCTTTGGACCGTCCATTGGCCTGTTTCTTTTCGGATGGGCTGCAAACCCAAATGTCCATTGGATCGTACCGACAATTGGAATCGTCATCTACCCAGCATGCGTGTTCATCTTGATGCAATGTATCTTCCTCTATATTCCAGCGTGCTACCCACAATACGCAGCCAGTGTGTTTGCTGCCACTGATTTCACCCGGAGTGCTTTTGCGTGTGGGGCTGTCGTGTTTTCGAGGCCACTCTATGAAAACCTAGGGGTTGGCCCTGGATGCAGCTTGTTAGCGGGTCTAACTATTGGATGTGTGGTTGGGATTTACGTACTATATCACTACGGAGAGGCCTTGCGGCTCAGATCGAAGTTTGTACCTAAAAACTAATTTCGTGAATAAATTGGAGCAAAAGGACTGATGTGTTCATTGGCTCTCTGCTAAAGAAGCGGCGAACCTTTGCTCGCAAATATTACCATATATATCCAGGCCCTCTCCGATTACCCCTAGTATCGCCCACTGCTCATTCCCTCTTATCAGTCTAGCCCATAGCTTTATAACCGCGAATGCCAAGCAGACACAATTATAAGATAATATGGGCCTAGACCATAGGTCGTCATCGCCCGAAGTCCTTCCTTCTTCAACTATATCCCCTATCCAGCTAATGAAGCAACTCTCATGATCTAATAATATCAGCATATTTCCAAATTTTAGGGGCAACAATACACATACCATCAAGCGGCCGGGTCTTCTGACAATTGGATATACAGAAAAGCCATTTACTAAGGAATATTGCAAGTTCCAACCCACATAATGAATGCTGAATACTCCAAACAAATGCATGGCTCCGGGAAACAGAGTTGACACCCAATTTGACTGGTATACTCAGAGCATGTGTCGCATGCAATATTGCAGAAAGCAAATGAGGCCCGGTAGGGAGAGGCGGCATCTGGAGTATTCTCTCGGAAATTTGCTGTGGGTCTCGACTTCTAAGGATTTTGCATGAGCCTATATTGAAAGCCAGTCGAATATATGCAAGTCCCAGTAATGCCGTGGAGGTGAAAGTGACTGGTCCGTTGGGATTGCGGGGGTCAAGACTTGATTCAGGTGCTCGTTGCCACTGAGACGTCCATGTATGGAGAGCGTTCCTATAGAAGAATCAAATTCAGTATTTAGGGTTATTGAAGATAATTATATGAGTTCTTACCTAATAGCTTCCTTTTGACGATTGAGCAAGGTATGATCCTCATCGGTATATGGGTGGTTGAACGCCTGCTGAACCAGCATGATTCTTTGGATCAGAGCATGCAAAATAATGCAATTTGCTAAAGGAGATGGAACCGGTTTGGAGTTGAGTAAATCCGGTTCGTGGGAGCCGTTCAACATGTGAGAGAGCGTCTTGAAAAAGCATATGAGGGCTTCCTGATCTAGGTTGAACTTGCTACGGAGACTAATAAACGCTGATTTATTGTGGAGGCAGTGGATGACCCCAGAGAGACATATACAGTAAGCATTCCTTAGAGTACATTCATGCTTGACTGACATATTGATGGGCTTGCTGCCCTCTTATACTGCTGCCTGTTGCTACTATAGATTTAAGAACTCCAAGATCCCAATTGCGAAATTTTATGGCCTGCTCAAGCACGCATCTCACAAGACACTGCATGTGCGACCACTAGGACGCAAAACATCCGCATCGTCTTCTTTGTGGCATCCTGGAGCGAAACATCCGTCAGTTCCGCCTGGATATTTCACCACCCATATTGGAAGAAAAACATTTCCCATCGACTAGCCTCGCTAAGCCAAAATGTACTTCAAACTATCAAATACGGTTGTCGCATTTATCTTTTCCCTAAACATCGCCGCTGTGGTGCATGGAGCTACAGCTAAATTCGAAATTGGCTTTCACATTTTACAGAGAGAAACTCTCCCAAACCCTAACGCCAAGGCGACGGTGAAACTACCTAAGCTACATTCGGCTAGAATGCAGATCATTAACGTCTGTCAGAATGGGTATGTAAAGTACCTGACAAGACCAATACTGTACACCTAGGCGTTGAATTGTACGTCACTTGCAGCTGGCATCTTCGCCCGAGCGCCGAAGCTGTCGCGACTTCCATTCGACCCCCACTACGAGACGAACACCCACGGCACAAAATGGCTCCAAATCTCTCCTCCTCCACCCGAGAATTCATTCGCGATATGATTTTAAGCAAATCACTGACTACGGCCCAGATCGCTGGTGCCGCAGAATACAGCCCGCGATCCATCACCACCATCCGCAGCAATCTGCGGCAGTCCGGTGATACCAGAGCACCCTCTATTCGAGTAGGCCGACCGCGTAGTATTACGCCACTAATGCTGGAGGCTCCCTGCGACCATCTACTGGAAAAGCCCGGACTATACCCCGACGAGATGGCACTTTTTCTATGGGATAAGTTTGGCATATACGTAATAGCCTCCAGCATCAGGAGAGCGCTAATCTCCAAGAAATGGTCCAAGAAGACCTCTCGCCAAAAGGCGCGGGATCGGAATGCCGATCTTCGAGACTGTTATCTACACAACCTATCCGTGTTTCGGGGCCCGACCGACGGGGTCAGTTTTCGAAGATTTCATCGAGGAGCTCCTAGGGCATTGCGGGAAGTGGCCGGAGCCCAAATCCGTTCTGGTGATGGACAATGCCTCTTTCCACTATTCCAATCGGATAGAGAAAATGTGTTCCGATGCGGGTATGAAGCTAATATATATTTGCCGCCCTACTCGCCAGATCTGACCCCTAGTGTATCTCAACGAAAGGGGGCAAGTGGTGAATACAGTATTATTGATAATTCATTTCGCAAAATATTCGTGTTATTTATTCATTTTCTAGATATCGCTACAGAATTCAAACCTGAAAAACACTTGCGTATGATTTCGCCCACTGGGTGATTTCAGAAACGAACCGGCGCGCTACTCCCACACTAATCCCCTGCTTAATAAAAAATCCTGGGTCTTGATCATAATGAATCTGCTGGAGATCAAGGCCATTGGCGAGTGCCAAGTCTCGCGCTTTGCAGATATCGTCCTTGAGGTTGTCCCTACTCACCCGTGATTGCTGCCACTTACTATACTCCTCCACTGCCACATCAAGGAGACCAGGTATCTCAATCGGTTCGGGCGCCGGAGTCTTTGACGCGATTAAATCACAAGAGATTGGGTCATTTGTACCAGTTGCGACCGGTTGTGATACCTGATTGGGGAGCACAGTGGTGTTAATTGGAGGGCACATCGATCTAGGTGGAGCATTAGCATGGTTTTTGTGCTTCGCTCGTTGTCCTCGGCATAGAGCTGCTCGCGGAGGCTGTCCGGGATGTTGTCATGGGTTTCCAATTTCCCGCCTTTCTCCACATATCGGACCAGACTTCTCAACTGATGTGTTCGCAGCTTATAGTGTCCTTTCCCCACGGGGTCTTTCCAGCAATATTGACCTTCATAGCGGCATAGGGGGCCAGGGTAGCTGGCCGGTCTAGTCAACCGACCACCCAATCAACTACTCATTCCCACATATTCACACGGACCCATGTTCATCTGACCTGTGTCCTGTCTTGATAGTCCCTATACGAAAACTGTAACTTTGTTTTTCCGTGAAGAAAAACAGGGTTACACAGTTCCTCGATGTTTTGCCGAGCAAGTTCCAGCACTTGCTTCCTTTTTGAAGTCAGGTAATACCAAATTTGTTCTACTGCGGGTTAGAGAGGAGATGGCCCATACCGTGGTTCATTATCTCTGTACAGGTGATTATCAAACACTTCATGATCCATCTTCAAAAGGTATTGCAAAACGGCGGATGTAGTACAGGCGGGGCGTCCTTGCCTACTGTACGGGGGTTGGATATGGCATGCCCGGCCTCAGGGCTCATGCCATGCGATACATGAAGACGTTTGACAATGCTGTTGATATTCAACAAATTCTGGTCCTAGCCAAGGAAGCCTTCTCCACATTTGAAAGTCATCTTTTGAACTCCGAGTATCCTGATTATATACGCGGAAAATTGGAGGGTGCTGTGGAAGCGAACGGAGACTTTTTGAAGCAGTATGGTTTTTTGCAGGGCTTTGGAAACCAGTCCATGTTTGACAGGTTCATGGTGGAAAGCATGGTGTCAGTGTATTCGAAGAAGATCTCATCGCTCAGCAACGAGAATAAGACCCTGAAGGCTGTCAATGAGAGCTTGTGCAAGGACAAGGATGAACCAACTTGTCCTCAGAAACCGGGACCTACATGGCCGCAGACCCTTTCAGTGTCCGATATTCATGAGTCCACCGTTGTTCCTACGGGGTCCGCAGGATTGTTTGAAGATGATCGCTCTGGAGGGTCATCAAGTGATGCAGAATCGGTAGATACTGACCTTGGGTTCGTCAGTATTGGGAAGAACAATGAGGTTCAGGAAAAACAACCAAGTCATGTGGAAGCGAGCGCATAAGGATTTGGGTCAGAACTCATCATTGTGATGGTTGCTCAATTGCTCTCCCTCAATTTCTAGTTTACGTATGGCTAAATCCATTGCTCGTTTCGAACTTTTCATATCATTCAATCGGACAGCCGTAATATATATATATATATGTGGCTAGCCAATGAGATTTTACAAACACAACCAACAGACACAATCGAGTAATATTGCCCGAATGAACACAGTACAGTGCTCACTCCACAGCAACTTGCGTTCCCAACCAGACTAGCAACGATGCGTGTTGACAATCTCCGAATCGGGCAAGTCTGAGGCCATCTCGGGATCCGGATCCCCGCATTCCTCCACACTCCCACAACAACACTGGCCAAACACACTCACACCGTTTCACATCCCTTCTCAGTATACCAGAAATGCATGTTACTCCGCATTGCGACCGGCCATGTCCCCGGGGTACTCCTTGCCCGGTGGTCGGATTTGCATCGGCAATCGGCCTTTGACGGCAATTGACGGCGCATACACCTGGTATATCTAGCCATTCCGCACCATCGACACAAACTAATTGAATTGTTCAAGTCTAAATCAAGTCTAAACAAAAATTGAAAATGGCCAAACTCCGCGTCCTCCACATCGGCGACAACATCAAATACAACCACGACGTCTACCAGCGTTTCGCGTCGGAATTCGAACTCATCCAACCTACCGCTGCCGAGCGCCAACGCGATGAATTCATCCGTGCCTTGAAAGAGCATCGCTGGGGCGATTTCGATGCCGTCTTTCGTCCGTTCTGGAATACAGGTGGTGAGATGGGGAGATGGGATGCGGAGTTGATTCCTCTTCTCCCGAAGTCGGTTAAGATCATGGCGTCCGCGGGCGCTGGGTATGACTGGGCGGATGTGGATATTTTTGCTAAACATGGTATGCCTTCTTTCCCTATATGATGGAGGAAATACAGTTAGCTAATAACGACAGGAATCATTTACTGCAACGGCGCAGCAGCATCCTCCGAATCCGTCGCCGACATGACCCTCTTCCTCATCCTCGCTATCTTCCGCAACTTCGCCTGGTCGCACCAGGCCGCACACTCAATCAACCCCTCGCGCTTCCTCGACGCACACCAGAACTCTCCCTTAACCGCCTACAACCCCCGTGGCCGCTCACTGGGTATTATCGGGATGGGCCAGATCGGGTTCATGATTGCGCAGAAGGCTTACGCTGCGTTTGGCATGAAGATCCAGTACAATGATTTGTTCCGCAAGAGCCCCGAGCAGGAGAAGACTGTTCAGGCGACGTTTTTCAAGGAGTTGGATGATTTGCTTGCGAACTCGGACTGCGTTGTCGTTGCGACGCCCTTCGCGGGCCAGAAACTCATCACAACGGAGCGACTGCAGAAGTTCAAAAAGGGATCGCGGTTTATTAACATCGCGCGTGGATCATTGGTCGACGAGGAGGCGCTTCTGCAAGCACTTGATAGTGGACATCTCTCTGGGGCAGGACTGGATGTGCATGATAACGAACCGAATGTGCACCCGCGCCTGGCGAGTCATCCCAAGGTCATGATGATGTCGCATAATGCTGGTGGGACGATTGATACACATGTTGGCTTTGAGAAGTTGGCCATGGAGAATATTGAGGGGTATTTGCTTAAGGGCAAGGCGTTGACGCCGGTGAATTTGCACATGTTGCCGAAGGGACCTTCGAGTAAGCTGTGATTGCTGAGGCTATATATTACGGTAATATCCAAAATCAAAACGTTTTTCAGTTTAAATATAGTGTACAGTTCATATTTACAGTAGAGTAGTGTCAATGCATGGTGGTTGGCAACTAATACCACAACGCCTTGTTCCAATACTCGCTCTTCGCATTCGCCAAATCATCCTTCTCGAGGTGCATGGTCGAATTGAACACGATCTGGGTCGCGTTACTGCCATACTTAGGCCAGTAGATTTTATCATTTGGCCACATGGTGTTGGGGTTGCCGGTGTGCACGAACGAGAGCAGGTATTTCTGCATTTTCCTCTGCACGTCATTAGCATATACTGAAGTAATAGATTGGGAGAGGATACATACCGCAACACTTGGATTAATAGGCGAGCTACTACCAAAGCCGCTGGTGGTACCGTTACCTGAGAGGCTGTACGTGCTGTACCCTGTTCGCCATTAGCATGAACATACTTAGCATTGAAGAAAGACATACAATAATAACTCTGATCAGTCCCATGCGTCGCCTTCCCCAGGTCAACCATCCCATTCCACGTCTGGTTTTTCAACGCCCTCGTCAGGGCATAATCATGCGCCGTCATATCAAACGACTGCTTCATATCTGCGAACCTCAGTCCCGGGCTCGTGTAGTCGGATTCTGGGTACAATTCTAGTAATCTGCTGACGACAGCGTCGGTAATAGACGGGAAAAAGAGGCGAAGTTCCTTGAAGATGTCGAACGTAGTGCTGACCCCGGGCCAGGCTTGGCTGTTGTTTTCATGTTTCTCGTGGGTAATCACGAGGGGACCGGTGAAGTTGAAGCGGTTTTGGTAGAGTTGTGCTTCGTCTGTTGTTGTTAATACGAAGCATACCAGGTCAGGAGCAAGGGCATGAACGTACAAGTATCACCAACAAAATCCCCATCAACCCTCGGCTGCAGCTGGTAATCATATTTCCCAACCACATCACTCGCAGCACCACTCAACTCCTCAAACCCCACACTTCGCATACAATCCAAATGCCCCCTGTTACACCCCACAGCCCTCGAAACATTCCTCCAAAACATTTCCGCCTGATGGTGTCCAGCACCCGGCACATACCCAGGAGACATGATATAAGCCTGATTGTACAACTGCTCCGCGCGTCCCGCGAAACGGGTCATCTGGAAGATGGTCTGCGATGCACCGGCTGAGAAGCCTACTGCTGTAATCCGGTTGGGATCACCGCCGAACGCGTCGATGTATTTTCTCACCCACTGGAAGGCATGCTGTGCGTCGTAGAGGGCGACGTTCGATGCCCCCCCTTCGTGGAGAAGGCTAGGGCCGTTGGCGTTTCCGGTAATTCCGAGACGGTAGTTATACGCGACGAAGATAAACTCTTTGTTCAGAGCGAACAAACCCTCAGGTGTGTTATCCGATTTGCTTCCGCTGGTGAAACCTCCGCCGTATGACCATACCACGACTGGCAACTTCTTCCCGTGGGTATTAGCAGGTGCCCAGATATCAAGATATAAGCAGTCCTCGGTAGACGCGCAGTCGACGTCTGCGTCGGCTAGGGTGCCGTCGTTAACCGCTTGTTCAACAGGTGGCCATTCTGGTTTCGCGAAGCGGAGGTCGCCGGTTGGGACGGTGGCGAAGCGGATGTTTTGGTATTTGTAGTAGCCTAGGGATGCATTTCCGGCTGTTGGGATGACGGTTGTGTAGTCGAGAGTGACGGAGGGTGTTGGTTGTGGGGACTGCGATGCGGAGGGGATGGCAGCCACCGATGCGGCTAGAAGGAGGAATGGGGTGAACCGCATGTTGTCTGTACAGATTAAGCTCTGCAGGGTTTATAAAATTGACAATCTGCCACGAGCTACATATATGTACCTGCATACGTAGTACAACTCAATCCGGCTAACCCGAAGACCCGGAGGTTGGTCTCGGATAACCCGAGATTACTCTACGGGGTACCCCTTATAGACCCGCCCCCGCTGAACGTGGCCGAACCTTAGTGTGATTAGTCTGGGGCAGATGACGCGTAGTTCAGTTTTGTGGCGTTATTTGTCAGACGTTGGTGGTCGAAACGGAACCCTATCGGAAGCGGGTGTATCCAGAGTTCCGGGTCGGAAGGGGCATCAGGAGAATGGTGATAGATTGGGCTACAAGTAGAGCTCGTATGTCATAAATGACTGCTGTGAAAGGTGTAAGCAGAAACAGTTGATTCCACGCCCCTCGTGCTACCGAACTTGTCATGTTGTCCTTAACGGGTAGACATGATATGGTAAAGAGAAGTGCTTTTTGTGAACTAGATTGAAGTGGAAACAACGAACCTGTAGCCAGAGACCCCACGACCTCACTAACATGAAACTCAGCACTACTTTGGGGTAAAATAGCCGCATCAATCACCGATGCAGCTCCAACCATAAATGCTAGCCCGGACACCACCACCGTTGCTCCCATGCGTTTCGCGAAGCTGAAGTTGTGCGGGTTCAGCGGATCATCTGTGCCCTGCCAGCCAACGAGGATTTTTTGGTTGGTGAGTCATTTTCATGAGGATGTCGCTCGTGCGGATAATTATTGGACTTGAGGTCATCGGTTAAGTTGTACACGCGGGAATCCACTGCCTTTCTTATCTGAAGATATTAAAGATACGACTGCATCTTTGAAGATACCGGAAGCAGAGGAAGCAGTGGCCTGTGTTTTCAGTGCCTAGAATCTTCAGGGAGCCCGTATTAAATACTCAAGTCAAGAGGGTATTATTGCTAACGATCTGCGGCACTTAACATAATATCAATAAGATATCCAGAGAAATTGAACAACAAAACAAGAACACGACCAGGTGGTATTAAACAAACAAAAACTCACAAAACAAAACCAAACCCAGAAAACCAAAACAGAAAACTATCAAGAAAACGACTCCTCATATAAATCAACAACCGTCCCCCCCTGCCTCTCCCGAACAGCCCTCCTAACATCATCCCCCATAGCCCCCGGCCCACAAACACTAACAGCCATAGCGCCGACCTGATACACCTTTGCATTCTCCAAAATATACACAAAATCGGGCTTCCCCCATTTTATCGTGACGGGGACGTTGAGAGGCGCGTGGTGGGCCCAGGGGTTGGGGAGGGTCACGTATTCGTCGGTTGTGGATTGGGGGGCTGTTATGTAGATGTGGATTGAGAGGGTTATGGTGGAAGTGGGGGAGCGGAGGGCGGGGTGGGACATTAGGGTGGGCATCCAGGATTGGATCCAGGTTAAGTGGTCTGGTTTGTTAGTGGGTGTGTGCGGTGGTTGTGGAGAAGGGGACGTACCGATGCTCCGGACAACCCAGATCAAGCTGACCTGCCGTACTGCTATGGATCGAGGAGTGAAGAAGGTATTGACGAACTCGTGCAGATACGATATCGGATGCGTGATACCGATTCCTCCTGCAATGAGAAGAACAGTTCCATAAGACGACAGAGAATGAAGTCCACCTAGGCACATTAGCACACCCACTCAAACTAATAAAGGTAAACCTACCAAACGGCCCCTCCGCAAGAGCAGTAACCTTCAATGACCCACCAGTAGTCTTTCTCGCTTTCTTAAGTAGTTTCTTCGTAAACCCATCTCTCCCCTTAATCAAGAACGACATCTTATGCCGCTGCGGACCGCCAATGAGCGTATTGAGTGAATCCCCTGAGCTGCGTTTCTCGTTTACATCGGCGCGGTCCGTTGATGTCCATGCGACGGAGAACGGATGTGATGTCCATAGTCCTAGTGTCGGGATGTAGAGGTAAAGGTATTGACCTGCTTTGAATTTCCACGTTCGGGCCATTGCGACATCGACTCGGGCCACGTCCGCAGGGAGGACTTCGACAGTGGCTGTCGTGAATTGCTTTCCGCAGTTTCGCCACAGGAGACATGCTGCGCGTGCAGCTCGCTGTTCGGGTCAGCACTATAGTTGTTATTGTAGAGATGGGCGGCGTACCTCGAGACCCCAAAGAATTACAGTTCCGAGAAGAACCCGTTGCTGAAGAAGATTCTTAAGATGGTACCACAATGCCACGAAAGACATGACAGCCAAGAGTATATGCAGATGAAGAAACGTTTCGTACCATGCATGACGCAGCGCCGACATGGCTTGGAAGAATATTAACACGAATCCGATCAATGCCTATCAATATTGAAAGTTAGAAACATATCCCACATCAACTGACAGACGATAACTCACCACCAACCCGTATATATAGAAAGGTTCATTCCACATCATATGTTTCATTTCATCCATGCTCACTACACTTCTTAGTCTGTGACTCTCGCGGAATTAGGAGAACCACTCACTCAAACGAGCTTTCCCGGCAACCACACAAGTCATATGAACAACCGCTTCCACAGCCATAATCCGCCCAATCCATCGATGAAGAAGATTAAACGCGTCGAACGAGATACCCAACAACGGAATCAAGGGGTTATTCCGACCTGCCGTTAATACCAAAGCGGGCGAGTTCATCACGGCCAAATGTCCAGCGGCGTACTTGAATTGGAACGTCTTCTCTTGAAATTCGGCCGGCCAGTCGATCAGGCAGAAGAAGAATACAATATTCAACGTGATATATCCCAGTATCACGCCAACCTCTAGTCGTAACGGTATCGTACCCATGTGCAACCGGCCCATGAGTTGGAGTTCGCGGTTATGGCGAGTCGAGAATAATGGCGCGTATAGAACATGTCTCTTGAATTTGGCATGAAGCCCGCTGATCTTCGTATACTTTGACTGATCCTGGTTTTGAAGTATCCCGCGCAGACGTCGACGATGTCGTATGAGAACCCCTATGCGACAAACAAAAAAGACACCCACCACACCAGCCAAAACGTAAAGAGGCGTCGCCAATGCCGGGTTCATCGGGAGCTCCCCCTTCCCTGATCCTGCCAGTTCTACCCCCATTTCATATAATTCTGATCGAAAGCACTCGTACGCTGAAGAAGATGGATGTTAGGGGAGAAACCAAAGCAGGCCAGCAGCTGCGAATGCAACCGCTCTAGGTCAGCAAGCAGGTCCAACTTTGGCGATCGAGCGACTTGCAAGAAATGGGGAACAGGATCTGCCATTACTAACCAAGAAGTCTGCTATGTTGGGGTAAGACCCTATAAGAGAGAGTGGTGTCATGGGTGCCATGCGATTTCTATATCAACAGCCTCGGGTGACTGTCCAATCACTCCGTTTCCATCACCGGGCCGGATGACGAATGGAGCTGCCACATACGGCTTTCTTCCATGTATGGAAAGAGTGGGAAGTGCAGAAAGCATCCATTGGCGGGATGCAACCCCAGGAATGTGGGGGACGGGCAAACATGTCTGTCATTGTTGAGGGATGTATACTAGTCACGAGGTCATGGACCTGAAGCGCTCATGAGTAATCGATTAAAGAGTATATAAAAAGAGTGAGACAAATCAAGCAGTACAGACCTATTCAGGCTTGCAGACAGGGCCGCATAAGGCAATGCTGACTGCGATGAAACCGCGCTTCCGGAAGCGGAAATCAGGCGAAACGCAGGGATGCGCGGGTTCAAACCCCATTCTTAATAGAATGTGGTACTGCATGAGGAAAGAGACATACATAGTCGTACGTCAGCCTTTGTTTGCTAATTCTTAATTTTGAATTGACCCGGTTGTGTTGTCCAGCCAGCCATTACCAAAGCAGGGACATAGAAGCACGTATGCGATTGCATACTACGTCGCTGAATTTGGTTCACGCCTGTACTATGCTGGTTGAGAAAAGATCAGCATGTCAATATCATGGATATTGAAAACTCCAGAGACCAACCTTGGCTCTGGATCCGGCGGCCCGAGGTCGGATTGTAACAGTGGTAACCCGAGAAACTTTGAAGCCATTCGGGTTTGCTCTCCCCCGTGCAGAGCCAGAATCTGCCGCAGAAAATGGCCTGGGCCATGTGTGATAACCAAATCATCGGGTTGAAGGAATCGGTAAGCCCGAAGATTAACAGCCAATTTGATTCGCATGGCCCTGACCCGTGGTTTCCGAGCCGCGGATCAAATGGAAAGAACATGTAGGTTCGGGGTTGAAGCATATCACCATCTGGCCGCAAGCGGATAATATACTCGCATCCTGAAGGATTCATGCCCCAAACACTGATATGCAACGACGGTAAGAGCGGAAGGTGCCGCAAAACTTGGAACCAGTAACAAAACAAGGTATACGAAATCAAAAGTACGGGGTCCAAAAAGCAGAAGTATTTGAACATTCCAAAATTGTACCTGCGTAGGTAACGCAGAACCCCGAGGCACAATATCTATGGCCGTAGACAGATGCAACATCAATATCCAAAAAGACACAAGGTAGCATTACTAGAAAACATTCAAAAGAACAAACACCATATCTTGCACCGAACGCACCCGAAATTATGTAGAAAATATCCTCCATTATTGGTTTATACCATAATCGAGAGGAGAGATCCCAGAAACCCATCACAATCCACCAGCGCCTTGTATGTAGACAAACCTCTACCTTTTCAGCGAGGAAACACTCCTTGAAAAAACAATCCATAAGCCCATAAGACAGCAAAATTATCATTTCATACACATCCATGAAGAAAAATAGTATAGAAATCACGATGTCGAGAGAATAGGGGCACCTTCGGAGCAAGCGTTTCCAAGTCCTTTATGACTGTGGCCCTTGGCACCGTCACTGGACGGAGCTTTAGATCCTTCAACTTGGGTCGGAACAGCAGCAGGTGCATCCTGTTTCTCACTTCCGGCACCGCCTTCAGCCGACTGCTTAACCGACTTTCTTCTCTTCTTGTTCTTGCGCCGCTTGGTCTTGAGCTTGTGCCCACGGAGTCGAGAGTAATCCGCGACGTCGACACCGGCACTTTGGCACAATGATGTGCATTCCTTCTCAACGACATCTACGAGATCGGACGTGAAGCCGTAGAAAGAGGGGTTGTAGGCGTTGCGGGCCCAGTACATCAACTCCGCAGCGACACGGCCGAGGTTCGGGAAGGATGTGGAAGGGGCGACACGTTCGCGATCGCGTCCTGGCTGTGGCACCTCCTCGTCCGCTTCATCGTCGGCAGATGAGGCAGCAGATGCGTTTGGTACAGGGGACGACGTTGTCGAGGAATCTGAGGATGAAAGATAATCTGTGTCGGACACGAGCACATGGAGCAAATGGTACACGGAAGCAAATCCCAACAAAGTCAGCTCAACCGGATCGAGAGGCAACTGGTTGAACCAGTTAATCGCTTTCTGCATCGTGAAAGAAGCAGGGAGAGATGTGTCACCGGTCGTTCTCGCGGAAACGATGGCGGCAATCATGGCACAACGGACTGCGATGCAGATTTCCTCGCGAACGGAGACAGGAAGTGACGAGTCCAAGAAATTGAAACCGTGACTCTTCTTGTTCTTTCCGTTGTCGCTGGGCAACGCAGCAAGAACAGCGCCAATGTTCTTGACACGATCTTGTTCAAAGAAGATGGCCTTCATAACAAGGGCACGCGTGTGAGCGGCCGAAGGTTGAGGAGCAACATTGAGAGCAAGACTGATCTTGGATTTGAAAAGGTCGCGGCTCTGCTTCGAGTCGGGGCCGCCAGAGCTAGCTTCGAAATACTTCAAAAGGGCGCGCTGCAAAAGGTGACAAGACCACCAAGCAGCAAGGGCGTCCAGGGATGACTGGATGGCAGGATCCTCTTCGACGATATCCAGAAGCGCTTCGTGATCGTCACTTGCCTCCTGTGTTGGACGGTTCCACGTGAGATTCGCAGCCCGCTGGACGATGCTGTCGATCATGACGTCTTCGCTGTCAATAGAAAGGAGCGCAGCCAGATGACTCGGAAGGGCATCCGGGTGATCCTCTGGCAGCGAGCGATGCATCTGTCGAGCCAGGTCCCACTGGTAACGTGCAAGTGCACGAGCCACATCGTTCGAAATGTGGAAGGTCCAAGAGCCAGGGTCTCCGACCCTCCAGAGCAGGATGCGACAGTGAAGCGCTTTCAACATCATTCTCATCGGGCTACGAGGCAGAGTGCCAGCAGCAAAGATGGTCAAAACAAGTCGACTCTTGCTGATCTCGGCATCACCACCTGCTAGCTGAGCATCGATTGCAATATCCCATGTCTTCACACGGCCCTTCTCGTCTTCCTCGGTAACTCCCGTGATCCAGGAGTAGAGCTTCCATCCCATAAGACACCTCAAAACGTATTCGGTGCATCGAGATGTTACGACGTACCACTCTCGGAAGAATCTATGGCGCGGGACACCAACTTGCTGGATACTCGTTAACCAGGCTTGTCGTCTGAAGTTGTACGGGGACAAGGACGATCCGGATGAGGCTGGTACTTTCGACGAAGTGTCGGAGTGCTTGGGTTCCGCGTTGAAGAGGTAAACAAAAACCACGAATGCGCTTCCAACGACGAGAGAGGCCAGGATGCCAAAGTGGATGATGGCCCTAGCATGCCATGAAGCCCAGTAGCTCCGAACCACGGCATTCCAGTATGCTAGCGACGGCGAGTTAATCTGAGGTAAATATCTTAGAAGGTGGACGGGAACCGCCAGCAGTCCCTTTTCGTTAGATTCGGTATCCTCTTCAGTGCCCATGCCTTCAAGAACCATCAATCCAGCAAGGGCACCCAGCATATACTTGTTTGGGAAGTTCGACCGCTTACGGCCGCTGCCACTTGCTTGCGTCGTTCCATTCCCACCGGAAGGATATTGGATGTATGATTGCGACCAGGCGTTGTCTTTTGACGGAGCCTGCATCTTCTTGAAAGAGTCAGGCACCTGGAGCAAACCCTCTGGTGGATACAAGGAAGTCGGGGAATGATCGCTAGGTGCATCCTCAGTATGCGAGAACACACTCGGGGAGGAGCTCGCCCCTGACTCTGTGTAGTTACTTGGGGACGAAACCGAAGCGGCGGATGTGACGGTTTGTTCGGCAGCTTTATCCACCTGGCGTAGTCGGTTCTTCAACGCGGTGTTTTCGTCCTCGAGTCGTCTGTTGCGAATTTCCAGATGCTTGATGTAGTCTGTTGCTTTCGACAAGACGGACGCCTTGTTCAACTTGCTGGCCGGTGTGACGCCATCCGCATCTTCGTCGTCAAGCAGCGTTCCATTGGTACCCTTGGAGGTAGCTCGTAGACTTGGCACGCTGTCTCGCAATTCGGCAATCTTGTCGTTCAGGTTCGCACGGTATCTCTTCTCGATGACATTGTGGGCCCGCTTCTTAGTCGGCATCTTCTTTCCACCATTCTGAGGGACTCCGCTGACCGTCGATCCATCATCGTCACTGCTCGTCTTTCGCTTCCGAGTCATGCCTAAGGATTCGGGGGAACCGGAAATAGAAGGTTGGGATTGCTGTTGGATGCCGTCACTTGGGAGTATGCCACTCCGATTTCGGCCCGAGGCGTCAAATGGAAGACTTGGCACGCCGTGTGCGATGTCGGGGGAGAACTCATGCTGGGAGAAGTTGGCACCGAGCGAAGTGTTTGGCGATGTTAACGAAGTGTTGAAAGGAGCGTTTTCCTTAGGATCCGAAAAAATCTGGTCGTCCCATCTCATCCATTGCGTCCAGTCCTGCGAATCATCGGTTGAGGGCGGAATAGCGTCCGTGTGCGAGTTTTTTCTATCGGCGGATTGAACGGGAGAGAAGAGCTGAAAGTCGTTTTCCATGCCGGCGAAGGACATTGTTAGTTTCTAGAGGGAGGCCGCAACTGAACCATGGAGGCACAGCGCGGTATCTGACTACTATTGATAGCAATTGGGAATAATGTCTTGTAATCGTCAATGAGCTTGCTCTAGGTTGAAGTAGAGACTCGACATAGGTGAGTTAACTCACGTCCGGACTGTTGGGAAATGTCACCGTGAAGTAGTAGTACCTGGCAGTGGCGTGGACAAACCCGAACGGGCGAGCTGCGGGCTTAAAGTCTCGTTTTCGCAAGCGTGGATGCTGATCAGCAGCAATGAAGAGGCGCTAATAAGAGTCTAGGATAAGGACAGTGGAGTCGGATTCAGGGCTGATTGGGTTATCAATCGGTAGCGATGGGGAGATGGCGAATCTGCACCGAACGGAGCTGGAAGAGTAGAACAACAGAGAGTGCTGCAGGTGGTCAGAACAATATTCCTGTGTCTTTCTGAATTGGCATGTCTGTGGCAATCCCGACTCCTGACTCGAGGATTGCAGTGAAACTCACCAATTGCAGAAGGAGGCTCCGTGGGACGACGGGAGTCAATCAGATCTTATCACAACGCACTTCTGGTCCACTAACGCCGGAACTGCAGGAGCACTGACTGTCGTTTTTCGTGTCTCGTTTTGACGCTGGCTGTTAATTATCTGTGGCGTGCCTGGCAGCGTATCAATCGTCGTCCAACATAGTATCTCAACGTGTTGCCAAAGGGAGAGTCCAGTCCAGTTCGAGTGCTGACTGAGCGAAGTCTCGCTTTCCCGTAATTCTCAGTCGTATGATCGCGGCTCAGGGCGTTCCCGACACCGCTCGTTTTGGTATTACCGTGGGTGACGGGGGATTGCTCGGGGTTTGCATTGTTTGTACACGGTATTGAATACAATACCGTATCAAGTACCGTTCCGCCCGAGTGGGTGCGAATTGACCAATCATTTTTAAGAATCAGTTCAATTCCGCGGTGATATCACCCTCAAGAATAGAACTCGTGCTATTTTCTCTTTACGGATAGGCTTGTACGGGGTATTATTCCCAATAATTGGGCGCGAGAAGCCTAGAATGCTGGAGCCAAAACAGTTTGTGACCTACAAATATGCACAGCCTGCAAGGTCAGAGCGAGGGGAATGTGCGATAAGATCATGTAAAATCACGTGATTTTATCGGTTATCGGATTCCTACTGTATTGAACGACGAGTTTATCTTAGATTCCCTATAATCCGCGACTAACAAAGCTATGGCAAATCTAACGAGCAGTTTCTCGAACCTCGGTGAAGTCTTCACAAACATCACGGAGTACGTCAAGTTGCAAGACAATTTCCGATCAAGACTGGAGTCCTACAAACCAACCGGAAAGCACGATGATACTACCAAGTTCCTGCAGAAAACACTCATGTATCTCCCTCGTGACGGCAGAATAAATCTCATGGAGGAGGTGCAGTAATGCACCTCAGATAAATAGCTACACGATTTGGCTGGGCGTATTGACCATGGTTTCCTCCGTCCATTGGCAGCTGCCGGTCACAGAGCAGTGCCTTTTCACAGCGACTCAGATGGACCAGACTCAGGGGGTATACTCCGCGAGAAATGTCTTGGAAGACACGGCAATATTTATGTTGCTACAGGGGCTTACGACAATAGCCAGGATCCTATACCCCCAGGCAAACTAACCGCCAGTCTAGAAGCAGTCCGTATCTTACCAGGTACCCTTGGATGTTTCTCAAATGAAGTCGAACGACAGCAGGCGTCTGCTATGTGGAAGAGCATCCACCGCTACTTTCCACGCCTGCAGTCGGAGTTGCATTTCGGCTATGAAGACATCAATAGTATTCGGAACGTAGTTATGCTGGAGAGTCTCCTAGGTGATGAGTTCGAGTTGTTCACTTTCACTCTTGAACCGACAGGCTGGGCTCAGCATCAGTACCACATGAAAACAACGGCTGGTTTGAATACTGCTCATCAGTCGTTTTCACCTGAGGAGAGAACTGTAATGCTTACTTCGTACGATGATCGATATCCACTACCTAGTCCGATTCTGTTCGATGTTCACGCTGCGATATCGAATACCTTGAAGCCACTGGCCGCGGGATATTGGTGTCTGAGACAATAGACGAGTATAGAGATAACGACGGTCTTGACGGAGATGGCACAACGGACGTTGCGCGTCTTTTATTGGTCAGTAGTCTTGCGTTGCTGGCGGCTGCTCTGGATTGAAACAACGGAATCAATAGATTAAGAGTACGTCAGACAAGTACAGCACAATGGCATCAATTGCTATATAATCACCTAACACATGCATAAATCATAAAAATCATCCTTACTCATACTTCACGAACTCCATCCACTCTTCAACCCCCAAACACCAACATCAACCGTAACATCCTCACCAAGCCCCGTGGCAGCGAAAGTCACCGTATCCAAAGGCTTGGTAGGGAAGAAACTCATCACTCCGCTCTGCTTGCCATCCTCGAGGAAGACCTCAAACACAGAACGGTCAATAACACCCGAGAAGGTGAACTGGCCGGATTCAGACACGGAAATGGAAGTGTCGAATTGACCAGTGAAGTTGCCATTGTCTGCCGTTGTGAAGAGGTGTGTCCCTGCTCTGTTGATCCAGAAAGATCCCGTGTTCAGTTCGACGGCGCCGTCAAGGTAGTCGCCGGAGGCGGAGGAGGTGAAGTTGAAGGTGAGTTCGCCTGTGGCATCGGCAGACGGGAGGTTGTTGATGGCCACGTCAAAGTAGACGGCGTTGGACTCGACGCTGGAGAAGTCGACAGAGATGTCACCATCGCTGAATGTCTTCTCTTCAAGCTTGTTGCCCTTGACCGATGAAAGGCCCTGGAAAGGAGTTTGGGTCACCCTCCAGGCGCCGTCAATCTTGGTAAGGGTGTGCTCCCGAGGGACAGTGGCAGCGCTTCTCCAGCCCTCGCGAGCACTGGGCACCTCCTCAGTGTAGTCCCAGTTGCTGGCCCAGCCAATGGAAACAGGTTTGCTATCTTCAGGAAGACTATCGAACCATTGAGCAGCGTAGTTGTCCTTGGAAAAGTCGATGAGGGTGTAGTCCTCGGTCTCGGAGTTGAAGTGAGTTCCGTTGAAATCTCCGACGACGTAATAGGTACCAGATCCTCCCAAGGGAGCGCCAGGGTTGACGGATATGAACAGCACGTCCTTTGTAGTCTCTTCGTCAACGCTGAATTTCACGAGGTTTGGACATTCGAACTGGTCACCGGGAAGTCCTTCCTGTGTGAAGTTGGATGTCGCTGTCCAGTCCTTAAGGTTAGGCGATGTGAAAACACCAATTTTCAGGTCTTCAGCCCAAGCAATGACCATGGCCCATTTCTGGGACTCGGCGTGCCAGAAGACTTTGGGATCCCGGAATTGGTTGGTATGGCTGTCGATGACGGGGTTGTTGGCGTATTTGGTAAAGGTGTATCCACCATCAGTGGAATAAGCGATATGTTGTGTTTCCTTGGTAGAGGAGTGGGCGGTGTAAATAGCCACTACACCGTCGTCTTGGTCAGGGAAGAAGCCAGATGTGTTCTCGCTGTCGATAATAGCCGATCCCGAGAAGATGAAGGTGTCTGCATTGTCAGGCTCGAGAGCCAGTGGGTGGTTGGTCCAGTGGTACAAGTCCGGGCTGGTTGCATGTCCCCAATGCTGGTTTCCCGCTACTGGTTCGTCGGGGTTGTCTGCTTGAGTTAGTTGTGATCGAATGCCGAAAGGTTCAAGTATTGCTTACATTGATAGTAATAGTGGTAGGTGCTCCGCTTCGCGTCATAAAACAGCCCATTAGGATCATTCATGAATCCTTCAGGCGGCGAGAATTGAACCTGTGGCCGAAGGGGCTCGGAGTAATTTACGGCGGCCTGGGCAGTGGCCGCCAGGAGAGGTAGGGCAAAGAGTCCGAGATGCATTGTATTTTGAAGAATGAGAATAATCTGGGTTCAACTCATCGGTTCTGAGATCAGAACGAGGGGTATTTATGTGTGAATACCTCTCTATGTGCGGCATTTTGACAACCAGTCTTCGCCAATGTCATGCCAACACCACAACCGACAATGGCACGGAAAAGCGTACTGCCCCATAGCAGCAGTTTAGCGTCAAAGTATCTGACTGCGGCTTATGGACTATACACAGTATTACTCGACGATGGAAAGAAAGAGCATCAACGCAGAAGCTTCTTGGCTGAATCATCCTGCAGCCTGTACAATATATCCCCGTGTGTTGAACCCTATTGAGATCAGCAGCAGATGTCCCAACCCCACAATTCAGGAAGATGGCCGGGGACAGGCCCAAGCGTCAGTCGGTCCGATGCGACGAATCGAGGATGAATGCCGTGCAAATTTTCCGAATTCTCCGGGTTTTCTCCATACCCTAGATGTATCTGCTCGCCAGCCGTATGGGACTTCACCTTCATGAATCGAAGCCGGAATCTCATTCCCGGGTAAAAACAAAGGTCAACCTTCCCCGCCTCGAATACGAGGCCGTTCGGTCCAAGTTTGCAAGGGTTGTCTTTGGTTCTTGAGATGCCGAAAAAGCAATGTCTTTCTCGTGAAGTAAAATCGATTAAAACCCCGGGGTTTCGCCGGGACCCCACAGCTATTTCGCGAGAAACCGCATGTTGTCTCTGTACCCTCTGCAAGCCTATGGATACGTCTAGGATATTAGCACCCATGTGGTCAAACTTGTGGGGAGCACTAACTTCAATAAAGGTAAATCTGTCGAAAGAGTCCCTTCTGTCCGGACAAGGGTCTGCGTAGGCTGGGGCAATGAAGAATGCGGTACAAAGTACGGGGTACAAATGCGGGGTGTTGACAATAGTCACTTTCAACTCGCATTATGACCTATTAATATTGATAAGTTGTGTTATAACCCTCATATTGTAGGAATTCGTCGCTTCAGTGACAATCTATATGAATTTGAAGCAGTGCAAAAGACAATACAATGGGGATATGGAGAAGCGCGTGGAGAAGGCGCTATCCCCAAAATAGCAACCCCACGGAGAGCAGAAAACAGCCTCAGGCCACCATCCAACTCCACCCTCCACTCCCGCATTCAAAGATACGCTGGTCTTCTACGCTAGAATACACAGAGCTGACTGCTTGGCAATGCTTGCTAGTGTTTGGCCAACCACTGGTTGTGTTAAGAAAGGCGTCTGGCTTACGGCACCTACGACAGTTAACGCGGTATATAATCGGAAATTGTCCTTCACAGACGCGCTCGGCTCTTAGCATGCTTGCTATGCCCCATTGAGCCAGATTGCCGATGCCTTATTTGTGGAGGTCACCATATCCTACATGCACAGGACGTCATAGTCACAGCTTTTAAGCCAAGTCCCACCCATGATGCGGCATTATATCTCACATCTTCGGGTTGATACGGACCGGACGAGAAGGAACTTTGCTGTCTGCTCACCGGTCCGAGTCTTGAGTTTCTCATTCTGATGCTCACTTATGGCCTCGGATCTCTATACATCGGGTCACGGTGATGGGAAGTGGACTAGATTCATGCACACCAAAGACTCCGTTCACGCGCTGCAGGTGACCGGCGTGCAGTCCATGCCGATATTTTACACGGGACCGTTTTTGCTATAGCATTCCCGTTGGTTTTCCCGTTGACCCGTCATCTCAGCCGTTCGATCCCGTAGAACCCCGAGATCCTGGCGGTGTACTATATAGGTCATACCATTATCCATCTGATCCATATTAACCACACAGAGCTCTCTGGATCAAATTACGACCCGTCATCGCAACCGTTACCCCAGCCCCGGATCGTTGTCGGGTTAGTCTCGGGGAAATGCTATATCAAAGAAGCTCGGACTCTTCCCGACGGCAGAGCTTCACACTGCTTGCTGCTTGCCTATGAAACAGGGCCCTCTATGTTAATGGGATGTCTAGAAATGATGCCATGTGATGACGGTCTTCTCTTGGCTTGCTCGTTGAAATGCATATTTTTGGTGGTTGTCCCGTGTTCATGCATGGAGAGGAAGCTGCCTAACCAGTGCGGTGACATACGGACAAACAGGTCAATGCAATAAACTCCGTCACTCGATTTAGAAGGGCTTGGCGACTTGTGAGTTGTCTGAGTTGAGAAAAGCGCTTTCCGGTACTGGTCGAGTAATCGGGTGAATATACCGTCCTCTGGACTGAGGGCCGTCGGTTCATTGACGTTGAGTTCTATACAGCGTCATGGCATTGTCTGAAATGTTACTCTACTCTGAAGTTATGCTTTCATAAATGTTTTTGTGTTATCACTGAAAGCTACCGTGACATGCAGTCCAGAGTAACATCCCATAACCCTACATACTGCTCAAACCTATAAGCTTTGCTCGACCTCCAGCAAACCCCCCATCCCCTCTCTAACCGACTTCTTCACTCCTTCGCCAGCCTCCCCGTACGGCGTCCGTGGATTCAGTTTCTTCTCTGCTCCTCCAATTCCTGCCAATGGCGCCGAGAAAATCGCAGCCGCATACTTTGTCGACGAAATCCCACTCTTGACCGGACTTTCCGCCAGGGCTGCTTTTCGCTGGAGTTCAATCGCCTGATCGATTTGTCCGGCCGTGTAGAGGTCATAAACCTTGGATGCTGTCTTTGGGAATGCATTCGCGAACGCCGCGATGCAACCCGCGGAACCCACGCTCAACCCTCCAATGAGGAAATCAGACTGACCGCCATACACGGCGAACTCCTCCTTGGGGAACGTAGCAGCAAGACGGGTAATCTTCCCAACAGAAGCACAAGTCAGCTTAACACCAACGACGTTCGAAACCCCATCGGCCCTACTCTCCTTCGATTCCCGCACAATGGCGGTGATCGTCTCCGAATCAAGATCAACCCCATTGCACACCCCGGGGAAGTTATACACAACAACCGGCAACGGAGAATCCCTTGCGACATCTGCAAAGAACCTCTTCACGACATTCATATCAGTCGCCTTCCCGAAATACGCCGGCGGCAGGACAAGCGCATAATCCGCCCCCGCCTCCTTCGCATCTCGCACAAGTTCCAGAACCTGCTTCGTCGAGTGCGCACCCACGCCGGCCATAAGCGGGAAATCCGGACCAACAGCTTGACGCGCTGTCGAGATGACCTGGGATCGTTCTTCGCGGGTGAGCAGGAATGCTTCGGAATTCGTCCCGAGGATGACCAGGCCTGCTAGCCCGGTGGTTGAGAGATAGGTGAAGTATTTGGATTGGGAGGCGAGGTCTATCTCATCGGTTGATGGGTCGAAGAATGTTACAGCTGGACACCAGACGCCGGCTTTGGGGACGTGGGGTTTGTTTGTAGAGATTGAGCCCATTGTGTTGGATGCGTCTGTAGGTTTATGTTTGGATCTGGAGGTGAGGAACTTAAAAGTACGTAGGATTCGAATAAGATGCGACTGAAAAATCTGGATTGATTCTCATACTCATCTTATAGATATTACGCTCTTATATATATATATACAAATCCTAGGGTAGATAGTGAAGTACGATACTGCGGGGAATGGAAAAGAATCCGAATCGGAAGCATCACCGAGTCGGATGAGCGTGCCGAAAAAGGCACGATACTTGCAATTCATGGTCTTGATTCGTATTACTAGATGATTAAATGTCCGGAGCGCATCATGTGTATTGGATTTAGTTTCCTTTTGTTTAGTTGGTAATGTTAGGCGATCACTTCTTTGGGGCTAGCCCGGATTGTGTAGATAGATGCGGATGCTCAGCCGGACACAAAACCTTTCTGAGGAGATTCTGGCAATCAAGGTTAAAAAACAGATTGATGTGGCTGGTGATATATTGCAGGGTATACTACAATCGTACAAACAGTTGTTCAATGTACTCTCGTCATTGAGACCAGCATGAAGTCTGCTACCTTCGGGAGACCTGCACCCAATCTCCAGCCCCAAACAAGTCTCCATAATCCCTGTGGTCCTGTACATTATGTACTGCATTTGGAAGCGTTCCCAGGCTAGCAAGGGGTGACCGATGGGATTATCTATCCCAAACACTACCTCTGTCCCAGATGTCACTGGTGTCTTCAACTGTGGGTCCCATATCACCCCCAATGGGGCACAAACAAGGTCATTGGGAAGGGTCAGTTGGGACGTGATCAAAACCTTGTTCTTCTTGTATGGCGGAGGCATCCAAATGAATTGCTGTTTGGAAGTCAAAACATCTTAGACCTCAGATATCTTCAACCCTCCGCGCGGATATACGCTGCGACTTTCCGGAGTCGATTTATGCTCAACTCAATGATGGCATTGAACCTCGGAGACAAAAGGAAGAAGAGAACAAGGCCGGCTAGGGCTCGTGAGCTAAGACATGATTTAATCAAATGTTAGGAGAGAAGGTGTCCAGATCATCCAGTTATGCAGGTTTATAGCCCTCTGCGCGGATATACTCCGCTGCAATCTTCCGGAGTCGATTGACGTTCAACTCGACGATGGCGTCGGGTCGAGAGATTTTTTTATGGAACAAGAGACTATCCTGCAACTTGATGGACTGTGCAGACGCCACGCGGGTTGATGGCTTAGGAAAAATGATCTATCGCTGAGAGTCAGCCGAGCCATGTTCAGTACGGAATGGCTCAGTGGACTTGGTTCTTTTTGTATCAAGCGAAGATTTCCAGGAGTGCCGTGTCCCCAAGCTTTTATATCCCCTTCAACTTTCTTGCCAGCAAGCCGGGACCGTTTGACGATTAAGACTATCTCAGTCGTTGCAGCGCTACCCACCAACCATACGTCCTGGTTGCGATATAGTTGTTTTCGGGCTTCTGACCACTCGGTTTCCACAACCACCGGGTTCTTTTCGGGTGGATATGTAGGGAGTGAGGAAACAATTGATTCCATCTTTGTGTGATTCAGGAAGATGGTTGAAGAAAAGAATGAAAGAAGTAGCATGTGTGAATGAAGTGATATGATAAAGGAGAGATAGCACATTACCACTACAAGGCCCCCTTTCTTTCATATTCCTGAATTCACGGGCCATCTCATAGCAAAGCATCCTAGACCTCAGATGCCTTCTGCTGGTCATTGCAGTAATGCAATTTGTTTCTGATCGGGAACGACTGCAATTAGAATCGTAAATGGTGAAAGGCGAGAAGTTGAATATACAGCGTGGAAAATCCACTTTATATCTGGACTCGAGAACCCGTGAGCAATGAGAAAGGATGAGGGCAGACTGGAAGAAATAAAGAAAGGAAAGAAAATACATACCTCTCCGCTTTCCCGGTACAGATATTCTGAAATCTAGCCAGATGAATTGCTTGACCTTCCCTTTCAGAATTCAGTCATGGTAGTCTCCACCCGGTTCGAATCGGTTGATGCGCTCTAGAGGTCTCTGTACTGTAGCGCTCAATATACGCATTAGCAGCGTTGTAGACCTCACAAGGACAGCCCCTTCTTTAAGGTTATGAGGATCCTTGCCATCTATCAGGGATCCAGGCTCGAAGAAACACGGCTCTGGTCAAACGCCTTCGATTTCAACTCCTCGCATGTTACAGAGAAGTGCAAAACCAGCTTCACCAATTTGCATTCTTTCATCAATTCTGGGCCCCACCGCCAAGACCCTAGTCCAGAAATTGAGTGCGGATCAGTGGGCTCTGGCACGCGAGCATAAATAAAGGCTTGGAAAGAATCTCCACCAATAAGTTCTGAAAGTACAATTTCCTACTGAATCCTCGTTAAAATTGTTCATACGTAGGAGTATAGAATGACTTGATGGTGATTAAATACTATGGTTGACTATACTATGCAGTGGCATATTTTCGTATGATTTATAGATTTTCTGTTGACTACTATGCTCGGTACGATGTCATAGGCACTATTCGGAGTGAATAGAGGGAGAACTCTGCTTGAGAAAACTATCTATCGTACGGCCTATTTATACACAATCTATCGACCGTTGACTAACTATAAGAGAAATCATTGCGAAGAAGACAAAAGGCGTGCGACGTGCATACTGTGAGTATGCATTAGTCTATAGCCTAAGGATGCTGGCTGCATAGCCGTAGTCCCTGACCCTATCATTTGTCACGGGCTCGGAAACTAGCAGATAAAACGAATAATATTCATATCTGGACTAGGTAGCCTAACAACGAGAATATCGAATCTGGCGAAGAAGAAGAAAAGGAAATCTATCTAGGTGATGAACGGTCTTTATAGGCATTTGTGTGGTGCGGCTTAAGCCCTTGTTTGCCCATATTGCTTGTATGGCATCGTTTGATATGTTGGCGCTGTTTGTCTAGCGTTGAGCCGTTGAGCCGTCACATCATGCATATGTTCGTGCAGTAGTAAGTCGGACGTTTAGGGTAGGCGGGAGGCTCAGGCTCTGATTGGTCAGTCAGAGCGGCCAACATATCAGGCATTCAGCATATACGGAAGTCAACATTTTCTTAAGTGTCTCAGTGATTTCACTGTCAGACTGTTTTACATATATAGGATAGCGTTGAGGCTCAGGATATGGCTCGAAAGGTTACTTTCGACCACGCGTGTTAGGGGTTAAGGAAATCTAGGATGCTACGTGGCAAATTGTTCAAAATGTACCTTACTCATTGAGAGAGAACCATGGGGACTATTGATTCGCCACTGTATTGGAATCCAGTGGAAGCATGTAACATGTTCCAGGAAAAAATCAGTTCAAATAAATTCTGTGCCTCTCCCGTCCCCTCCTTCTGCAAAGAGATTAGAAAATAGAGGAAATAAGAGGAATAAAGTTCATTGACGCCCATTACGACTGAAATCCTATGAAGGAAATCCGACCTGACCAGTGTCCCAGGGCAATCGTGTTTGCTTTAACTGCCGAACAAGAAGGCCGAGCCTCAGGAGGAAGCCATAATACAGGTTTTCTGTTCAAAGCTATCCAGTCCCGCCGCTGTAGAAATATTTCTGGATTCGTCTTGGATGAATTCGATATATAATTGACACACCTGGATTGAAGATTGAGGGGTCCTAGATTAGTGCTGAGATGTGAACCATTTTGAGAGGATTCGAGTTCAGTGACCATTCTCTCGGTGCTCAAGGTCTGCTGCAGGGCGCCCGAGGCCGTGTCCCAGAGCCGTACTGTCTTATCATCGGAGGCAGATGCCAGTAGTCGGCCGTTGGGTGAGAAGGCCACTGAGTGAACCCAGCTCGTATGGCCCTCAAGAGCCTGCAATTCCGCACTCCATCTTTCGTTAACCTGTGGGAGCTGACATATCCAACTAGGAAGCTCTGATTTGAACTCTCCACGAATTATTGCCATTCGTGGTGCAAATACCAGTCCTGCGCAATAAATCTGAAGGGGTGCTTCATCGGCTATCTGGCGGTTTTTAAGGATAAAGCGCTTTGCGTCATACAGAAACTCAGAAATTGCATCATGGTTGTCGCCCTATAATTTTCAGTATAAATCATCATTTAGAATTATGCGAGCAACGTACAGCTACACCCGTCTGCAGAAGGTTGATAATCCCCACTACTTCTGATCCAACACCTAGTAAGTTCATTGCTTCCACCCAGTGCAAAAAATGCCTCTGGAGAAAAGATAGGGCATCATACATCACATCATGCAAGTCTGTGCATTGCGTCAGATGATGTGCCCAATATCGACAGGAGTATTGCAATTCTGGAGAAAGACAGTGATCAATAGTCTGCTGATTAATATCTGCACGTTGTGTCCCATCACTTGGTAGTCCACATATATTCTTTCTCAAATTCTGACACATAAGGAGGCATCGAGTGGTCAACCTATAGTGCATGTCCTTCTCATCTACCCAGAAGTCAGTCTTCTCGCGTGTTTCTGGATCAAGAAGAAACTCTCGAAATGACAGATGAAAAAGCCGTACCGGCAAAGTCTCATCATCTGGTACACTCAAAACTGAGTGTAGTTGGTTTAATCTGAGATGAAAAACCCTCTGGGGGAGGCCGATAAGTCTGGAAAGTGAGATAACTGAGAGTGGGCTCTCTAGTATCACAATTACACCGACCACTTGCTGGTATTCTTGAACCAGTTGCTTTTTCTGTTTCTCGCCTTGTCCGTTAAGAAGCCGATTCAGCACTGGAAGGTACGTTCCATCCAGTTTAGATCCATCATTTCGGTGTGTTAAGGATCTCATGGAGACTGTCCATTGGGTGCCATTGGGGGTCCTCAAATATACGGCATATAGTAGCGGCGAAAATAAACAATGGAATGGACAATGCCACCAGTTTCTGAAGATCAGCGTTCCCAGGCCAGTCGACAGGCAGGGAGTGGTCCGTGTGTATAGTTGAAAGTCGGTGCTTCAAGAACAAAGATATATCATGCTCTATCATTGGCTTGGGAATTTGATGGAGAATCAGGTCTTCATATTCACGGCTCGTGATCTTTGAGAATTCTTGAAAGATTGGCCAGTCGGGCCTACTGGTCAAGAAAACACGCAAACGCACAGTTTTTGACTCCTGCAATATCAGAGTTGTCATGGATTGCTTTCTGGATACCAGGGATCAGTTGGGGAATGCTCTTCGCTAATTGGCTTGTAATTGTTGGAAAAAGCTTCATTGCATTCCCTTGATCCCCTTCACCCCTTTTGAAAAAGAAGCTTGCTCCGAGCAAATTGGCCTCTTTTAAAGTCTTTGACACCGTTCGCGAGATAGTCGATTTACCGGTCCCTGCTTCACCATTCAACCAAAAAATACATTTTCCGTGCGGTGTCCTAACCCATTCCATAACTTGACGAAGGATGTCCGTTCTGGTGCCTGGAAGACAATATTCTTCATGTTGGTTTGTGTACGAGTCGAACTCAGCCCCGCATACAACCGGCAATTGCTTTAGGTCCATACCGGTGATAATGGCCCTAAGCAGGTGTAAGCCAGTCGTCAGTTGCCAAACGGTCGAAAAACCCACGTTTGATCAATCTGTAAGGATACAGTGAAGGTTGATTTGTATCTCTCAAGATCTGATATGATTCTCTCTACCTCTGTCCGTTTGAGGGGCCAGACCAGTGCTCGACGCCCTAGTCTTCTCATGACTCTTTTTCTTTTCCCTGGACCAATAGTCAATTCCAAGGTTGCAAGAGTTGAATAGCACTTGGTGATAGGACTGTCTAGGGTCTGAGAGCTGGAGAGCCTCGAGCCGTTAGGACCTTGGAGGAGTACTTTCAGCTCCGAAAGAACTCCTGCAAGATCCGTAACTACCTGCTGTAGCTTGAAGATTTCATCTTTAGCGTCTTTCACCTGTTGAATATAGTCCCCGCAAAGCTTCACGAGGCTTCCCGTCAGTTGAATAACCGCGATAACGCTCGCCGCCGAAGATAGTCCATCCATTTCAAAAGACACGGCATCGATGCCTATGTTCCATGTAGGTAGGTACGATAGCGACTCGACCGTAAGAATCCGGGTTCAGAATTATAGGTTGGGCTTTTCTGGCGAGATAAAGAGGAGTAAGTTAAGCGCCGGGCGCGAGGCTGTGTATTTCAGGCGCCAATATGACTAATCATGCGTTCACCTAGTTAACTAGTGAAATGCTAAAACTTAAGATGCAATTACAGTAGTTCACAAGAAGTCAGGACTGTCATATATTCAAGGTAAAATACCATGACTTAATCCTATCGTGCTCAAGAGAACACAGACGGAATCTGCCTAGTGGATACTGGTTGTCGGCTCAACGGTCGGCCCGAGCCGATCCAGACCCATCCGTGCCAACCTCCAAATGTTTGGCGACGCCCGAGCACCCCTGATCCCTGGCGGCCATCCCCGTGTGATCACACCCGTCATGCTGGAAGCGCTATGCGACCACTTGCTAGAGAAACCAGATTTATACCTGGATGAGATGGCAGAATTCTTGTACAATGAATTCGACGTGCTCGTATCCACGTACACTATCAGCCGGGCCCTTCAATCGCATGGGTAGACGAAGAAAGTGGCTCGATGGATAGCACAAGAAAGAATCGCGGACCTGAGAGATTACTATCTATATCAGCTGTCAGATTTCCGCTCGTATCACCTAGTCTACATAGATGAATCAGGCTGTGATAAACGGGCTGGCTTCAGGAGGACAGGCTGGTCTCCCCGCGGGGTGGCACCTATCCAGGTTTCCCGTTTCCAGCGGGGTCAGCGGTAACCAAATCCTCCCCGTGTATTGCCAGAATGGCATTTTGATGTCGTGAGTCTTCCAAGGATCGACTGATGCTAGCATGTTCAAGGACTTTATTGAACAGCTTCTCCATCATTGCAGTAGATGGCCAGAGCCAAAGTCTGTCCTTATTATGGACAACGCGTCTTTCCACCATACTGATCAAATAAGAGAGTTATGCTCAAATGCCGGTGTCAAGTTGTTGTACTTACCACTGTACTCCCCTGATCTAAACCTGATTGAAGAGTTCTTTGCAGAGCTCAAAGCATTTGTGAGATGAAATTGGCAAAAGCACACAGGTCAAGATTTCAAAAATTTCCTTGAATGGAGCTTGGATGTCGTGGGGGCTAGAGGAGAAAGTGCAGAAGGTCATTTTCAACATGTGAATGTTGAGGTTGAAGAGCAATAAAAATAGATGCATTGTATATTGCCGAGTACAACAAGCTTTTGACTTGTTTCATGCCAAGATTAGCTCTGGAAAGCTTCTCCATTCCAGTGTTTTTTGTAGGCCGAGAGACCGGTAGGTAAATGTGGAATTAGGGGTGGATGTTTAGAGATATTTTGTTGTCAGCTTCTGGCGGAGAATGCAGAATATGGTTCGATGTTTTTGTCTCCTGTGAAGTCCACGTCTTTCCAAGCGACATCCATGGTCATGTGAAGCAGAATGCTCATGACGTTATGTACAAAGGTCCATTCCAAAAACCATCTCTCGCGGCCCAAACCCACCCCTACATTTGGGGGTTTTCCTGGTCGATTTTTATATCTCTTTATAGATCTATTCGCACACATCAATTT